CCCTAAACCCTAAACCCTAAACCCTAAACCCTAAACCCTAAACCCTAAACCCTAAACCCTAAACCCTAAACCCTAAACCCTAAACCCTAAACCCTAAACCCTAAACCCTAAACCCTAAACCCTAAACCCTAAACCCTAAACCCTAAACCCTAAACCCTAAACCCTAAACCCTAAACCCTAAACCCTAAACCCTAAACCCTAAACCCTAAACCCTGGGCACCTTCACGACACCCTACGGCCATCACTCGTCGACCAGCACGGCACCGCAGACTTCCCCCTCGACGCTCCGGACGTCGCCGGACTCTTGCGTCAAAGTTCCTTCTTCAGTGGTCGTGTTGGGCGACAAACGACCAGTCGTAGTTTGTCCTCTGTGAAAATAATGAGACCCCAAGCACTCGTCTTGCGTGACACACAGTCGATTTGAGTGGAAAGCCTGCGGAGGATCCTTTATGAACCGAGGAATCGCGCGCCTCGCTTCGCGTACAAACATTCGCGCGCATGCGCGGCGCATATTCTCGCGTGCGTCGCTCGTGCGCGTGCGCTCACAAACACGTACGCTTGACGCAAGTCGCTCTCGATGAAGCCGCCGCGAAGAAACGCCGAGCAGCACACACGTTTAGCGTTTTTTAATTCTAGGTCGATACAACGAAGTCGACGTCCTCGTATGGCTAGTTCAAATACATTCGTACGCACGCACGCGCGCGCGCGCGAAGAGCTCTCGCGTGCGCTCCAACTCCAAAGCGTGCCGCCGCCGCTCGATTGGAGTCGCCTTGTCGGCGTCGATTTCCGCTCTCGCGCGCAACGCTTGTCGCCGCTTCGCCGCCTCTCGCGCGCGCCTCGCCCTCTCGTCTTCAAGTGTTTGGCGCTCGAGCGCTCGCTCGACGCGTCGCCGTTCGATTTCCGCCAGCGCTCGTTCCATGTTTTCGTTCATCTCAGCCAACAGTTCGGCTTTTCGTCGTCGCAAGTACGCGGGCGTCTCCCCGAACCCTTCATGTCGTCGCACCGGCGCTCTCGCCCGCACGCGCGCCTCCACGAGCTCCTTCCTCGTCTCGCCTAACTCTTTATACCTTCTCAAATCATCCTCCACGCGCGGCGACACCGTCGTCGGCGGCGGCGACTTTGCCGCCGCGCGGTCAACCGTGCGGCGCGTCGCTTCTTCCTTCACTCTCGCCGCGAGATTCGCCTTCGACCGCTCTCGCACCGCGCGCATGTTTTCCTTCACCAAGTCTCGTCTCCCGCCTCGCGTGAGAATCGGCGGTAACGTCGTCGAGCGTCGCGCGCGCGCGCGACGCGTCCCGTCGCCAACGCCAACGCCAACGCCATCGCGCGCGTCTCGTCGCGCGTCTCGTCGCGCATCCGTCGCGTCCGTCGCGTCCGTCGTCGTCATTCGACGCAGCGACCGATTCGATGCTATTCTATCCTATCGCGCGACGCGATGCGCTCGTTGCCCTCGCGTCGCGTCGCGATGCGGCGTCGGCAATGTGGAATAAATCCAAACGACTCAACGACAGACGTGGATCGAACCGAACGTTCCTTGCGGCAGTGCGCGACGGCGGTCGTGACGGCGATCGCCTCGGCGGTCGCGACGACCGAAGACTGCCATGTCCGCGCCCGACGACGCGCTGTACGACGACGCGTACGCGCTGACGCTGCGACGCTTCGACGCGATGGACGACGCGCACGACGCGCGCTGGGCGACGACGAGCGCGCGAGATGGGGAGCGCGCGCGCGCGGCGTATTGGAAAAAGTACCGCGTGCGCGCGAACGCGGCGCTGGGAACGTTCGTGGAGACGGTGTGCGAACTACTCGAACGCGGCGCGCGAACGGGAGAAGAGACGGCGTACGGACGCGCGCTGCGGAACTGCGCCAAGGCGTGCGCCAAGGCGGAGACTGCGCTCTCGGGACGCGAACGCGCGATCGTGGTGAAGGGAATCGGGCCGAAAATGTGCGACGTAATGGAGGAGTTTTGGCGACGAAGTCGAGCGCCGACGGTGACAGAGTACGGCGAGACGCTGGGGGCGAGAAATTTCTTCGGAGCGGCGGGAGCAATCGCGGGAGAGCGGGCGCGGGAGACGCATGGCGCGACGAGTCGAAACGACGTCACAGATCTCGATCATCTGCGACACAAAGTAGCGCGCGCGGCAGGAGCGCGCGCGACGGAGAGCGAACCGGCGGCGAAACGCGCGAGAAATACCAAACCGTGGGTGCCCGGTTATCGCACGGCGGCGTTCGCGCTCTTGGTCACCGCGCATAGGCTCGCGCTCGAGGGGCGGGAGGTGTTGACTAAAGACGAGCTCCAAGACGAAACAGAGGTGAGTGGTTTGAGCGCCAAGGGGATCAAACCCAAACCGACGTCGCGCGCCGTCATGGGTGGGCGCGGCGCGGCGCAGCACTTCGCGTACTGCGGTTGGAATTCCTTCAAGTCGTTGAAGACGTTGCAGAATGGTTACGTCGAACCCATGGTGAACACGTGGAAGAAGTCCTACGCGATGCAAATCCGTCTGAGTAAGACGGGGACGGAGCTCGCTGCGAAATTACACGCCGCCGCGGAGGCGCGCGGGGACTGTTCGTGCGGTTTCGCTGCGCCGGGCGAAAACGTCAACCCAAACTTTGCCCGCGAATGCGAAGAAAACGACGACGACGACGACGAAGTGGCGATGCTGGACGACGCCGGAGTTTGGACACCAGTGTGTTCGCAACCTCTGCCATCGTCGTCGCAAGTACCGCGTGTGACGAACGCGGCGCCGGCTTTAAAGAACCTCGTGAGTCCGTCTAGAGGCGAATGGGCGCTCCCGCCGCTCCAAGGAGACGAAACGTACGCTGACAGGTACGAAACCGTCTTAGTGGTAGACGTTTCCGAGACGAAGTTCACAGAACGCGATCTTGAGTTCTTCCGGAATGCGGGCGTGAAGACGCTCAGGCACAGCCTCGACGCCGGTGATTTCGCTTGGGTCGCGTGCCCGAAAGGCCTCGCGCCGAGTTTGGGCGACGCGTATGTGCTAGATATCCTCATCGAACGTAAAGAGGTGAATGATTTACGAGCGAGCATCATACCGAGCGACAAGAGCGGACAGCGTTTTGTGCGGCAGAAGTATCGCATGAAAAATTATAGCGGGCTGAAGAACCTGGTCTATCTCATCGAAGGCAACTTGCGCAACGTGAGCGCCATGTTTCGTCGCGATCGCGGCGGCGGCGCGCGCACGTCTGTCCCCACGCATAGTGGAATGACGACCGTGGATATGGTCGGTCGATTACTCAGCGCTCGCGTGCAAACGGAAATCTTTCACGGATTCAAAGTGGTAAATACCATGCACCTGGAGGATACGAAGCGGTTATTGAAGAATTTGACGCTCTCCTTGCACGCGACGTACGGTCCGCTCACTCGCGCCAGGGCGAGCAAGAAGGCTCGCACTTTTGCCGAGTATGAACGCGATTTTCGCGAGATAAAACACAAAGAAGAAAGCACGGTTAAGGTCACGTGGATGCGCATGCTCGCGCAAATCGACGGCGTCGGTCCAATCAAGGCTCAGGCGGTCGTCGAGGTTTTCCCCACGCCATCCTCACTGAAAAGCGTCGTGGATCGGGACAGGCACCGCGCGCGCATGGAGCTGCAAGTCATTAGGACAGCCGCAGAGACACAGGCGAGATCCGTCGGTCCTTCTGCGAGTGATAAAATATTAGAAGCATTATTTCCCGTCGCGGACTAGCGAATCGCGCGAGAAGGACGTTTTGAACGGAAGCATAGAAACCTAGCACATAGAAGCCTACAACCTGATTTGGTCATCACGCGCGATTCCCTCGCCGTCATCGTCGTCCCGCACTGCGCGCCTCGCGGACGCCTCATCATGGCTTCAACCACCCGCGCCTGGCCGTCCCATCGTCCCGTTGCGCCCGCGCCCGCGCGGCATCACCGCAATCACCCTCACTCGCGCCCGGCTCGCGCGTCGTCGTTGTCGTCGTCGTCGTACGAAAAGACGTGGAGCAACCCGAGCGGTTCGGTGCTGGACGTCGTCGTGGCGGACAAAGTTTTCGCGTGTGCGCGGCCGTTCATTTGGAACGACATCGACGTCGGTGGTCGAATGGGGATCGTAAAGCTCGCAACCGACGGTAGCGTCTGGGTGCACTCGCCGATCGAGTTGGACGAGCGCACGAGAGCGGTCGTCGACGCTCTGGGCGTCGTTCGACACGTGGTGTCGCCGAACTACGAGCACCTTAAATACGCACAACAGTGGAAAGATGCGTACCCGGGCGCGACGTTATACGCCTGTCCCGGATTGAAGAGTAAACGTCCCGACATCTCGTACGACGTCGACCTCGAGGATGGCGTCCTCCCAGCGACGTGGTGGGACGAGTTTGAAATGGAATGGTTCGACTGCGAGGCGACGCCGGTGGTCGGCGGTGCGTTCTTTAACGAGGTGGTCTTTCATCACAAGCCAAGTCGAGCGTTGTTTGTGACGGACGTGTTTTGGAGCTACCCCGCACAGCCCGTCGACGGCGTGGCGATTCCATTGGGGACGAAGCTCTGGAAAGCGTTGATGGATAAAGTGTATTTGCCAATTTACCTGAAAGTGATGGTAACTAACCGCGAAAAATTCGAGAAGAGCGCGCGACGCGTGTGCGATGAATTTCAGTGGGACGTCATTGTACCGTGCCACGGCACGATAGAGAGCGGCGCGCGTGCGCGCGCGATGTTTCGGGACCACTTGTTGCGTGCGTGAGCCTTCGCTTGCCCGTCCCCGTCGAGCGCGGCACACGTCGACTCTCGACATGCCGCGCGAGACGAGACGATCGTCGAAGCGCCGAGACAGCGGCGGTGCGTCGATCGCCGGTGACGACGGCGCGAAGCGGAAGCGCGCGTCACCTGTCGCGAAAAAGGCAAAGAAGGAGCCTAAAGGGCGACGGGCAGAGGCGGTTGAAGCCGTCGCTCGCGGCGACGACCGTCCGTCGACGTCCGGGCGCTCGGGATTAGAGCTTAGCGAGCACGACGTGCTTTCGGCGCTCGGCGAGCGCGCGGTGTCCAACACCGTACCGGCGAGCGTACTGGAGAAATACGCGGAAGAGGATGCCGATGACGAATTCGGGGACGGGTGTTCAGAGTTGACGTCGTCTCAAGGCACGAGCGGGAAGACGTCATCTTTACGCGCGCGCCGCGCGCTGCCGGGTTTACGACTTCCAAACGAAGCCTTTGACGGTGATCGCGCGGAAGAGGGTGATCGCGAAATTGAAAGTGGATTCATGGCGGCGAACGACGGCGAGACAAAGTTGCCCGAAGACGGCTGGATACAACCGTGCTTCGCGTGCTCAAGATTAACATGGCAGAACGTCTCTCTGGGTGGCTTCAAGGTGTATCGATGTGCTTCGTGTGCCGAAACGTTTCGTGCGCGCGCGACTGCGATGCAACCTCAGGATGGAGGAGCGGCCGACGCAACCGCGGGAGACGACGGCGCAGAGGCAAAGGGCGACGTCTTGGCATCTCTCATGCTCAAGCTAAGAGCGATCGTGGATCAAGTCGGCGGCGAGCACTTGAAAGGTAGTTTGATGCCCATCGAATAACCATGGGTCTATTGTAACAAATATTTAGCTAGTAGTGCAGCAGTCGGTCGCGCAGGATCAAAGCTCGTCTCGGTGAATTTCCGGGATTTCCACACGCGCGCCGCCTTCCTCGGGTGAAGCGAAGTCGAACCACTCCTCTTCATCAAACATCGCATCGTCTTCGCCTTCAAGGTCGTACAAACCATGTTTTTCGCGCTCGCGCCTCCAGGCCTCCGCTTGGTCGCTTCGGAACGCCTCCCAATCCATCTCGCCGTCGGGCCTCCGATACTTGGTGTGCTCCGCTTCGCGCGCCTGCTCGTCGTCTTCCGTCGATGGATTCTCGACGTGAAACTTTGCGTTGTCCAAAAGATTCCACATCGCCGCGGAATTTCCAGACGGTGTGTTCTTCAGCTCCTTGGTCGCCGCCATGCACATGGTAATGACCATCGCTTCTCGCCATTGTTGTCTGTTCGCGCGCGCCTGCGCAAAGTTGAATACGCTGTTCACGATGTCATCGCACTCCGCCGGTGTGACTTTCTCACCATCGACGGCTTTCTGAATATTGTCATCGAACTCTATCAGTTGCTCTTCTCGCAACCAATCGAAGCACTGCCAAGGCTCCATGTCCTTAATTTTCATTTCATACAACGCAACGCCGGGGGAATCGATGAAGTCGATTACCAGTTGCGTCGTTTTCTTCGAGCCCTTGAACGGCAACCCTTTGGTCTTGTGCCCGCGAGGGAACAACTGTAAAGTGGGCAATCCGGTGATGTTGTACTTGATCGCCGCTGGTCGAGCGTTGTCGACATCTATTCTTGCTATTTTAACGCGACGATTCTTCGCGCGCCGCTCGCGAAAATAGTGCGCGCCGATTTGCTCGTAATCCTTCTCAAAAGCTTGGCAATGTCCACACCATTTGGCGTAGAACTCAACCACGACGTCGTAATCGTCATCGACGATGTACTCGTCGATGGTTTCCATCGTCAACTCGTCGACCACGGGCGGCACCGATACGCGAGCGTCGTGCTTACGACCGAGCGCGTAGTTCAACCACTCAACCGTTTCCTTCGCGTTCAACGCTCCTTTAAAGCGCTTTGGCTCTCTAATCTTCGTCTCGCCTTGAGGCGTGACGTAGTACCACCGGTTCTTTTTCAAAAGCGCCACGAACGGCGCGCTCTTGGCGTTGAACGCGCCCGTGGCATTCGGCGTCGCACGCGCGTCGGGCACCTCGACGAAAACCAACGAATTCGATGGCGTCGCGGCGTCCACGTTCCCATCTGCGTCCGATCGTGCGAACAGTTCTGCCACGTATCTGAACTCCTGCGCGTAGTTTGCGCACAGCTCACAGTCCGGGATCAACAGCGCCAACACCACCGTGGCGTCGCCGAGCGTAGCGAACAGCTCGCGCTCATCCGTGGTTTGATAATAGTTCTCCGTTCGCATCGCCTCGTTCGCTCTCTGATGCGCCGTCTTGGACGTTTGCAGCGCCGTCCCGAGATCGATCGGCGTCCCTCGCTCGCTCGCCATCGCGCGCGCGATCGTGACGAACGACGACCTCGTCGCCAGCAGTGACACGATTGTAATCACCATCGTGCGAGTTAAACGACACGCGAGCGACGCCTTCGCCGAGCGCGCGGCGCGCGTTCGACCACGACGCCCATCGCGTTCGTCCATCTTCGCCACCGTCGGCGTATCGACGCCCATCGATCGATCGATCGATCGATCGATCGATCGTCGCGCGAGCCGCGCTGTGCCACGTTCGGGACCAGCGCCGCGACAGCACTCGCGCGCGCGCGCGCGCGCACGACGCGTCGTCCGTCGGTCAAAACGTGCGTCATGGACGCGCGCCCCGACGACGCGTCTCGTGCGCCGCGCGCGTCGACGTCGGCGTCGGCGTCGGCGCTCGACTTTTACTCGCCCGACTTCGACCCGGCGTTGGCTTTGCGAAAAGATTCGGGCGCCGTGCCGCCGCGACCGCGCGCGCGGGCGTTGGACACGGTGCGACAGTGTCGACGATTGCTCCCGTCGGGCGCGGACGAGGGTGAAGGTGGGCTCGGGCGCGGCGGAGCGCGAGCGACGCGAGACGCGACGTCGTTCGCGGCGCAGGCGAGAGCGAAGCAACGCGCGGAGAAGTTCACGAAACAGGGCGAGAAGTTTGCGCAGCGCGAACGCGTGTGTGATGTGCTGGCTAACTCGAAGCACGCGCGAGATGGACCGCTGCGGGTGCTGAGGGACGCGCGCGAGCGCAGAGAACGAGTGAAAATCGTAACGCGACACGCGCGAGGCGTGCGAGGCGTCGCCACGGCGTACGTAGAGGCGTTTGATAAGTTTTCGAACATGATTCTCACCGACGTCGAGGAAACGTACAGCGTGCGCGTGATGCGTGAGGTGGAGAAGGAGCGAACGCTGCCGAGCGAAATCGACGGAGGCGCGACGACGACGGAGACGAAGACGCGCATCCTTCCAAAGTTAGATGTTCGCACGCGGCGCATACAGCAAGTCTTCGTGCGCGGCGAGCAAATCGTCTCGGTTTCAATCCCACCGAGCGGCGCTTAGGAATAGTGTGTAGAGCGTGTAGAAGAATGAAAGTTTTAGAACGCCGCCCCCGCGTCGTCGGCGCGAGTGAAACGCCTAGCTCGCTCGGCTGCCTGTGTCACCCCGTAATTCGCGGGGCGGGGTAGTTCTGTTTACATTGTCGTCCAGTACTCGTTCGTTCGGCCGAATCCGCCGTCGGCGAGCGCCCGAAGTCCGTTGTTTCTCGCGCCGTTGATATCGCGGTCAATGGTCAGCTTCATCGAGAGCGATCAGAGCTGATATTAGTTCACAAAGTTTGGCACCCAGTACAACGCGACGAGACCGGTGGCTATGAGCTTGGTCGTCACCCCGACCGCGCCAGAGACGTACTCCGGCACCCCCGCGGCTTGCTTGAGCTGCGCGCCGATGATGATGAAGAGCGTCGGGAGCAACAATCCGAGCGTGTCGCCGGACATGGCGGGATCGAGCGCCCACGTCACCAAGTCATCCTTATTCCCGGGCACTAAAATGATACCATCGCTGCGCACGACGCTTCCGTTGATGACGCTCTGCGTCGACGGTTTCACCCGAAGCGGCGACACGTAGTCGTCTCTGCACTTTTGCAGCTCGGGATGCTTCGAGCACAGCGAGCTGAAACGTTCTTTTTGCTCCGCCTTCGTCATCTTGACTTGCTTGTCGAACCCAGTTTGCGTCGCGCGTTTCTTCCTCGCGGCCTCGATCGCGGACGGGAAGTATCCGTACTGATTCGGCGCTTCGAACTCGGCGCTCGCCTGCGCGAGTGGATAGAGTCAGTCGCTCGGTGTCCGGTGGCGTTCGGCGCGCCGCACCTGCTTCGTCGCATTCGCCGGCGCCGCGCGCGTCGCGACGGGGCGCTGCGCCGTCTTGGTCGCCGTCGCCTTGGTCGTCGCCTTGGTCGTCGACGCCTTGGTCGTCGTCGTCGTCGTCGTCGTCATCTTTCGCGCGCGTCGCAGTGCGGACGACGTCGTCGGTCGGTGCGCCGCGTTCGCCGCACAGGCTGTCGTACAGTCGACATGGATGCCTCGCGCGCGTCGCGCTCGCGCGCGAGAGCGAGAGAACGCGCCGCGTGTCGCTCTCTCGCGCTGTGCATCGTCGCCTTCGCCTCGCTCGCCGCGAGCGCGTCGATCGCGCTGTGGATTGGTGACGAAGACAACGCCCTGGACGACGCGACGAAGGACGAATTCGGGCTTCGCCGATGGATTTGGCAGAGCGCGATCTTGGTCACGGCGGTGTGCGCGTTAGTGTGCGCGTGGATGACGCGCGCGAGCGACCCGGGGATCGTCGTACCGACGGCAGAGGACGACCGCGCGGCGGCGTGCGTGAAGCGCCTCGACGAGGCGACGCGCGTCAAGGCGGAAGCGACGAGCGAGGAGAGCAAAAGCGGGGACAAGTGCCCATCGTACAGCGATAGACTTAGACAGTGCGTCATCGATGCCGTCGAAGAAGACGCCGAAGCGCGCTCTTGGGGCATGGATCGAGATTTCGGCGGCGCGTGGACGCGACGAGCTCTAACCGAAACGAGCGCGACGAACGACGACGCGAGGTTAAAGTTTTGCGTCACGTGCCAACTCTGGCGACCGCCGATGGCGACGCACTGCGCGACATGCAACGTGTGCGTGCGAAGGTTCGACCATCACTGCGGCGTGATCGGGAACTGCGTCGGTGAGTACAACCATAGTTGGTTTCTGGCCCTCTTGACGAGCGGCGCAGCGATGGGAGTTCTCATATTTATTGTAGCGGCGTATTCGCTCGCGAAGATGTCCAAGAATGCGTGGCGTTCTACGGCGTGGCCTTACATGTTACTCGCGTGCGCCCTGTCGGGCGCGCATGTCATTGGTTTCGTATGTTTCGCGTGGACGCACTGGGTGATGTTCGTGCTCGACATCACCACAAAGGCGTGGATCAAACGCGAGGCGGGCGCAACGGTGGCTGACGTTCGGCGGCAGTTCGGCCTGCACAGATCCATGTATCAGCGGTGCTGTCACGTGCCGTTGCGTTCGCGAAGCACGGCCATGCGCGAGTTTCTTGAGCGAAGACGCGAGCCCATCGACGCCGTGGCGGCGTGCGCGTGAAATCGTCGCAAAGTCCGTCGGTACGCACGTAGGCACGCAAGCGTAAGTATAGTATTATCAAGCAAGTAGCGCGTAGAGTAGTGCAGTGTCGCGTAACAGCGGCGTCGACGACCGATATCAACCAGAATTAGTTTACAGCATGTTTCGTTCGCCAAACATTTCGTACATCGCCTGGCCCATCTTCGCCGGCGACTTGACGACGCGAACGCCGACGCGTTCGAGCGCGGCGATTTTATCGCCTGCGCTACCCTTACCGCCTGATATGATCGCTCCGGCGTGACCCATACGCCTGCCTGGGGGTGCGGTGAGCCCCGCGATGAAGGATACAATCGGCTTTTCGGTACCGCTCGCGCGAATAAACTCCGCCGCTTCCTCTTCCGCGGTGCCGCCGATCTCGCCGATCATGATGATGCCTTCCGTCTGCGGATCCTTGACGAACTTCTCCAGACAATCGACGAAATTAGTGCCGTTGAAAGGGTCGCCCCCGATCCCCACGCATGTGCTCTGCCCGAGTCCCGCGACGGTCGTCTGATACACCGCCTCGTACGTCAACGTCCCGCTTCGTGAAACCACGCCCACGCGTCCTGGCTTGTGAATGTATCCAGGCATGATTCCAATCTTACACTCGCCGGGTTTGATGATTCCCGGGCAGTTCGGCCCGATCAATCGCGTTTTGCTTTGCGACATCAGCGCCTGTTTGACTCGCACCATGTCGTGTTGCGGAATCCCCTCCGTGATGCACACGACGAGCTCGACTTCCGCCTCTATGGCCTCCATCACCGCCCGCGCCGCGAACGGTGGTGGGACATAAATCACGCTCGCGTTGGCTTTCGTGCTCTCTTTCGCCTCTCGCACGGTGTCGAACACGGGCAGATTCAAGTGCGTCGTTCCGCCCTTGCGCGGCGTCACCCCGCCCACGACTTGCGTCCCGTACGCGATCGCCTGTTCGCTGTGAAACGTGCCATTCTTGCCCGTGAACCCTTGCACTATCACGCGCGTGTTCTTGTCGACGAACACCGCCGGCGAGTCGGCGTGCGACGACGACGATGCGCGCACCGATGCCGTTGACGACGACGTGAACGCCGCGCGCGCCGCGCGCGCGACCGCGCTCGCCGCGCTCGCCGCGCTCGCGCGCTCGATCAACGACTTGATCGACGTTCGACGCATCATCGCTGTCGTCGACGGACGACGACGGACGCGCGACGACGAACGCGTCGCGATCTCGCGCTCGCCCATCGCGGCCGCGCAGCCGCGGCACACGGCGACGCGATTGATTTCGTGATTTGGGTTGATTGCGACTCGATTTCGTCGAGGCCCGCGCGTGATGTCCGCGGATTCCCCGCAGGCGTGGTACGCCGCGCTGCCGCCGATATCAAAGTTTTGGTTCACGTCCTGCGCGCTGAGCACGCTCGGGTTCCACGCGAAATTCGTCGACCCGCGCGCGATGATGCTGTCGTGGCGAATGATTTCACTCGCCAAGGGCGGGAAGTTTCAACCGTGGCGATTGCTGACGAACTTTGCGTTTTTGGGGAAGCTGAGCTTAGGGTTCGCGATGCGCATGGTGATGATCGCGCAGTACTCGGTGTCGCTCGAGAAGGAGGCGTTCACGGGCGCGAGCGGGACGGCGGATTATATCGCGTTTCTCCTCTTCGGCGCGTGCGCGTTGACGCCGCTCGAGCTCGTCGTGCCGTCGATCGCGCAAGCGTTCTACGGCGATAGCTTAATTTTCATGTGCCTGTACTTGTGGAGTCGAGAGCACCCGCGGGCGAGGGTATCGTTGATGGGAATCGTGCGCGTGGGCGCGTTTTATTTTCCCTGGGCCATGCTCGTGATGACGGCGCTCATGGGAGGCGACCCGATGCCTGATTTCTTGGGCATTATCGTCGGGCACGCGTATTACTTCTTCGCGCGCCTGTACCCACTACACAGCGGGCGACGATCGATCATCCAAACGCCGAAGTTTGTGCACGCACTCGCGGATTACATCAATAGCGGAAACGGAGTGGTGAGCGCCGCTTCAAACGTCGTGCAACCGCCTCGACAGCGATACTTCGCGGGGCAAGGGCGCAGATTGGGCGGCGACTAGCTTCTACATTTTAACTACACGCGACCTTCGCGTAAAATCATCAATCCTGCCTCTACCGTGAGCCCGAGAGCGGCGCCGAGGGCGGCGCACAGCCCTCGCGCCCACGCGGGATTCGCGCCGCCGCGCTCCAACGCGCCGCCGCCGACGTATCCCGCGCACGCGAAGGCGAACATGACGGTCAGCACGTGCGCGGCGAACCCAAACGCGCGCGTATCCGCCTTAAATCCCATCGGAGACGAGCGGTCTGATCCTCGAGTGCGATCCACATCGCACGTCATCTTCGCGAACGCGCGTGCCTCGACGACGTCTCGCAGCGTCGCCATGAGCTCGCGGTGCGCTCGCCTCGCCTCCTTCTCCTCCTCGGTCAGCTCCTCGCGCTCGCGAACGACTTCGAAGCGAATGTTCGCGAGCGTGAGCACCGCGCGCACGCTCGGCACGTTTTCGCCGTCGCCGATCGCTCGCAACGCATCGCACGCGTCGAAGACGACGTCGTAATCCACACCGCGCGCGTGCGCGTCCTTCAACGCCTCGACGCATCGTTCGCGCACGTCGCGATCGACGTCGGGGTGCGAGCTCGCGCGACGAATGCATGCGTGTAAGTCCTCGCGCGCGGTGACATCGATTGCGATCCTGCCCGACGTCGAGGGCTCGGAAGACATCGTCGATGTGCGGGCGAGGCGGCGGCGACGCGAGGAGAGCTACAGAATTTTTCGTCGACGTTACGTTGACGTTGACGTTGCAAATGACTAGGCTCGTTCGCGTTCACGACCCGACTTTGAAACCATCGCAGAATAAACCGTATAAAACACCAATCTTGAAGCAATTTAAAACCGTCGGTAGCCAATCGCCCTCGCGAACCCAACGCAAAATCCCGCCTTGGTTTTCGTCGCCGTAGAGCACGCTCGAGGCGAACTCGGCGAGCAAGATTATGGTGAACGAAATGAACGCGTCTTGCGGGCTTTCGGGATGAGGTAGCAGCGCACACACGGAAAATCCGACCAGCAGAGAAATCAACGCCAGAGGCAGCTTTTTAAAGTTCTTCTTCGCCCTGCGCCAGGTCTTCGTTCGCAACGAATCGACCGCGCGTTGCACGCGCGTTTGGCCCAGTCGCGAGGACCCGTCGTCGTCGTCGTCGTCCCCGCTCGCCACGACATCGCTCATCGCCGACGTCGAGACATCCCGGCGGTGATGGCGGCGGCGGCGACGCGGTGCGCGCGCGTCGTCGTCTTCGTCGCCCACGGCGCCGACGATGAGCGCCGAAGCACGACGCGCGGTGGTTAGGGCGACGACGCTCGACGCTCGACGCTCGACGCACGCGCGCGAATACGCGCGCGGCGCGCGAACGCGGCTCGTGCGCGCGGTGTCGCGCGAGGACGAACACGCGACTTCACCGACGTGGGTACTCGCGCACGACGCGCGCATCGGGAACGCGCGTCACGCGCGCGCGCGGTTTTGACGAGGCAGCACACATCGTGACTGTTTACTGCTCATGACTCAAGACGATAGTCGGATGGGCATTCTTGACTCATGGACCCGACCCGACGATTACGGTCTACCTGTACCTCGTCAACGCGAATGATCGATGAAACGAAACGTCTTAAATAACATGTACCAGTATTACGTTTACTCTCTGTCGAGCTCGGCGAGCGAGATGAACCCCGACGCCCCCGCGTCAGCGTCTGGGTGATCGTCGTCGACGCCGTAGCCACCCCAGTGTTCGCGCGGAGTTCTATCCGGCGTGGCCGACTTCTTTTGCGTCGATTTTGACGCGCTATACAGTCGCTCGAGCACGACATCTCTCGGAGTCTCACGTTGTCGAGAAACGAGACGCGGCGTAAATGGGTGGCGGGCGTCATCGGCGTCACGCTCATGATTTATTGACGTCGCGAAGTCCTCGCGTGACTTTTTCAGCGCCATGCGCTTCTTCAGCGCCATGCGTAGCGACCTTTGATCCAACACCGGCGCGAAAGTCGCCCCGTGCAATTCTTCCTGCTCCTTCTTCGCCTTGGCGCTACGGATTTTCTCTTCTCTGCGATCGTTCCACGCCTGAAGGTCTTCAAGCGTTCTATGCGTCTGCGCCGCTCGGTTCGTCATGGGCACGCGCTCTCCAGAAACATCAACCATTTCTTTGGCTCGTTTTTCTTCTTCGGCTTCCCGACGTCGTTGCTCCGCGCGTTCCGCCGCCTTTGACGCAAATCTCTGTTGGCGCGAAGAAAAGTCGGGCATCTTCGCTGTGAGTTCCCGAGTCTTCTTACCGATGTGCGCCGACACACTCCGCATCGCGAGTCGACGTGCGCTCGCCTCCGCCGCCTTTCGTGCTTCTTCTTGCTGCTTGCGGCTAGCCTCGCCGCGCGCGCGCAGCGACTCGACGCTTTCCATAATCTGTCGACCCGTCAAATTTGCTTTTCGGGTTGCGGCGAGTTCGGCTTGACGTATCTCTTCCATTCGCGCCGACTCGCGCGCTTGTCTAAGAATCCACTCGCGGAGCAAACGATCTTCGACCGTTTCTCCATCGGTTCTCCGGCGCGGCTTTGGCTTTTTCGATTCGTCAGTCGCGCCGGCGATGGACGAAAGCGCCGACTTGCTCTTCGAACGAAGTGACGAAGACTTCGTCGCGCGAGCAGCGTCTCTCATCGTACTAGTTGCAGTTGTCGCAGACTCCATTCTACCTCCGTCATCGGGCTGCGGCGTGTTTGGCGCCGTCTGAGCGCCCCCAGACGCCGTTCTCGCCAAGAGCGTCGTCGCGGTCGGAGGCGGTGACAACGGCTGCGCGGTGAGCGTTCCATTCGCACTCATGGGCGTTGACGCGTGAAACACCTCTGAATCTCCCGTCGTCGCCGTCGCGCTCGACCCCGTGAGCACGTACCGCGCCGCTTCCAACGCGGCGCCCGCGTTCGACGTCCCTACTTCCTCTAACCCGAACGCCGTCGTCAAGCGAATCAACTCAAAGATATCACCGTCGCTCAGCGTGTTCTTCTTCAGCCCGTTCTCCACGTGTGCTTCTAAGCGTGCGAATATCTCCTCACGCTTGTCCTCGCCCCCTTCGTCGCCGACGAATCGTTCGCCTTCGAACGAGTTCGTTCGCAAGCTCGCGAGGACGTGTCGCACGGGCGATAACAGCGCCTGCGACACCGATCGAGGCGGCGAAGTCATCGCCGCGGTCGCGCGCGCTCGACGCTCCCGCGGTCGACGACCGAGCGCGCGCGTCCGAATGACGATCGCGCGTCGTTCGAGGCGAACGACCACCGCGCGGGTGGATGTTTTTGATTAATCAAATCAAACGACGTCGACGCGCGCGAGGACGTTCGACGCGTGACTCCGCGACGCGGCGATCGACGCGCGATGTACGCGCGCGCGAGACGCGCGCTCGCGTCGCGCGCGTCGGCGTGTTGGCCGCGCGACGCCGTCGCATCGACGTCCTTCGCGCGCGCACAGTCAGCACAATCAGCGCGCGCAAAGTCGTTAGGACGAGGACGGGCGTGCGCCGCGCGGAATGTACCGACGTGGGCGACGTGCGACCCAGAGGCGATGTCGCGGCGCACCGGCGGACCGGCGACGTGCGCGAATCTCATAAACGGCACCTGGCGCGCACCGTCAACGGGGGAGACGACTGAACGCGTGGTGGACCCGATGGCGAAGGACGACGTCGTCGTCGTCGCGCCGAAGACGAACACCGAAGGCGAGATTGCCGAAGTCGCGCGATCGTTGGCGTCGTGCCCGAAGAGCGGGTTGCATAATCCATTCAAGGCGCCTGAACGCTACCTGAAGTACGGTGAAGTCAGCGCGAAGTTGGCGGAGGAGATGCGCAAACCGGCCGTGGAGGAATTCTTCGCGCGACTCATTCAACGCGTGGCGCCGAAATCCCACGCTCAAGCTCTCGCTGAGGTCGTAGTGACGCGAAAGTTTTTGGAAAACTTCGCAGGCGACAACGTACGTTTTCTGGCGCGAGGATTTTCCGTTTCCGGAGACCATCTCGGCCAAACGTCGCACGGGTTGCGATGGCCGTACGGACCGGTTTCCGTCATCACGCCTTTCAACTTTCCCTTGGAGATTCCCGTGTTGCAACTCATGGGCGCGCTTTTCATGGGGAACAAGGCGTTGGTAAAATCTGATACGAAAGTTTCCATCGTGCTCGAGCAGTTCATCAGGCTCATGCTCGAATGCGGGGCCCCGGCGACCGACCTGGATTTCATTAACTGCGATGGCGCGACGATGAACGAAATTTTGCGCAGAGCGAAACCGAAGATGACGCTCTTCACTGGGTCGCAAAAGGTTGCGCACCATCTCACAAAAGAGCTCGACGGCAACGTCAAGCTCGAAGACGCTGGGTTCGATTGGAAGATTCTCGGCCCGGACGTCGGTGACGTTGATTACGTGGCGCACGTTTGCGATCAGGACGCGTACGCGTGCAGCGGTCAAAAGTGTTCGGCGCAATCAATTTTGTTCATGCACGAGAACTGGGTCAAGGCTGGAATTGAAGCGAAGATCGCATCACTCGCGGCGCAGCGCAATCTGAGCGACTTGACGGTTGGCCCCGTGCTCACCGTGACCACGCAAACGATGTTGGATCACGCGAAGAAACTGGCTGAACTCCCCGGCGCTCGCGTCGCCTTCGGCGGAAGAGAGTTGAACGAGGGGGAGCATAATATTCCCTCGCAATACGGCGCCATCGAGCCGACGGCTATCTTTGTCCCGTTAAAAACAATCATGGCGAGCGATGAAAACTTCAAGCTCGCGACGACGGAAATTTTCGGCCCGCTGCAAGTGCTCACGTCTTACTGCGACGACGAAGTCTCGCTCGTGCTCGACGCGTGCGAGAAAATGGACGCACATCTGACCGCCGCGGTGGTGTCGAGCGACGAGTTGTTCGTCCAGCGCGTCCTTGGATCAACTGTAAACGGTACCACGTACGCCGGTCGACGCGCGAGAACGACGGGCGCGCCTCAAAACCATTGGTTCGGTCCCGCCGGCACGCCGCTCGCCGGTGGAATCGGAACCATCGAAGCGATTCGGCTCGTCTGGTCGTGCCATCGCGAGGTCATTTACGACCGCGGTCCTGTGGAAGCCGGGTGGACCACCCCGCCACGCGCCTAGATCGCCGTCACAATTTTGTCTGTGTTATTCAGCTGCAACCAAAACTTAAACCGCCAAAACGAGCGACGAGAACGCGGCGCGCGCGCGCGCGCCAGGGTTTGCAGGGATCACCTCGTCTTCACTCAGTCGCGCGTCGACGACGACGAAAGACGCACCGCGCATCGACGATGTCAAGAATGCTCGCAACGCTGCGCACGCTGCATCGCGCGAGCTCGAGCGTGCGCGCGTCCACGTCAACGGCGTCTCCGTCGACGTTCGCACCGTTCGACGGCTGGTTGCACACCGCGCGCGGCGTGCGGAGTTTTCACGCCTCACCGCGCGCGTTCGACGGCAAAGGTGATCAAGCGAGCGAAGACGCGACGTCAACATCTTCTGCGGCGTCTTCGAGCGGTGAACCCGGCGTGAGTCCGCTGCGACAGGCGCCGGCGCCGACCAACGCTTTGCGAGGCGCGTTCATCCCGGGCGCGTTGACGGACGAGGGGATATCCGAGAGCGCGAGTGCGATTCTACGGGGCGCAAAAGGCTCACCGAAGAAGTTTAGCGCGTTTCTCCGCCTCGTCCGCGGGCTTCGCGTCGACGACGCGCTCATCCAGTGCGACATGAGTCCAAAGCGAGTGGCGAAGACTGTAGCGAAGGTGCTCCAGAGCGCCATTGGAAACGCGGTTAACAATCAAGGGCTCGATCGCGAGCGACTAGTAGTGTCGTCCGCGACGGTCGGAAAGGGCGAGTACCTGCGACGGGTTTCCATCCACGGTCGAGGACGCGCAGGCGTCATGCATCGCCCGCGCTCGCACGTCAGAGTCACCGTCGAAGAAACCGACGCGGCGCCGAAGCGGACGGTGGAAGTCTTCGACGACGAAATGCCGTGGGAGCGCAGACGTAGGTTGGGTAGAGCGAAGCAGGCAATCGCCGAAGCAGCTGGAATCGTTTAGTCTTTAATACAACATTTGTTCTAGTACTAGTACTGCGCGCCGAAGTCGCTTTCGCGATTCGTCGCTACGCGATTTCGCCTACGCGACTTCGCCACCAAAGTCCTCGATGAGTGACTTGTTCGTGATCATCGTGAACCCATCGTTGCCGTACGCGTCATCTAGCGCCGCTTTCACCGCCGCTCGCGCAACGTTTTCCAAAGGAACTGGAGCATTTTCGACGAGCGCGCCGCCGCACGCGCGTAAAATCGCTCGCGTCGGGTCCATGACGAGCGACAAAGGAAGCGTTACGCCGCCACCCATTCTGCGCGTCCCGCTCACTGCCGCGGGCTTGAGTATGAACGCACGCCGTCCGTTGCTTTCACTCGCAAATTCGTCTCGCGCGAACGCCTCCACCTGAGCCTTGCCCTCGGCGTAAGACGCGAGACCAGGCACGAATGGCGGAATCGAGGCTCCGACAACGACCAATCTTCGCACGCCCTCTTCCATCGCCGCTCGACCGGGAATCACGTTCGTCGCCCCGTTTGTTCGCACGATTTCTTCAGCTTTGAGCCAAGGAAATGGTAAGCCACCTATCGCGGTGACGACCGCGGTAGCCCCTCGTACGGTTTCTCGACACTGCGCGACGTCGAGCGCGTCGCACTTTACCCAACGCGCGCGCGCCGCCCACGGTTCGTCGCGCGCCCAAGACGGAGGTGCGCCCGTGCGAGACGCGCACACGATATCGACGGCATCGCTCGCGTCCGCCTTCGCGTCCGCCTTCGCCGCATCGCTCGACGTCGTTTGCGTCGTCGCCTTGACAGCCGGTGACGTCGTCACCAGCGTCAGCGCCCTCGCGATGGCGCTCCCCACGTATCCGCTGCCGCCGAACACCACGACGCGTCGAAGCATCGATGGCGTCACCTTCATCGCTCGCGCGTTCGCCCGCGTGTCCTCGCGCGTCGGCGAGCGTCGTCGCAAGACGACGCGACACTTTTTGACGCCATGGCTGTGGCGTTCGCGACGACCTCTCTCGCGCGCGACGTCGTGCGCGTCGCGAACGACGCGCGACGTGCGAGTTCATCTTCGTTTGCGTCGACGTCTCCTCGCGCGCGTCGCGCGCGCGCGCACGCGACCGTCGACGACGGTGCGCGATTCGTTCGTCTGTGCGAGGCGGCGGCGGGAGACGGGACGCGAACGCGCGACGATTTAGTCGACATCGGGGGCGTCGAGAGCGAAGAAGGCGTGTGCGGCGTCGTGGCAAAAGTCCACATCCCGGCCGACACGCCCATCATGACGCGCGCGCTGTCGTCGACGGCGTTCGACGCCACGTACGCGCGGAGCGACGACGCTTTCGGCGCAAACGCGGCGATTTCTGCGTACGAAGGCGAAGTACAAAGACTCGTGAGCGATGACGTCCCGATGGCACTCATGTTGGTTTTTGCGAAACGATATCCCGAACGTTCGGCTTTGGGGGCGTACGCGTTGTCGCTCCCGAAAGAGGCGGCGGACACGCCCGCGCTGTACGAGGACGAATCGTTGGAAGCGCTTGTGCCGATGCTCTCGCTCCACTTCGTCGACCAGGTGGACGCGGCGCGACGAGAATTTGCGATGTCATGCGCCGACGCGAGACAGATTGTCGCTAAAATGAGCGACGAGCCGGCGTTGGAGGATCTCGAATTCGCTTGGGCGTGGTCTATGGTGCGCAGTCGAGCGATTACGTTCGCGGTGAAAAAGTCTGGAACGGACGTCATCGAGCGTAAGCGATGTCTCGTACCCGTTTGCGACGTGCTCAATCACTCGCCCACGAGCACGAGCGACGACAGCGACGACGGGCCGAATGTCAGCATCGAATCGAATGACGTCGGCGAATCTATTTGGAAGACGACACGCGACGTAGCGAAAGGTCAAGCTTTGCGCTGGACGTACGGCGAACTGTCGAATGAGGAAATGTGGTTGTGGTACGGATTCGTACCTTCGACGCCGTCGCACGGCGATTGCTCGGTCGTTTTCAACTTACCAGACACTGTGTTCGCGAACGGATTGAACGCCGTAGCGAAGGAAGATAGAGAAGAAACCGCCGCGCTGAGACGCAGACTCCTCGAGCGGTGCGGCGCTTTGGGCTTAAACGAGGGCGAGGAACTATCGTTCGTGCTCACGATGCGAGGGAATCCAAAAGTGCTCGGTGGTATCGCTGGTCTCATGTGTTGCGACGCGGACGAAGTCGTCGCCGTCGCCGCGTCCGCGGTGATCGCATCGAACGGCGGCGGTGACGGCTCGTTGTTTAGTTTCAAGCCGGAAACGCGTCGGCGAGCGGGACGATACGTCGCGTGGTTGCTTACTCAAGTGGAAGCATTCGTCTGTGGTGCCACGGACGCGGAGATTGCCGAGCTCGAGCGAACGGCTGAAGCCGTCGGCGGCGAGTTCGCGGCGCGTTTCCGCACGGCGAAGCGTCTTCGTACCGGAGCGAAGAGCACTTTTGCGGCCGTCCAAGGCGTGCTCACGGAAGAAAGTCTGCTCAAAAACGGATCTTGGATCGATGACGCGACGAAAACGCTAATATCGACGTAACTGGGTGGTGTTAAAAACCGGATCTTGGATCGATGACGCGACGAAAACGCTAATATCGACGTAACTGGGCGGTGACGCAATAGGGCGCGAAATGTAAACAATTGTATGTACAGTCGCCTCAAATCACGGCGTCGAGAATGTCTATTTTTCTAGAGCGATAATCGCGGACGAGCCCTTGCGAGTACGCATCTAACACCGCGATACCGGTCTCTATTTTACCCGTCGCGCTTACCATTTTTGTCTTCAACTCTTCCGCGCGCGTTCGTATCGCCGCGATCGCCATCTCTTCGTCGCCACACATTTCGTTGAACAAAAGGAGCATCGAATCACTCACGACGCAGCCTTCGCCGAGATACAAATCTTGAATCACTCGTCGTCGAAGTCCGGATTTCTTATCTAACGTATATTTTCCGTACTTGTCGCACACCATTTTCACCACGCGCTCGCTCTCTCGGTTCCAGATATCGTCCGCGGCGTCGGCGCCGCACAGCTTTCGATACCAATCCAGCGCCTCGCGGCCGTTGTTGAACAGTTTCACTCGGTTGAACGAGTTCCGCCGCGGAAGAAACCCGTAAAATAACGCAAAGTGCCGATCGCACTGTTCACCGTACGACAGAAAAAATTCTTCACCCTTGCGAACGTCTTTCGTGGCGGATATGAAGAATACATCGGCGTCGTTCGCCACCCAATCGCAGTTCACGTCTTCGGGGACGCTAGAGTGGTTGATTAAATCCGCCCCGGCCACGAGCGCGCGTCGCGTCGGTCGCCGTCCACGCTCGTCCTCGAGACGAAACGTGCGCGAGTGCACTAACGACACCGCCCATCGCCATTCGTCTTCACTCAGGCTTGAATCGAGCGCGCGTTCGAGAGCGAACGAGTCTTCGATTTGTCGCGCGAACGTCGTCATATCCGCGACGGCTTCGGTGCAATCCCAGACGTCGCGTAACGCCTCGACGCACCGCGCGTCGTTCGCCAGCCCGATCGCCGGTCCATCGCCCATTTGCGGTAAACTCGACACGTAGCGCCGCATGAAATCCGTCGACGCGCGTCGTCGTTCTTCGACGAGTCTTCGCGCCAGTTGCCTCGACCACGGCGCGTCTCCGCTCGGGTCGTCCACCACGGCGTGCGCGTCGAGCGACGCCTCCAACAGCGTCTCCCCGCGTCGCACGTCTCGCGACGCGAATAAACCTCGCACTCCATCCGCGTTCGTCCCGCACGCGCACGTCGTCGCCGCGCCGAGCGTCGCCAAGATGAACTCAACCGACGACGACGCGTTTTCGTTTTCATCGTCCACGCGTCGCGTCGACGTGCTCGCGGGCGACGACGCGGCGCGCGCGACGGCGCGCTGAGAACACCGCGAGCGCGCGTTCGGAGCCGAGACGCGCGCGGCTGGCGACGACGTCGCGGTGACGAACATCGCCGGGCGCCGCGCGGCTCGCGCGGCGCTTCGACAACTGCGGCGACGCGCGCCTCGCTCGCGCGGGGTCGTCGCGCGGCGTGTGGTGCTTGGTTGGGTATATTACAGTGCTAGTATCGATCGAACTCATCGATCGTCGACGACGCATCGCGGCGACGAGCGAACGCGATCGCGACGGATATCCGACGCGCCCCTCCGTCGTCGCGCTCGACGCGTTCGTTTGGTCGCTCGCTCGCGCGTTCGCGTCCTCTAGTGTTGTCCTCCGCCGAAAGATTCGTTCAAACCGGGGAAAATTTGCGGTCCGTGTCCTTTACCGCCGTACATCGAGCGCAGGAATCGTCGCACGCGGTGGTCGCGCCAATTTTTCCCTTCGTCAAAGTCAGCCTTTGTCTCGAGGATCCCAGCCATGCGTCGAGATTTCGCCGCCGTGAACCCCGGGCTCGCGACGAGTTGGCGGGTGCAGAAGAATCCACACAATCCCACGGCTCCACCGATGGCGGCGAAGATCGGGTACACCTGCGCGCGCGAACGAGGACGGGACGTCGTCAGTCGTCGTGATCGTTTAGGGTACGGCGCCGCGCGAAGATCGCGCGCGGACGACGGGTGACGACGCGCTCTGCGCCGTGCGCTCCGCGCGACGCGTCCGGCGTCCTCCACGGTCGTCGTCTCGAGCCTTGACGCACCTCCGGTCGTAACCAACGTTGGGCGAACGTGGTGCTCATGACACACCGCGGCGAGGCGAGGCGCGCACTGAGGGATTTCGCGAGTCGCGAGGCGGAGTTACAACAAAATCGAAGAAGACGAAACGGAGTGATGAAGCGAGCGATCGGGAGTTACAACAAAATCGAAGAAGACGAAACGGAGTGATGAAGCGAGCGATCGACAGATTCCGCGGCGTCGAACAAATCGTGACGAGTGATGATGCCGCGAATGGCGCCGGTGGCGGCGTCGACGACGCACAGATGGCGAAGACTGAGACGAGTGAAGAGGACGTACGCGTCTCTCGCGCGCGCGTCGGCGGCGATGGAGGCGGGAGATAACGCCATGAAGACGCCCAGATCGCAACGACGCTCGCGCTCGACGTCGGTGAGACCGAGTCGAGCGATGATGGAAGACTCAGCGCGACGACCGTGACGAGAACTGCTCGAACGATGATGGAAGCCTCGCATGACTCTGGTGAGCTCGGCGCAATACTCGGCGACGCGAAGCGAAACGACGTCGTCGGGCGTTCGGCCGCCGAGCACGGAGTCGTCGTCGTGACCTTCTTCCATGGCTGATGAGTTCAACACGGGCGCGTGGACGAGATTCTCCACGAACGCTCGGCGAGATAAGAGCACGAGCAGTTGCTTGCGAAGGATGACGCCGATGACGCGTTTGCCTTTCGCGCTGAGAATCGGGAATCCGTTGTGCGTCGTTTGGGCCAAAGCTTCTTCGATCGCACTCACTTTTTCGATCGCCTTGAAAGCGACGACGTCGCGCGCGCACACATCGAAGGCTGTGATGGAGTCGTCCAGGAGCGCTTTCGGCGGCTTGGCGTGCAAAAATGGAATCTTCGAGCGCACGAGTTGTTCCTCGTAAAGACTCGCCCCAAATAGTCGCGACGCCAAATTTGCGCCCGCAACGGCGATGAGGAGCGGGAATAGAAACGCACTCTTCCCGACGCCCTCTAACACGATGATTACGACGGAAATCGTGGCTCGAAACGTGCCAGCAAGCGCGGCGGTGGCGCCGACGAGCGCGTACGCGTGTGGATTCACGCGTAAATCGCCGAGCGGGCTCAAAGAGTGCTCGACGACGATTGCCGCCGCTCGCCCGAGCAACGAACCCCACAGAATTGTGGGCATGAACAGCCCAGCGGGTACGAAAAGGTTCGCAGCCATGATCAGAGAGATGAGCGTCGTCGCGAAAGATAGTAGCAACGCGTGTAAAGTGTGCGCCTTTGCCGGCGACCCGAGGACCCAGGCGATGACATCGTTTTTGTTGCCCAGTAGAATCGAACCCAAGTCCGCGTATTCACCTTCGGCGCACCACAATCGTATCGACGCTTCACTCCATCTCGACACTTCACCGGGGGTCTCTGTCACGCACTTTCCTGCGGCGGCGACGCCGAAAAACATTACGACGCACGCCAGGGAGACAAGAACGACTTGCGCAAGCCGACGTTCGTTTCGCTGCGGGGTGTAGTTGGTGGACACAAAGATGATTGACTTTGTCACGATGCCTGAGATCACACCGCACGTGCCGGCGAGGGCGGCGTAGAACGGCAGCTCTATCAAAAAGTACGTCGAATCGAAATCGCCCACACGAAGCAAGCCAGGATTTTTCATTTGCGTATGTTCTGAAGCCGCCGATCCTTCCAGAAACACCGCGCGAGCCAGTGCGAGGACAAAAGTGGCGATGCTCGCCGAAAACAGCGCGCGGCGCGTCGTGCTCTCTCTCCAAAACGTGCTCGCTTCCTCCAACGAAAACAATACCCCGCCGATGGGCGCGCCAAACGCGGCGGCGATCCCGGCCGCAGCGCCCGCGGATATGAAGTCAGAGCGGTCGAGGTCCGATTGAAAGAGGTCCGCCATACCAGAAGACGCTCCGTGCGTAAATTGCATCGCAATAGCAGCGCCCACATGTACCAATGGCCCTTCCGGACCGATCATAAGTCCTGACGATACCGCAGCGATCGTGGCTACAGCTTTAACCCAAAGCGTCGACGCATCGAACGCTTTCGGAATGTATATTCCGTTCAACATTGCCATGACGTAGTGCACCCCTGCACCCTTGGCTCGCGGCGCGACGTACGTCGTGAGAGCCCCAGCGATCGCGGCGAGTGCGACGCCGACACCGCCGTACGCAAACATCGCCAACGCCAGATGGACGCGTCGGCGACACACTTCGAACAGCTTCCCGCGACCTCGGTATGCATAGAGCACCGAGACATCGATGAGAAACGCAATCGTACCGACACCGACACCGATGAACGCCGCCACGATCCACTTCGCCGAAACTTTGGAGAAGACGCCGCGTCCGCGCGCGCGCCGCGCCCAATGGGAATCGACGTCGGCAAAATCCAAACTCTCCACCGCGTCCTCCGGGGCGCCCGAATCCGTCGTTTGCGTACTCAACGTTCGTTCCGTGCCGAGATACAACGACTGCGTGCGCGCGGTGAACCCTCGAAAGTTCACTCGTCGCGGTGGCGTGGCTGGTGTCGTCGGTTCTTCCTCTCTTCTCGCCTCGGGCACGGACGCCGAGGCGTCCGCGGGAACGTCGACGTCGCTGTCGTACCCCGACTCGATCGCGGTCGCTCCACCGACGAGAGGTTCGCGGAGCGCGAGCTCGTCTTCGTTCGGCGTCGTCGGCGCGGCGCCATCGCTCGTCATCGCGTCGTCGTGTCTCGCGCCGACGTCTGGACGCGTCTCGGCCCGCTTTCGTGACGGTTCGTGTCTCGCGCGAGTCAACAAACAACTTGTTGACTCGACGGGACGCGCGACACACACCGACGCGCGTCGCGGCGCGCGAACTCGAGAGCGACGTCGTCTCGAACGCGCGATCTCGACCCCGTCCCGTCGACGATCGACGATGCAAGTCCACGGCGACGCGAACGACGACTCGAGCGACGTCGCCGCGGCGTCGCGTAAAATTGCTCGATTAACCGAGGTGGTGTGCGAACTGCACACGGCGTGCGACGCGCACGAACGGGAAAAAGCGAGCGCGCTGGAGTCATTCGCGCGAGATATCGCGCTGACGCGATACGAGGCATCGAACGCGATATACAGAGAGGCGAGCGCGCGCGAACGAGCCGAGGATGACGCTCGCGGGGCGTTGGCGCGAAGCGCGGTGGCGGACGCGATGCGATTGTGCGCGAACGAGGAGCGAAGGGAGGTGACGGCGGCGATGAAATCGCGGCTAAGACTCGCGGCGAAAGAGTTTCGGACGCGAGATGAGAATCGCGAGGCGCAGACCAAGGTGAGAATCGCAACCGTGAAGGCGGCTTGCGAGCGCGATCGCGAGGCGACGGAGAGAGCGCGCGAAGAGGCGCTTCGAGCGGAGATGGAGGCGCGAATGCGCATCGTGGAGAACGCTCGAGCCGTCGAAGAAGAGCTTATGAACGATTTACGTTTCGAACGCAACGAACGCGGCCAAATGGAGAAAGAATTCGCGCGAGAAATCGAAGCGTTGCGCGCGGCGCACGCGGCAGAGATGGAGAAAGTCAACGCCGAGGCCGAGGCGCGCGTAGAACGCGTCAAGAAGGAAATGTGCGACAAAACCATCGAGCTAGAACGCGTTCAAAAGGACCACAAAGACTCGCTCGATCGTGAACGTGCTTTGGCGCGCGAAAAGTACGATAGGCAAAGATCGGCGTACGAGTTCGTGGAGAAATCGCTCGCCGAGACGGCATCGGAACTCGAATGCACGCAAAGAGCGCACGAAACCTGTCGCCGATCGCTGGACGAGCTAAGTGCGAGCGCGAATGAGCGCGAAAAGACCGTGATCGGTCTGCGAACGGAGTTGACGAATAAAACTGCGACGATCGGCGACATGCGCGCACGCTTGGATCGTCTCATTGCGAGCGAGATTGATCTCGCGCGGAAATTAAGTGAGTCGCAAGAGGCGTACGCGACGAGCATCGAAGAGCGTACGAAACTGCGCGAAAACATTGAAACCGAACAACAATCGCAAGCAGCGATGAGCACGGCGCATGCGGAGCACGTGCACGAGTTGGAGGAAACGATTTACGACTTGCGCGCGACGATTCGGCGCAACGAAAGCGTCGTCGAGTTGGCTACGAGAGACGGTGAGGAAAGACTGAAAAAACTGTTGAGCGATTTGGAGGAGCGAAATGAAAAGGCTGAGTCTGAAACAAACGAACTCGTGAATTCGTACGAAGCTCGCATTAAGGCGATGGAAGTCGAACATTCTGCGAATCACGCGCGCGCGTTAGCTGAATTCGCCGAGCGCGCCGACGTGGCGGAATCGCGACACGAGGAAGCGATCAGCGCGCTCAACGCGGCGTGGTTACGGAAAGAAAACGAATGGAAAGACGAGAAACTGCGATTGGAAAGCTCGCTCGAGTGCGCGACATCGCGGGAATCTAAAGCGAACGACGTCGTGGAAACGTACGAAGCGCGGCATCAAACGCTCTCGGCTGAGATGGAACGCATCAAGTCAAGCGCGGAGGCTAAAGAGACTCATCTGGTCGATCAAATACGTGACTCAAAACTTGCTTTAAACGCTGTAGAGGCGTTGACGCACAAATTGGAGAAGAAAATGAGCGAGCGAGAGCTCGAGTACGAATCCGAGCGATCCTTCGCCGACCAAAAGCTGAGGGACGAGATCAACCGCACGAACGCTCTTTGGGAACGCAAGACGAAAGAGAACGTTCAGATTGCGATTGAAGAATCTCATCGCACGCACGAGAGTGCCATGGAGCGCTTGATGACTGAGATGGAGATGAAGGCGAAAGGCGACGTCGCGCGCGCGGTGGCAAACGTATCCGAAGCGTATCATGCAAACGAGCGCGAGTTGCGCGAAGAGATCGACGACATCAACCGACAACACGCCAAACAATTAGAAACCATGGCATTCGAGCGTGATCGCGCGGTGAGTGAGCTGCAAGCAGACTGTAATCATCGTCTCGAGTCGCTCAGCGCGACGCACGTTTGCGAAATCGAGCGCCTCACGGCTTCGCATCGTGAGCGCGTAGAGATGATGGACGAGGAACACGCGAAGCAGCTGAAACATTCCATGGCTGAGGCCGTTCGATTGGCCGTGCGCGAGGTGGAGGCGCAACACGACGCGCGCGAGGCGGATCGCGCGGAAAAGGCGGCGGCAAACCAGGCGCAGGAATTGAAATGCGCGACGGACGAGTACGCGAGAGATCTCGAACGTCTCGAGCGCGAGTACGAGACTAAGCTCGAATCGTGCATCGCAGTGAGCACGACGCTCGAGCTCGAGCGCGAGAGTTTGCGAAGTCAACTTCGTCGAGCGAGAGAAGAGCTCGGCGCGGCGGAGCTCGAGCGAGCAATGGACGTGGAGAAGTCGCGCGATGCCGCGGTGGCTACGGCGTACGCGCACGAAAGTGAGATCGACTCGATGCGCAAAGAACACAAAATCACCATCACGCGCATGCAAGACGTGAACGAATCGGCGGCGAAAGTGGCGAATGAGGCGCTCTCGGCGTCTCGCGCCGAAATCTCAAAGTGGCGAGCGATGTACGAAAAGCGAGAGTCGCGTCCGGAAGACGTACGACGAATCAAAGATCTCGAAACGGAGCTGCGCGACGTAAGCGAGCGCTTAGAGCGCTCGGCTCAGCATCGAAGGACTTTACAGTCCGAACTCCTCGGTCGCGCGAGCGAGTTCGATGCGACGTCTGCGAGAAAACGCGGCGGCCTCTCCCTCAAGCGCGCGCACGCCGCCTACGCGGCGGCGCCCAGGGAAAGATGACGCGTTCGTTTCCAAGGCATTAATAGTATAGTCCGTAGTTTTAAAGAATGGCGTTATTGTGTTTGATTAAAACTTACGAACGCGCGCCAACTACAAACGCTCCCCAGATACAGGCGAAATGTCTAAATTTCCTCTCCCCGTCGCCGCTACTGACAAGATAATTTACTTCTTCTTGCCAGCCACGGTCTTAACCTTACCCTTGCGCGTGCGCGCGTTCGTCTTGGTTCGCTGACCACGCACCGGCAAGTTGCGAATGTGCATCTTACCCCGGTGGCACTGAATCTCCTTCAAGCGCTTGATGTTCATCGTAATGAAGCGTCTGAGTTCACCCTCAATCTGGTACTTCTCCACCTCTTCGCGCAATTGCGTGAGTTCCTGCTCAGAGAATTCACGCAAACGCTTGTTCTCCAAACCAGTCGCCGCCATGATCGCCTTGGCGCTCGTTTCGCCGATGCCGTACACGTACGTCAACGCCGTCTCGCATCTCTTGTTGTTTGGAATCTCAACCCCGGCGACGCGCGCCGCGCGCACGCACAAATCACCGCGTCGTTGCGCGACGGGCTGTTCATCGTCAAAGATCCCGCGCGCATTCGTCAGTCTTCGTTCGCACCACGCTCGCTCGCTCGCGCGTTCTCGACTCCGCGCGCTCGGGGCGATGGAAACCCTATTCACCCCACGCGCATCCGTCGCGACACGCACCATGGTCACCGCCCGCGCGGGCTTGACGGAAGCGCCCGAAAATTGCGTGCGCTGCGTGATGTCGAAAACACAATTCATCCGTCAGTCATCGTTCGCGCGCTCGTCGTCCCCCCTCGCTCGTCGTCGTCGGCATCGCCGCGCGTCGTCGCCTCGCCCTCGCCCGCCCTCGGGGTTTATCCGACGTCGTCGCGCGCCTCGACGACGCCCTCGCGCGCGCGCGATCCTCCATCGCGCGCGCGCGCACCGCGCGTAAAATTATTCTCGACCGTTCGCGCGCGCGCGCGCGCGCGACGCGTCCCATCCCCCGCGCGCCGCGTCCCCATCGCGCGCGCGCGTCGAAACCCCATCGCGACGCTCGGCGCGCGTCCGTCGCGGCGTCGCTCGAGACGACGCGTCGCGTCGCCGAGCGCGTTCGCGCGTTCGCGCGTTCGCGCGTACCTTGGCGTGCACGGCCGCGGAGGCGTTGGCGGCGATGGAGGCGAACATCGTTCGTCGTCGCTCGTCGTCGAGTGCGGCGACGTCGCGCGACGCGCGCGGCCTCGGACGCCGTCGGATGCCTGATTAGGGCGGAGACTCGTATACTGAGACTCGCGTCGAGTCAAGAACCGTGGATTCGCACGTCGAACCAAAAGAAGGTCCGTGTGGAACCGAACCCCGCGCGACATCAGACGTTCGCGCGTCACACGAGCGCGCGACGCCGGGGCGTCGATCGATCGATCATGATGACGCGGTGCGCGTGTAAAGTGGCGTCGTGCTCGTCGAGGGTGACGACGACGACGACGCGGCGCGGCGCCGCGGTCGTCGCGCGCGGGAAGAAGAAGGGTTTCTTGTTCGGCGAGGTGGAAAACTTGAGTCGCGAGGGCGAGGGGACGAAGGGCGACGACGAGGACGCGAAGAGCGTTCGATGGAGCGAACCGCTGGCGATCGCGAAGTACCCGGCGAAGTGCCTGCGGGCGAAGAACGCGCCCGTGGAGACGTTCGATAAAAATTTGGAACGGTTGAGCAAGGCGATGTTTAAGATTATGTACGAAACCGTCGGCTGCGGATTGGCGGCGCCGCAGGTGGGTGTGAATTATCGAATGATGGTGTACAACGAGGCGGGAGAGCCAGGACAGGGGCGAGAAGTGGTGTTGTGTAACCCGGAAATAGTGAAGTTTTCCAAGGAGAAGGATTTGTTCGAGGAAGGGTGCTTGAGCTTTCCGAAGATGTACGCCGACGTCGAGGTGCGTATCGAGCGACGGCGCCGCGCGCGATTGTCGCGTCACGCGCGAGACGAGAGAGCCGATGACGATCAAAACATAAATATACGCTAATCCGAGACCCGCGTGCGGGTCGTGCGGAGAAATGTGAGCTAATACGCGAGGCTAACTCTGACGCGCCGCCGCCGCCGTCGGCGTCGGGAGATTTTGCGTCGCGCGAGACTGACCGCTTCGCTCTTCCTCGATTCACGCGCGCAGCGCCCGATCGGCGTTCAAATCGAAGCGCAAAACTTGAAGGGTAAAAAATTCAAAATGACCCTCGAAGGGTTCGAGGCGCGCGTGTTCCAGCACGAGTACGACCATTTAGACGGCGTCTTGTACCACGACAGAATGTCGCCCGAGGTCCGCGCGAGCGTGCAGAGCACGCTCGATGGATTCGTCGAGGCGTATCCGGGCGAAGATAGCGAAAAGGCGTTGTAGCGCATTGATCGCACGCACATCTCATCGCACGACGTCCTCGACCGCGTCGATTCTCTCCTCCACGCGTCGCGCCGAACCCGCCGCGAAGCCGCGCAGTTCGCGGGCGAGAAACGTCACAACGACGCGCTCGATCGATCGATTCGCTTCCGCGATGTTGCGCGCGAGCTCGCGATGTCGCGGCGTGTTCATCGCTTCGTCATCCTCGTCGTCGGCGCGCGCCTCTTCCATCACCGACGCGTCGACGCGCGTCGACGCGCTCTCGTCACCGGCGTCGTCGACGAACGCGATCGGGTTCGTTCGCGCGCGCGGCGTGCGTTCCGCGAGCGATACCGCCGGCGCGAGCGCGAGCGTGGCCTCGAGCGGCGCGCGCGCGATCGCGCTCGGACGCGGCGCGCGCGCGATCGCGCCCGGACGGGACGTCGCGAGCGCGGCGCGAGGGTTCGCGTCGGCGGCGGCGAACGCCGGAAACGTGTACGACATCGACGACGACGCCGTGGCGACGCTGCTGCCGGAGATCTCCAGCGTGAAAGCGTTGACGGCGGCGTTTACGTTTGCGAATCAGACCAAGGGCGCGGCCGAGCGTGGCGATGGAAAGCGCGGGGCGAAGACGGCGGCGAGACGTTTGATGGCGAGAGCCAGCGACGACGCGCTGCAAGAGGCGACCACTTCGCACAGGCGCGTGGACGTTCGGGGATCTAGAGGTAGCGGTAAGAGTGTGGCGTTGGCGCGGTTGGTCATGCGCGCGCGCGCCGATGGGTGGGTCGTCGCGTACGTCCCGGATGGTTTAGAGCTCACGAGGTTGAGCTACTTTAGCAAGAGTACGAAGGAAGGTTGCGATGGACTGTGGGAAACGCCCGATTGCGCGATGCGGCTGTTGCAACACATCGCCAACGCGGCGAACGAGAGCGTGTTAAAGTCCGTGAAGGTTAAGGGGGTGACGCTCAAGGATGAAAACGCGCCGAAGAAGAGCCGCGGAAAAAAATCCAAGGATGCGGCCGACGCGCCCGAGGCGGACGCCAAGCCCAAGGCGAGCGCGGAAATGAACTTATTCGACTACGCAAAAGCGGGTTCGACCGATCCGGAAATAGCTGTCGACTGCGCGCTCGTGGTGTTGAATGAGCTGAGAGCGCTCGCGAAGAACGGCGACGGGAAAGTCATGTTCGTCGTCGATCAGTACAATGCGCTATTCGGGCCGTCCGACATGCATGAGGTCACCGGACCGAGGTCTAGAAAGAATATTCCCGCGAAAAGTCTGCGTTTGGCGCGCGCGGTAATCGAAACCGTGGACTCGGCGTGCGACGAAGACGCGAGGCACGTCGCCGTCACGGCGGCGTCTCACTCCGTCGGTGTTTCCAAATCGAACACCGAACAGTCGCTGCCGGACGAACTGGGGTCCTCGACCGTCGTTACAGTGGAGACGCCGCGATTCAACACCGATGAAATCGCGACCATCCTTCGCGAGTACAAGGCTGCCGGAATCGTCAAAGCCGTCGTCGACGAGCAAACCGTCGCGGCGATGAAAGCGCTGACGAACGGCAATCCGCGAGAGATTCAGTCCATCGCGTCCACGTTGCTGCGTTAGCCACCCACCTTTCGTAGTCGTTGTAACGTCGCCGCGTTTAAACGTCGATCTCGATCGTTCTCGCGTCTCGCGCCGGCGTCTCGCGTCCCGTCGTTTAAAGTCCCGCACAACCTGGCTTATGGCGCTGAGCGATCGCGCGACGCTTTGGATCTTGGGCTTCTGCGCTTCGGGTACGCTTGTGACGTTAACGTTGGCGCAAAGCGTGCGGGGTGAGCGAGTACAACGCCAAAACGCGCACGAACGCAAGCTCGGAGGGTCGAGTTGAAGATCTTTGTCCCGAGCGAACGCCAATGTCGAGCGACACCACGGACGCGCACGACGCCGCGCACGCCGAGAGCGAGCTCGAGCACATGATTTCGAGCGCCATGAGCGCGCTCGCGAGCTCGGCGCTCGTCGGTGAAACTGACGGTCGGGCGAAGCGGCGAGGCAACGTCTCCGGGTCGACGGCGACGCTCGCGAACTGCGCCATCGGCGCGGGAGTGCTGGCGACGCCGTTCGCGGTGAGTAAGTTCGGCACCGTCGGTGGTGGAATTGTCGTACTCATCGCCGCGCTACTCGTCGCGTACACGCTCGTCGTGCTCGTGCGAGCGGGATCGGCGTTCGAGTCCACGTCGTATCAAGGCTTGGTGCGCGACGCGTTCGGAACTCGCGCGTCTCGATTCGTGAGCGGGACGTTGGTGGTGTACTTGTTCGGATCGTGCGTGGCATATTTGATCATCATCGGTGATTCGTACGCGAAAGTGATGAGCGCGGTCGCCAGCGCGGGGTCGAGCGCGTGGTGGGGAAGTCGACGATTCGCCATCGCCGTCGGAGCGACGTTTTTGGTGACGCCGCTGAGCTTACTTCGAGAGATGAGTCGGTTGGCACCGGCGAGTGCGGTAGCCCTGGTTTCGCTCGCGTACACCGCCGCGACGATCACGTGCAAAGGAATGACCCGCACTTCTGGCGGTGATGACGCCAAAGCCGTGGCTTTCAAATTCAACACCGATTCCATCTCCGCCGTGCCCATCGTCGTCTTCGCGTTTCAGTGCCATATTCAAGTCTTGGCGATTTTCTCCGAGCTATCGGCAGATTCCGCCCCTGAACCGCATTTCGAAGACGACATCGAACCTATCGATGGCGACGCTAGGCAAGCCACCGAGGCGCGACGCCTCAGTCGAATGTACACCGTCATCGCGCTCGCCGTCGGCGCGTGCTTTTGGGGCTACCTCCTCGTGGGCGAGTTCGCGTACGTGTCGCATCCAAACGTGACGTCTAACGTCCTAGATAGCTACGGCAAGGATGACAAAGCCATGATGGTGGCGACAATCTTCATGGGCTTCAGCGCCGTCGCATCGTTTCCGGTGAATCATCACGCCGCGCGCGCGGCTTTGGACGACTTACTTGCGGAGGCGTTTGGTTGGGAGGTGTGCGCGCCGGGACAAGCGCCGGTGACTCGTCACGCGACGCAAACGTTCGCGTTCGTCGTCTTCACCACGCTCGTAGCGTTCGCGGTGGAAGATTTAGGAAAGGTATTCGAGTTCATCGGTGCCACGTGCGGAAGTCTCGTCATGTTCGTGATCCCAGCCTTGCTCTTGCTGCATCCGAAGATGCGCTCGTCGAAGGCCGCGGCGGACGTCGAGGAGCCGGCGGACGATTTGCTCGATGGTCTGGACGACGTCACGAGGGAACTTTTGAGTTCCGCTCGCGATCTTCTCGAACAGGATTTTGACGAGGAAGGTAACATCCTTCCATCAGGCGACGATGCGAACGCGTCCTTCGCGGCAAAACCGGGAGTCGGAACCGTCGTCGTCGCCGGCGCGCTGATTTTATTCGCGAGCTTTGTGGCGATTAGCAACGTGTATGTGCTGCTTTTCAGCGAACAGAAGCGCGATTCGTAGACGCTGCTGTGTATATTACTTGTGATTCAATTGATTTTATTAGAATAATCTTCTACGCCCCTCGAGCTCGCTTGCTCGCGGGTTTGTCGTCCTTGGCGTCGATCAACAGCGCCGCGGCGTGCTGACCGCCGAAAGAAAGCTCGGCGAACACCTTGCCAGCCATCGGTTTCGTGTACGGCATCTTCTCTGGCGTGTACGCATCCTCTTCCCGCGGACCAAGTCCGAGCTGTCCGATGTACTGCGATCCCCAGACGTAGGCGGAACCATCCTCCATGATGGCGCCGCCGCACGTGTCGCCGCTCGCCACCTTCACCGCGCGACCGGGCAAATCCTCGATGACTCTAGGCTCTTCCAACGCGCCGTCGAGCGCGGCGTTGGGAACGCGAACGCCGCATCGACCGTCGGTATATCGCCCGATGGCGATGATTTTACCGTCGCCCGTTAAGAATAGCGAGTGGTGCGCGCCGGCGTCGCCCGCGACGATGCATTTTCCGCACAACGAGGCAACTCGTTTCGGAAAGTACGTCACCTGTTCGTCCCCGCGCAAGTCAGGATTGGGGTCCCACAACCCGACTTGGTGGAAGTTTGACAAACCCCAGCCGTAGACGTCCGATTTCGAGCCGTCTTCGTCGGCGCAAATGGCAAACGAATGGAAATCGCCGGCGACGATGGCGGTGACTTCCGGTTCGCCGCCAAACGCGGATCCGATACCTCCGCCACTCTTCGGCAACGCCACGCGACTAGGGGTGAGCAATCGTCTTTTCACATCATCGCTCGCCTGTTCGTTGTCCTCGGCCTCGCTCGCGTCGACTCTACCGAGACGGCCCTTCTCGCTACATCCCCAAGAGTACACGCCGCCCTCGCGCGAGAGCGCCAACACGTGGTCGACGCCGCTCACGATCGCCTTCGCGCGCTCCTTCGACGACGCTGGCGCGTATATTTTAAATGGAAACGACGTCTTTTGCGCGTCCAGGGTGTTCGGGTTGAACGCCCACGCCCCGTTCGTCGTTCGAAACTGCCCCCACGCCCACACCTCGCCGCTCTCCGTCAACGCGCACCCGTGCGAGTCGCCGGTGCTCACCATCACCACCTTGACGTCCAGAGGAAGCTCGACCTTTCCCGGCGCGTACTCCGCGTCCGGATCTGCGTCTTTATTCACTACTCGTCCGAGCGCACCGTTATCGTTGTTCCCCCAACTGTAACACGCGCCGTCGCTCGTCAACGCCAACGTGTGCGTCCCGCCCGCCGCGATCCGCGTCGCTCTCGCCTCCCCCATCGCGCCCGTCGTCACGCGCGTCGGTCGTCGTCGCTCGTCCACGTCTCCACCCAACCCGAGTTGCGCGCTGTCTCCCTGTCCCCACACGTACGCCTCCCCGCTCGCGCTCGCTTCGCCGCGTTTCGCCTCGTCCGCCGCCGCGCCCGCGCCCGCCGCGTCTCGAAACTCCTTCCGTATCGCGTTCGCGTACGTCACGTAATCCCGACACGCCTGGACGAGAAACTCCCGCGGCGCATCGCGCGTCTTCTTCGCGACGTGTCGCGCGAACTGCGCGTTCAGCGCCTCGACGTGCGCGGCGCAGAGCGCGTCGCGATCGTTCGTCGGCGCGCGTCGGTACCCGATCGTCACCGCGTCGTCGTCGTCGTCGTCGCTCGAGCGCGACGCGGCGCCGTCGCCACTCGCGCGATGGCGCTTCGACATGTCCGCGCGTCGCCGACCGCGGAGCGTCGCGCGCGTGCGAACGCGCGCGCGATTCCGGGACTCGATGAATGCGTCGACGAATGCGGCGATGAATGCGGCGACGCGTCCATTCGTCGGCGCATTCACCGACGATACGACGATGTCGACGACGTGCGACGACGGGGCGTGCGAAAAGCGACGCGATCTGTTCGACGCCGTGCGAAAAGCGACGCACCGCGACGCGTCGACGACGCGAACGAACGCCGACGACGCGAACGCCGACGAAGGCGCCGGGACGGGGACGGCGGCGCCGCTGGACGTCGACGAACTGGGACGCGCGTCGTGGGCGCTGATGCACACGATCGCGGCGTATTACCCACAAAAACCGACGCACGCGCAGCGCGTGCAAGCGCGACGGTTCTTCGACGCGCTGGGAGACCTGTACCCGTGCGCGACGTGCAGGGCGGATTTGCGAGCCGACGTCGACGCGCACCCGCCGAGGTGCGAATCGCGCGAGGCGCTGGCGAAGTGGGTGTGCGAGCGACACAACGTCGTGAACGAGAAGCTCGGGAAGGCGAAAATGTCGTGCGCGATCGACGCGTTAGACGCGCGATGGCGCAGAGCGAAGACGACAGAATAGCGCGAGGAGACGGAGGCGTTGTAACATCACCGCGCCGCCGCGACGTCGTAACCGCCGCGAAGCGCCAAAACGAGCCCGCCTCGGACGCGAATTCGCGGCGCTGAAACGCGCGATGCTTCGACGGGCGAAGCGCGCGGTGAAAGACGCGCGCGTCACCGCGAAGGCGCGCGCGACGGTCGAGACGCGCGACGAGGCGTACGCGCGCGTGCCGCTTCGAATCGACTTGGACGGCGCGCGCGCGAGCGATGACGACGAGGACGCGCGCGACGAGGACGCGCGAGCGTCGCCGCGCTTGGTGGCGCACTACGGATTCGACGCCACGACGTCCGCGGTGTCGTACGCGAGGGACCAACACGCGCTGTTCGCGGCGAGCGAACACGGCGTGAAGGCGTTCGGCGCGCGCGGGACGGAGTGCTTGTTCGCGTCGGCGTCGGGAGGCTCGTCGGAGGCGGTGCGAGGAGAGTACGTCGCGCCGTCGCGCGTGTATCGATGCGGACGAGACGGCGACGTCGAGGTGTGGGACGGGCGCGAGCGAAGGTCGCTGGCGAGCGAAAATTTAGACGCGGGCGACGACGAGCCGAGCTGCGCGAGCGAGGCGATGCGAGGGACGAATTTCTTCGTCACGGGAACGGTGAGGGGGGACGTGTGCGTGCACGCGTTGGGAGTGAACGCGCGAGGAGAGACCACGGTGGCGAGAAGGCGCGGGTACAGGGTGTCGGCGTCGCGGGCGTTGTCGCGCGTTTTGCCGACGCGAAACGCCGTGGCGGCGGTGCGCGCGCGACCGGGAAGAGACGAGCGAGCGATGATGCTCATCGCGTGGTCGGACGGGGCGCTCGCGCTGTGGCACTTGCACGAACAACGGTCGGTGGCGGTGACGTCGCCGCGAGGCGACGCTGTGGACGAGACGGAGGCGACGGACGCGTCTTTGACGTGCGCCGAGTGGCTCGACGCCGAATGCGTCGTCGCGGGGTACAGCGACGGGCGCGTGAGAGTGTGGAAAGTGCGCGCGGGTACGGTGATGACGGAGGAAATCGTTGAAAAGCAGTGCATCGTGCCGCACGTTTTGATTAATCCGTCGTACAAGGGCGCGCTGACACCCATTCGCGCGTTGAAGACGTACGTGAGCGAAGACGACGACGCGGCTCGCGACGTCGCCACGTGGTTCGCGTGCGTCGGCGGCGAGCCAATCGCGTGTCCAGATCCCGTGATTTGTTTGCGAGCGACGCGATGTGACGGGGAGTTTCGAATCGAAAGCGCGGGTGCGATTGCGCTGCCTTGGTTCGGTCCAGTGCTCGACGCGACGTTGGTGCCATATCGCGACACTGTGGAATCGATTTGCGTTCTGTCCGAAGGCTCGCAGCTACACCTACACGACGTGCGTTACGGAGTTTCGAGCGACGACATCGCGCGCCCGCAGGAAGTAATGGTGATGCGACCGACACTTTCGAAGACGTGCGCGCCGAGTATCTGCGCGACGTCGCGCGACGTCGCGCGGGCATTTGAGCAGAACGCCAAACGCGTCGCGGTTCCAGAAAATGAAGTAGACGCGTCGTTCGCTTGGAAAGGGTCGAAATGGCCAATCAGCGGTGGATGCGACGTAGTCGATGACACGACATCGCCTTCATCCGCGCTGCGTGCGCGCATCGTCGTCGGCGCGTTCGGCAGAGACGGTTCTGGAGTGAAAATCTACATCGATCGCGACGGACGATTGATGTCTGGTGGCGCGATCGCGCCGAACGGCGACTCGATCACGAGACTGCACGTCGACGCCGGTGGTGCTTTGCTGATCGTCGGTCGGGTGAGTGGAAACCTTGAAATATACGCGTTGCGCGAGTATCCAGCCGACGGTGCCGAAGCGACTTCGCGAGTACGTACGCACGCGCGCAACTTAAACAAGAGCGACGCCGAAAACGTTGACGAGGAGCGTGCATTTTTCGCCGGTGAATCTCGCGACTTTGTCGATACGGATTCCGCAGCGGCGTGTATGACTTCGGTATACACACTCATCGGTAGATTTAGCTCGGCTGGCAAAGCCATATCGTGCGTTCGAACGAACGCCGCGGCGACACTCCTCGCCGTCGGCGACGTCGCAGGGTGTGTGTCCTTACTCAATCTTCAACGAGGAACGAAAATGTGGACGGTGTCGTTACCTACTTCTGCCGAAGGAAAGCCATCGGCCGTGGCGGATTTCGACTTTGGGTTACCGCTTCCAGACGCTCCGGATGAGTGCGTCCTGGCGGTTCTAGAATCAAACTGTAGCGTTCGTTTCCACGCGCTTTCGACCGGTTCGCAGATTGGGAAGACTATGACCCCGAAGTCAGCGGCAGAAGACGTGGCGCTTGCAATCTCGCTCCTTCGGCTCGATGGTACGGCGTCAGATATAATTCCACCAGCGCCCGTCGCCAAAAGTTGGTTCACACCGCCGACATCGTTTGCTTATCAATTTCTCGCGTCGGAGTGGACTGTGGACGACGCGTCTGCGTCAGACGACGAAGACAAAGTGCTGTCGACGGACGAGGAAGACCGTGTCGACAGCGACGACGTCATTAAGGGAAACCCAAAGCTGACCGCCATTGTCGTTACTGTGGCGAAAGATTCGATGCGCGTATACCACGCAGTCGGCTGCTCTCGAGGAGAGCGATTTACGTTGCGAAAAGAACACCTCGACGAGCCGCTCATCGGTGCGTTCGCCGTTCGAGATGACGGTAGCGAAAACGAATGTGCGTTCGGTCACGGACGGAAACGTTCTCACATCGTCGCCTTGACGGAGTTTGGGAGAATGGTGGCGTACGCGTCGCCGTCCCTGCAAATGCGCGGCGTATTTGGTCCGGTGCCGGCGTTGTCCAACGCCAACGCGACGTGTTGCTCTCGAGGCGGCGCCGTCGTCGTCGTCGCAGATGACGGCTTGTCTATCGCTCGACTCGAAGCATTTGGTGACAGCTTTCCCGCGCAAGGTTGTATCATCGATCTCGAAGTCGAGAGCGCCGCGGAAGCCGCGCGAGCGGCGCGACACGCCATGGAAGAAGACGATCCCGAACTCGCGCAGCAAACCAAGTCACCTCGACGAGAAGTATCGTCAGCGTCGACGACACCCATGAAGACCAAAGCGCTGACGATGAGTGAAGCGCTACGACATCGCGCAAAGGCGGCGTTTGAAAAGCTGGAAGAAAAGTTCGCGCAGTCACCACGTGACTCATCGTCGTCGCCAGCGACGCGCAAGATGTACACGACGACGGACCTGGCTGTCTTATTCGCAGATGCTCGCATAGAGGATCCCGCGCCGGTCGAAAGGACGACAGAATCTGCAGAGCGCGATGAGTTGTTCGCGACATCGTCGTCCACGCCAGCCATCGCGCCTGTGCGTCGGAGCGCGTCTTCAGTCCGAGCCAAGTATGGACGAGAAGTTACTTCGCAAATGAACGAAACAAAAGACATGCTCGTCGAGCGTGGAGAGAAACTTAGCAGGCTTCAAGATAAATCAGCCTCGCTCGAAAATGACGCGGCGGATTTCGCCTCGCTCGCTCGCGAGATTCGTAAGCAATCCGAACGTCGGTGGTTTTAGATGCGATTTTAGAATTTTTAGTAGCAGCGCGACGCCGAGCGGCGTCACAAGTACACGCGCACCTTTCATGCCTCCCGCTGGAAATTGGCCCAAGTGGGCCAAAAAGCGTCACGCTCGAGACTTCACGGCGCGCGACACCGTGCTCGAGGAGCTGCGCAAGAAGACCCACCACGGCGCCTCGCTCCTCAGACGCGCGTTGAAGAAGGCCAAAACCTTTGACGAAGCCAAGCTCCGCCGGCGTCTCAAGGCGCCCGAGGACGCCGATAAGCTCAAGCGCGCGTTGCACGCGACGCGTAACGTCGATATCGACGTCTTGGCTCGGCAATGCGCGTCGGCGTGCGCGCAGAGAGTGGAAGAGTCGCTCGAGTTGGCATTTCGCGAGGTGGCGGCGGATGGCGACGCGAACGCCGTCCGCGCGACGCACGCCGTGGACTTGGGCGACGGCTTCGACAGTCAAGACGTGTTACGCGCTATTTGCGACGACGCCGCGAGCGCAAAAGCGAGCGAGAGCGAAGGGAAGGAAGTCGTCGGGGAGAATGAATACGTGAGCGCGGCGAGGCGGTTGTTGCGAGCGCAGGCGACGCGCGCGGAGACGGATGCGCTGAAGGAACGATTGTTGGCGATCGCGGGTCGAATGAATCGTGCGGTGGTTGGGAAGCAAAAACGCGAAGAGTGGACGCGTGAGAAGCAGGAGCGACGGCAGAAGCGCGAGTTGGCCATCGTCAAAGCGGAGGAAAAGGCGAAACGGCGAGCGGCGGGAGAGGAGGTGTCGTCGAGCGAGGAAGAGGAGGTCGTGCACGCGAAGCCCACGTCTCGCCGCGATGCTGACAACGAGGATAGTGCATCCAAATCGGATTCTGAATTCGAATCCGACGTCGGTGAAGATGGCTATGCGAGTTTGAGCGAGGATACGTTGGCGGAGCTTTACGCGGCGAAGGCGGCGGCGAAAAAGTCGAAAAAGCAGGCGAAATCGGCGAAGGACGGGGACGATGTCGAGGATGTAGATCTAGGACCAAAGAAGAAAAAAGTGAAAAAGCGCATGGGGCAGCGCAAGCGTCGTCAAATCGCGGAGGCTAAGTTTGGCTCAAACGCCGCGCACATCATCGCCGAACGCGAAAAAGCTGCAGCCGAGCGTAGGGCGAAGGAGGAAGAGGAAAGAAATATGCACCCGTCTTGGAAAGCGAAACGTAAGCAAGCACCCATCATAATCGCTGGTGCAAAGGGTAAGAAGGTCAAGTTCGGCGATGACGATGGTGCGAAGAAAACGCCGATAGTTTCGAAGAAGCAGCAATACGCGCCCAAGGTTCCGGAGGGACCGCTGCACCCATCGTGGGCAGCTAAGCTGAAGGCTGATCAACAGGCCTGGGGCGGCGGCGGTGTCAAGCCCGAGGGTAAAAAGGTCGTATTTGATTAACTTGCGCTATGTAAAATGTACAACAATTCTAGATCTAATGCGTAACGCGAACGCGCTAACGCGTGCGCTTCACTAGTTTCCGCACGGCGACGATTTGAGATGTTTGAACAACGACGTGCGGCTCGCAAACAACGTCGCACACTCCGCACACGTCAGCCTCTGCTCGAAATTGCTCTGATTGAAAGCTTTTTGCGCCTCCGTTTCGATTTGCTTCGGCAAATTCGCCGTACACGACGTGCACGATCGTTCGTGCTTGGTGCCCGTTTTCTCGCTCCATCGCACCGCGGCGAGCGCTTTGCCCGAATACTCAGGTTCTGGAAGCCACGTCGCGCACGTGAAGCACTTGATGTACCCAGGTCGCGCGCATTTCAACTCAACCTTGAACTGCACGCACGTCAACGCCGGCGATTCGCGCAGCACGCTTTTCTCGACGACGTCGAATGCGCACGAATTCAAGCCGTCTTCGCGCCAAAACTTTGCGTTTCGTTTCAGTAGACGCTCCTTCTCCTTGGCGTTTATTCGAGCATCGTGTGCGTCGAGCACGGATAGTTTCTTCGCCACCGTCTCCACGTCTTTCTCTAAATCATCAAACGCGGCGCCCGAGCGACGCTCCACTCGCACGCCCGCTTCCGCTGCCCGCAAAAACGCCGCGTGATCCTCGCCTCCCCACCCGTAAAATCCGTTCGGGTACCCATTCGTGCGCTCAAACGCCGTCACGTCGTAAATCGTCACGCCACCGAAGCATTTCTCGGCGTCGTACCGACACCCGCTCGCTTGCAACACGCGAACGAATCCGGCGCCGTCGCGCGCGTCGTCCTCGACAAAGTACGCCGTCTTCGTCGCCGCCTCGGGCGCCATGTCGACGTCGTGGCACGCGAAATGCGTGCCGCATCGATCGATGCGCTCGCTGAACGTCGACGTCGCGATCGCGTACGCCGCGTTCAAGCACTGACCGCGGTTGAATCGACACCCGTCGTCGCTCTGTTCGCAGACGACGACGAGCGCGGGGCGGCTCGGGTCGTCGAAGACGGCGACGAAGCGCTCGATGAGTTGACGCAATTGCGCGGCGCGCGTTCGCGTCGCGTCCTCCCTGAACGGGACCAAGAGCACGAGTCGCAACGTCATGCGTCACGCGCGAGGCGCGATGTCGAGACCAATGGTCGTTACGGGGCGACGGGGGAGGCGACGGGGAAAGATCTCGGCGATGTTTGACGGTGGTTGTTAAACGATGCGCCGCTAATCTAGTGAAACGCGCGAACGCAGGAAGCGATCATTTCAGTTCTTTGGCTTCGAATTCCTTGTACGCCACCTTGATGATGTCGAAGACTTTGTCGGCGATGTATCGCTGCGACATGTCGCCGCCCGCTTGCGAGACTTTGTCGGGATGGATGATGACTAAAGCTTTGTGGTAAGACTTCTTCACCCCGATCGGTTGCATCAAAGACCCCATATCGGGACTCTTGTACCTGTGACCGTCCCACAAGACGTCTCCGAGGTTGGCGAGCATGGTGCGAATGTTGTTTTGGTTCTTCTTTTGCCACGCGTCGATGTCAGCGCCGATGAGATCCTTGAGCATTTGACGCTCGGCTTGCTCTTGTCTCGCCGCGCTCTCTCTCGCGCGCTTTTCTTTCAGCGCGGTCTCTATTCGTACTCTGTTTCGATCGTGTCGGGCCTTGCGTAGGGCGGCTCGTTCGGGCGGCTCGTTCGGATCGACTTCTTCCTCGGGGGCGTACTCGAACGCGCTCGCCGCGGTTGATTTCTGCGACATCACTCGAGTGTCCATCGCCCCGAAAAGATCGTCCACGACACCGTTCGCGGGAACAGCTGAACTTACACCGACTGCGGAATCAGGAATCGCGAACATGGCTTCTATAGGATCGATGGATGACGTCGGCGCCTTTGGCGTCGCGCCCGCTTTCGCGGCGCCAGCGTTGAAAAAGTCATCCAAATCTTCCACCGACGACTTCGTCGACGAAGCCGCCGCGGGCATCGTCGCCGGTGACTTTTGTGGTTTCGGCGTCGACATCGACGTCTTAGAAGCCGTGGTGTTCGCCTCAGCGCGCGCTTGAACCTTGACGGCGGCGTCGGGCGCCTTCTTCGTCGCCGCCGCAGTCGGTTGAGAGCTTTGCGAATCCACGCTGGCCGTCGAACGGAACCGCGCCAAACCCACCGGTGCAGATGCGTCGGACTCGGGCGAAGACATTAAATCGCCTATATCGTTCGCCAGACTCGCCGATCGCGACATGGAAGACATCCGCGATAACGACGACGCCGACGCTGTCTTCTCCGGCGTCCGCGTCGCCTTCGACGCCGTCGCGATAGAAACTTCACCCAATAGTTCGTCCAATCCATCGATGAGACTTTCATCTGCGTCGTGCGCCATCAACCCACGCTGTGTCCCCGCGCTCGCCGCGCTCTTCGGCGACTCGGGTCTCGACCCGAGCTCGCTCACGCTACTCGACTCGCTCATCAAATCAAACAAATCTCCCTTCGCCGCCCCCGCCCCATCGCCACGGCGCGCGCGCGTCGCCGCACCGCTCGCTTTCACCGGCACGCTCTGACTCCCCGCTCGCGATGCGTCCGTGAATCCACCGAAAATATCGTCGAAATCCGCGCTCGCCGCGCTCGGCGCGCGTCGACGGTCGCCCGTCGCGTTCTCCCCCCCCCCTCGCGTCGACGTCGACGCCGACGCGAACATCCCATCGAGATCGCCGAACGCATCCTTCGCCTCGCGCGCGCCCCGCGTCGTCGTCGTCGTCGTCGTTCGCTCGCGCGTCGTCGTCGAGCCTCCGAACAAGGCTTCGAGATCATCCTCCGCGCGCGTCTCGCGCGCGTCTCGCGCGTCCGCGCGCGTCGCTCCTCTTCCCACCGCGCGCGCGCGATCATCCGCGCGCTCGCTCGCGCCGCCGTCGCCGCCCATTCGACGCAGCGGCGCCGCGCGCGCTTTCGAAGCGTCCATGACGTCAAAGCTTCCGGCGAGCAAGTCCGCGACGTACGACGAGCGCTTCGCGCCGTCCTCGCGCGGCGCCATCGTCGACGCGCGCGCGTCGCGCGTTCGCGCGTCGCGCGTTCGCGCGCGCGAGAGTGCGGCGCGACGCGCGCGACCGTCGCGCGGCACACGCGCGCGCGGCGTCGAAACGAAACGAATCGAATCGAAAGAATCGGGGGCCGACGCGCGCGATGTCGCGCGAGGACGACGCGGACGACGCGGTGGACGCGCCCGCGCGCGCGACGTCCTGGCTCGACGGCCTGGGCACGCGCCTGCGCGAGACGGCGAGCGTGGTGACGGAAAAACTCGACGCCATGGATGACCAACTCGATTCGTTCGCGCGACGCGCGCTCGGCGACGACGACGAGGAAGGCGCGGATCGCGCGCTGAGCGACGGCGATGCGTTCGCGGGCGCGCGCGAGGGCGAGTTCACGAACGATGAGATCGACGCGCTGCGACAGGCGTTGTCGATCGCGAAACAAGAGTTGAACGCGCGGGACGAACAGTTGCGAGAGGCGCGAGACGACGCGGGAAAGATGCGAGAGACGGCGATCAAGGCGGCGAAGGAGCTGGCGAAGGAACAGCGGAAACGGAAGGCGGCGGAGGCGGATGGCGCGGGTGGGACGACGACGGGCGAAAGCGCGATGGTGGAGGTTGAAAAGTTGAAGGCGGATTTGGAAGACGCGGAGACGGCGACGCGGCGCGCGCTCGAGGACGCGGCGAAGATGGAGAAGGAGTTACGCGACGCCGAGGCGGCGACGGCGACGGCGAGAGCTGAGATCGACGATGCGAAATCTGCGGCGGTGAAGGAGGTGGAGGCGCTGCGCGCCGAGCTCGCGAGTGTGATGGAGAAACTGCAAACGGCGGAGCGCGAGGCGAACGAAAAGAGCGAGAGTTCGTCGCCGCAACAAAACGCCGGCAGTCGCGGCGGTCGAGGAAAAAAGGGGAAGAAGGGCGGTCGAGGTGGCGGCGCATCAGACGCCTCACCCGTAGCCAGCGCGGCGCACGCGGAAGAACTCGAAAAAATACGCAAAGATCTCGAAAGCGTCAAAGTCGAGCGAGACAATCTCCGCGCCGAGGCGGAGGCGTCTCGAGCGAGCGCGGAGAAGGCTGCGAAAGAACACGTCGAGGTTTTGGAGCGCGTGCGCGCCGAAGCGGCGAGCGCAAATGATTCCGCGACCGGTGAAGAAGCGGCAAAGCTTCAGCAGGCTGAATCGCGCGCCGCGACGTTAGAAGACCAACTCGCCGCGGCGACGACGACGGAGAAGGAGTTGCGAAACGAGCTCGCGAAAATGAACGATCGCGCGAAGGCGTCGGAATCTGAAATCGCGAGCTTACGCGACGAATTGACGGACGCCATCGCGGCGAGAGAAGACGCAGAAGGCGCTGTGTCTCGCGGCGCCGTGAACGCGGCGAACGCGAACGCGAAGATGGCGGCGGCGGAAAAAGCCAAGACGAAGGCTGAAGCCGAGCTCGCCGAGTTGCGTAAGCAGGTGCAGCTCATGGACGCCACCGGTCGCGAAGCGGCGACGTCCATCGCGGCGCGCGAAAAGGCCGAGCTCGCACAGCAGCGCGCGGAGACAAAGCTTGCGTTAGCAGAAAAGGAAGTGGAGGAGGCGCGCGCGCAATCCGAAAAAGCCGCACGAGAGGGCGAAGAGCGAAAGCGACGATTCGCGCACGTACAGTCGCAATTTCAAGTCACCGAGAAAGAGTTACGCGAGAAGCTCGAAACATTTGAGTCCGAGTTGAAAGTTCTTCGAGCGAACGCGGACGAGGCGGAGAAAATGAAAGAGGATGCGGTGTCCATCGTTGAAGAGACGCAGGCTGACGCCGCCGAGACGAAGGAGGCGCTGACGGCGGTCACGGCCAAGGCGGAAAGGCTCGAGCGCGCGCTCGAGACGACTGAAGCTGCGGCGTCTGAAGCGCGAACCAAGCTCGGTGTTTTGGAAGAGATGGAGTCTTTGCGCAAGACGCAACCCGTCCCGGAGCCATCCCGTCCAGTTTCCAAAAAGTCGGCCTCCACGCAAACCGACGCGACGCGAAAAGAACCCGTCGCGCCGCCGGTCGCGCGCGACGACGGCAATGCGCGTAAACGTCTCATCGGCATCATGGAACGCCTGGACATTCCTACTTCAACTTCTTCGCCGGCGCGCGCGAAAGAAGAAGGCGCCGGTATCGGGATGCTCATGGGCATGTTCATGGGCTCCGATGAGAAGGACGAAAACGCCGACGACGCCGCGGCGACGCCGCGAGATGATTTGGACAGTTTGTTCGATCGCATCGAAACTTGGGCGAGTGACGAACGACGCGCATCGCCCGCATCGGCGCCGTCGTCTAACGTCGCCCGAGACACCGCGAGCGCGGAAGAAGTCGAGCGTCTCCGCGCCGAACTCGCCGCGCTCAAGGCGGACGTCGGCGAGCGTTCCGCGGCGTCGCTCGCCGCCGTCAACCGTCGCGCGCAAGAGGCCGAGCGCGCCGCCGCCGACGCCAAAGCCAAGCTCGCACCCTTAGAAAAAGCCAATCGCGAACTCGCGTGGCAAATTTCTTTGCTCGCCGAGCAAGACGAAACCAAGACGCGCCCCGTGCTCGCGCAGAGCGGTTGGTTCGCGCGCGCCGTCACCGGTTGCACCGCGCCTCGAAGGCCGCCGCCGCGTTCGTCCGTCTTGCTCCAAAACGATCTCTCGCGTTCGTAGCGTTGTAACGAAACGTCGCTCGCGCATCCGTCGTTCCTTTCGTCGTCGCGATTCGCAAAATGTAGTTGACTTCTTATCTTAAACTTAAACATCATTCGACCTTTTCTACTGGGAGAAATCGGACATGGGTTCATTTCGCGACACCGATGCGCGCGTGCGTCGCCCCCCCGGCGTTCGCCGTCGCGTCTCGCGCGCGGCGTCGCGCGACGACCGTCGCGACGCGCGATGGCGTCGTCGTCGCGCCCGTCGCGCCCGTCGCGCGCGCGCGCGCGGACGTCGACCGCGCGCGGTGGGCGCGACCGCGTCGCGCGCGGACGCATCGCCATCGCGTCGCGGTCGCGCGTCGCGCCGCGCCCGCGGACGAGGAACTCGCGCGGACGTTCGTGTGGGACGCGGTCGACGTGTTCGCGGCGTACGGCGCGCTCGCGCTCGCGCTCGGCATCGGAGGGGACGGGGCGCTGGAACACTTTCGCTACGGATACGTGCCGTATTTCGCCGCGTTGGCGATGGCGGCCATTTACATCGGCTCGCATCGAGGATTGACGCGAGATTTTCGGGAGACGATTTCGTTTGAAAGCTCGCTGCTCGGACCGTTCGTGCTGAGCGCGGCGCTGTTTGCGGCGTACGTCGCGCTGGAGATTTTGAAGCTGGATATTAGCGTCGCCGTGGATTTTTATTTTTTTATACTGGGCACGATCGCGGTGGCGGGGAACGCGACGGAACCCATGAACGCGCTCGGGGCGTGGTGGAAGGAGGGTTTAGTGAAGCTGCGCGTGCCCGATGGATGGGCGACCGATCCCAAGACGGGCGAGACGGTGACGGATGCCGAATTCGACGTGACGCCGGCGCAAATCGTAGGCTTACTCGCTGGACTCGCGCTCGCGACGGCAGATCTTCAGGCTGGCCATCAAAACTTCACGCTCAACAATGCGATAGCGTGCTTTATCGTCAGCGACTTTCTCTCCGTCATCGGCTTCGGGAGCTTCAAGAGTTGCGCGACGGCGCTGTGCGGGTTGCTCGCATACGACGCGTTTTGGGTCTTCAAATCAGAAGAGGTGGTTGGAAAAAACGTGATGATGAGCGTGGCGACGAACCAGTCGTTCAACGGTCCCTTTAGATTATTATTTCCTAGATTTGACGACGTCTTGAATCCGCTGCCGCTGGACGCTTTCGAGTTTTCGCTGTTGGGCTTGGGCGACGTCGCCATTCCCGGGTTGTTGGTCGCTCTCATGCTGCGTTACGACGCCTCGCGCGCGACAGACTTGCGCGGACGCGCAAACGCCGCGGCGGACGCGTTCATGGAGATATTCGCCACCGAGCGCGATGCCCTAGAAGCGGGTGTGGAAAATCGGCTCGACGGCGACGGCGACGGCGATTTCGAAGCCGACGGGTACAGATCTGGGATCGGTAAACGCGCGGGCGACGCCGCCGTGCTCGCTTACGACGAAGCTGGCGACACGAGCGGGGGTACTATTTCCATTCCATCGTCGCTGAGCGGACGCGCGTTCTTCAGCGCCTCGTTGTCTGCATACTTGATCGGTTTGCTCGTCGCGATTTCCGCGAATTTGCTCACCGGCGAGGGCCAACCCGCGCTCGTCTACCTGGTGCCCGTGACGTTGGGCGTCGTCGCGTACACCGCGATCAACCGCGGCGAGTCTGATCGTATCATAGAATTCGTCGACGAGCGCGATTCGCTGCTGTAAACGAGTGAGACTCGTTCGGTCGTAGCTGTGTGATTTGATTTATTTTATTAGCGAAGTGAAAAACGGCTGGTGCGAGCGTTTTTCTCGCGGACATTTCGAGATCGCCGCACTCACGCGCGCGCGTCTCTCGTCGCGATGCCTCCAAAATCGAAAAAGACTGGTAAGAAGAAGCCCGGGAAGTCGGCTGCGGCGTCGTCCAAGGCCAAAGACGCGACCGGCGCGACCGGAGGGGCCAAAGATGTCGACAAGTCGACGACCAAGGAGGAGGAAGAAAAAGACATGACGCACGCGTACGCGGACGATCTGAAGACGGACATCTACACCGACGTGAACGCAAATCCGAAGGCACTCGTGCACGCCACGGAGTGGCGCAAGATCATGAACGGTACGACGCTCGATGAAGAAGCTTGCGCGCGACCTTCCTCGACGACGACGACGTTCGCGACGGGACGGCTGACTGACCGGCTTGCGCGCGCAGGCGACCCCGTTGAAATCAACCCCTCGGTCGGAGCTGGGATGAAAATTATGACCGTAGACGAATGGATCTCGCGATGGAAACCGAACGAACGCTTCCCCGACTGCCTGTCGTGCGGGTCCACGAACACGAAGGAGCATCATTTTTCGCAGACGTGGTGTCGAGGCAAGAAAAAGTTTGAGTCAGAGACGATTTGCTGCGAGTGTCACATGTGGAGTTGGCGCTCGTACGCCGACCCGGACTTTTTAAGCCCCGAGGAGTACGACAAACTGAAGTGGGAGAAGATGGTTCAAGAAAACGCCACGCGGTTGAAGGACGCGCGCGTGGAAGATGCCGCCGCCGAATCCGTCGCCGCCGCCGCGTGAACACGCATCGACGAGCTCAAACGATACCGGTATAATCAAAACATTGCTATTTCTTCGCGCGCGACGCGTTATTTTCCCTGATCCGATGCGTCCGTTCGAGTTTCCGATACCGTTTCGCGTCCTCCTCCGAAAACTCTGCGCGCCAATCCAAGCCCTCCGCCTTCAACGCCGCGATCCTCCGCTCGTACCCTCCCAAACTTTCCTTCGCCTCCGACAGCGTCCACAACCACGCCGGATACGCATCATCGCTCCCGAGTTCCGGATCACTTCCCGTTTTCAAGTAATTCAACCCTACGACTTTCGTGTCGCTCGCCGCGCCGCCGCCGCCGCTCGCCGCCGTCTGCGCCTTCTCACCGTCTGCGCGTCGTTCGACACCGCCGTCGCTCCGTCAGTCGCGCGTCGCGCGCGTCATCCCGCGCGTCATCCCGCGCGTCCTCGCGCGCGTCCTCGCGTCTTCGCGCGCGTCCTCGCGCGTCGGTCCGCGCTCGACGCACCTTTACCCTTCGCCTTCGCCTTCGCCTTCGCCTTCGCCCTCGACGTCGCCGTCGCGCTCACGCCCCGCGTCGCGCCCGTCGCGCGCGCGGACGACGACGTCGCGCACGACGTCGACGCGCGTCTCGCGACGTCGCGCGCGACGCGACGCCACATGTCGCCGGTTTCGCGCGTCGCCTTTTGAGCGTCGATCCGCACTATGCGCGCGTCGTCGTCGGCGGCGTCGTCGTCGCGCGCGCGCGTCGACGCGCGCGCGCGCCGATCGCGGCATCGCGCGCGCGTCTCGCGTCCCGTCGTCGCGCGCGCGCGCGCGTCGCGCATGCGCATCGCGCCGCGCGCGAACTCGAGCGACGCGCGCGCGAACGCGTCGGTCCGCGGGACGCGCGGTGCGATGCCGCGCGCGCGCGCGACGCGCGACGAGGACGCGCGCGATGGCGATGGATTGCTCGCGAAACCGCTGAGCGCGTCGCAGGCGCTGCGGCGCGCGGCGTTCCCGGTCGCCGTCGCCGCACTCGGGGCGTTTTCGTTTGGGTATCACTGCGGCGTCGTGAATCCGGCGCTGGAGGCGCTGGCGAGCGATATCGGCATCGCGCGAGACGTCGCGGCGAAAGGAGCGGTGGTGTCGAGCATGCTCATGGGCGCGGCGTTCGGGTCGTTCGCCGCGGGGGCGTCGGCGGATAAATTTGGACGGAAAAAGTCGCTGGCGCTGGCGGGCGTCGCGCTGGCGCTGGGAAGCGCGGCGTGCGCGGCGGCGACGACGCTGCGGACGATGCTCGCCGGACGCGCGATCGTGGGCGTGGGCGTCGGATTGGTGTCGATTTTGGTGCCCATGTACGTGAGCGAACTGAGTCCGCCCGAGCACCGTGGGGTGCTGGGATCGGGGCCGCAACTGTCCATCGGATTTGGGATTTTGGTCGCCATGTTTCTCGGTTTGCCTTTGCAAGGCGTCGACGTCGATCCCGCGTGGTGGCGCACGATGTTCTGGCTCGCCACCGTTCCCGCGGTCGCGCTCGCGACGCTCGCGAACGGAATCCCGGAAAGTCCGTCGTGGTTGCGCTCCAAAGGGCACTTTCAAGAGGCGGACGCGGTGGAGTCTAAGCAATTCGGAGCCGTGGCGCCGAAGCGCGCCGACGACATGGGATCGACCAAGGTGGCGACGTGGCAAGAGACTCTGCAAGGGCGCTCGAATCGTCGAGCCGTGATTACGGGGCCGATGCTGTTCTTCATTCAACAATTTGCCGGCATCAACGCCATCATCTACTTCAGCACGGCCATCTTCCAAAGCGCCGGGATCGAATCTGGCGTACTCGCCTCCGTCGCGGTGTGCGTGGTGAACATCGTAGGCAGCGTCATCGCTACCGGTTTACTCGATAAAACGGGTCGTAAACCGCTTCTCATGTACTCTTTCCTCGGTATGGCGGTAAGTTGCGTCGGTTTGGCCATCGCGGGCGCGTTTCCAGCGATGGTCATGGCGCCCGCGCTGTCGCTGTTTTCCGTCCTCTCGTACGTCTTCATCTTCGGCATGGGCGCCGGTCCAGTTCCGGGTCTGCTATCTTCGGAGATTTTCGCTCCGGCCGTGCGCGGGAAGGGGATGTCTTTGTGCTTTCTCGCGCACTGGATCTTCAACTTCTGCATTGGACAGGGATTTTTACCGGCGGTGGAGTACTTCGGCGCTAGCGTCGTGTACATGTTTTTCGCGGCGTTTTCGATGTTTGGGTTCTTTTTCACTCAAGCATACGTCGTGGAGACAAAAGGCAAGTCATTGGAGCAGATCGCGGTCGAGCTTCACACGTGAACAATGTTGTAAAACCAAAACTTACGCGAACGCAAGCAAACATTTTGTTACAAAGTACAATTTTACTGTAGGCGTCTTTTCATTCAGGCGTCTTTTCATTCTCGACCGACAAACATTCCATGCAGCCCGTGTGGGATTCTATTGCGCAGAGGAATGCTACACACCGGGCCCGCGGCTATGTCGGCGCAGTCAAGAACGACGACTCGTGAAATCCCAGCTGGGTTCTCCCGCGAATGGTCCGCGATCAGCCCGATCAACCACGCATCGTCTTCGTTTGCGCCGTTCGCTTTCGGCACGATGACTGGTTCTTCGCAAAAGCTTCGGTTGCTCGCGTACCACTTTTGCAATTCGCCCGTCTTTAGGTCGATGCGCACGTAACCAAGCGGCGGTCCGCTGACGCGAACTTCGTTACTCAACGAAGCGTACACGTACCGACACGCGCGCTTGCCCTCGAATAACGGCGACACGTGCGGATGGTCGATGCACAAATCTTCGCAACCTGGCGCCGGTTGACGCTTCACTTCCCCGGTGACGGCGTTGATTTCATACATCCACAACAGCGTTCTCGGGATGTTGTTAAAGTCTGGACTCAACTCCGTGGGCACTGGAAACGGCCAAGGGTCGCTTGAGCCCCACTCGCCGAGGAACACACCAGGAGAAAGCTTGTCCCAGCCCGCGGTGTACACGGTGACCCAGTTCTCGAGATCTTCCGACGTCGTCTCGCCGCGGCTCAAAGGTGGCCCGTCGTGCGCGAGCGCCACGTGTATCTCGAACGATTCTCGAGGCCCTTCGGCGATCACGGGTTCCACCGGTTTCGCCACATTCGGCGTCTGCGTCGAGCGCGGGATCAAGTGCACGAGGAGTGGTTCTTGCGGCTGCGAAATCAGGCACTCACCCGCGCCCTTGGCCCCGACGAGAAACGGTAGAGGATCGATGCCGAGTCGATTTTGAATCATCACGTACCACTTTTCTGTCACACCGAAATCGTGCGGCGCGGCCTCGCAGCCCTCCATAACGTAGTCGCGTCTTCCCATCTCGCGCCAATCTTCATCCCACTCCCACAGCGAAATCTCCACCGCCTTGGCGGTGATGCGAGATTTCCATCCCCAACCGACCAAGTATCCGGTGTTGGAGTCAATGTGCGGGTGTGCGGTGAACGCCCGCCCCCCAAGTCCAGCAGAGCGTTCGATCGTCGATCCGATGGGTTCCGGTAACCCGAGCGTGAAGTACTGTCCCGGCTCGAGTCGACCGCCTAAATCGTCCACGCCCTTTGTAGCGAGCGTCTCCGCGTCCACTTCCACGGGCTGACCTGCTTCGTACAACGCGAGCACGCGACCGCCCCATCGCACGATATTCGTATTCGCTAAATTTTTCGTGTGTAAATCGAACGCATTATTCAACATCCCTCCTTCTCGCATGGTCCCGAACGTTCCTCGATACAACACCTTGCCCGCGGCGTCTTCCTCGGCGAACTCGCGCGTGCGAACGAATCGCGACGTAAACGCCACCGACGCGCCATCTGAAGAAAACCTGAATCGCAGCGCTAGACCATCACCGTCGAGCATGTGCGCGTACTCCTTCTCGCGCTCAAACAACCCGGGTCCGATGCGATACAGCGTGCCGCCGCGCAGCTCCTCCGGCGCCGCGCCGAACGCGCACGCGCTCTCGTACGCGTGTTCACCGTCCGCGCTCACGTACGCGTGCGCCCAGTCGGCGTGCGTGTACACGCAGTACCCATGCGCGCGCGCGTCCTCCAGCACGTCGCCATCGACGCGCGGATCGATCGACCCGCGTCGTCGTCCCCATCCGAGCGTCCCCGGCACAAACTTTTCCGCGCCTTTATCCGCGTCTCGCGACGTCGTCGCCGCGCGGTGCGACGCGACGCGCGCGCGGTGCGACGCGCGCCGATCGCATGGCGCGTTCGACGCGGTCGCGATCGCGCGCGCGCGCTCGCACGCGTCGAACGCGCGCGACATGCGCGCGACGCGGCGTTGAGTGACGTCGCCCGCGCGCGTCAAAACTCGACGCCGAGTCCTCGCGCGCGCGCCGACGCTCGAGCGCGCGATGCCGTCGGCGTTGTGCGCGTCGAAGAAGCGCTATCGCGCGCTGACGCGCGGGACGAAGCCCGAGGCGGGACCGAACGCGCCAGTCGTGTACTGGCTGTCCAGGGACCAACGCGTGCGAGATAACTGGGCGCTGCTGCGCGCGTGCGACGTCGCGCGCGCGAACGACGCGCCGGTGGTGATCGCGTTTAATCTGCTGACAAAGTTCCTCGGCGCGGGGGCGCGACAGTTCGGGTTCATGCTGCGTGGACTTCGCGAGCTGGAGGGCGCGGCGAAGGCGAAAAACGTGACGTTCGCGATGACGTACGGGGATGAGCCAGCGATCGCGATCGATGCGCTGGCCAAGAAGATTGGTGCGAAAACGATCGTGTGCGACTTTTCGCCGCTTCGCGATGGGTTGAAATGGCGGAAAGAACTGGCGGCATTGTGCGAGGCGCGCTCGGCGCACTGCGAGGAATGCGACGCGCACAACGTAGTGCCGTGCTGGGAAGCGAGCGACAAGCTCGAAGTCGGCGCGCGGACGCTTCGAGGGCGCTTGGCGAAGCGTTACCCGGAGTTCTTGCACGAATTCCCGGAAGTGCCGGATGATTTGCCCAAGTACAGCGGCCCGGCGCTCGACGCGGTGAAGTGGGACGACATCATCGCCGAGGCGCTGTCGCGCGGGCAAGCGGTGCCGGAAGTGACGTGGGCGATCCCGGGCGAAACCGCGGCGCACGCTGTTTTGGACGACTTTGTGAACTCACGCATGAAGTTGTACGAGAAGCGCAACGATCCATCCAAGCCGCAGGCGCTGAGCGGGCTGTCGCCTTGGCTGCACTTTGGGCAGATTTCTGGTCAGCGATGCGCGCTCGAGGCAAAGAAAGCCGTCGGAAAGGCGTCGCCGCCCGCGTATGAGTCGTTCTTCGAAGAGCTCGTCGTTCGTCGAGAGTTGTCCGACAACTTTTGCTACTACAGCCCGAAGTACGATCAGATTGAGGGACAAAAGTACGACTGGGCCAAGGACACGCTTCGCCTGCATGCGAGTGACAAGCGTCCGTACTTGTACTCGCTCGAAGAACTCGAGCGGGCGAAGACGCACGACGATCTGTGGAACGCCGCCCAGCGAGAGTTGCGTTATGGAGGTAAGATGCACGGCTTTTGTCGAATGTATTGGGCGAAGAAGATTCTCGAGTGGACCGAGTCGCCCGAGCAAGCGTTGAAGTTTGCAATTTATTTGAACGACACGTACTCGCTGGATGGTCGCGATCCGAGCGGCTACGTCGGATGCATGTGGTCCATCGTGGGCGTGCACGATCAAGGTTGGAAAGAACGCGAAGTTTTCGGCAAGATTCGATACATGGCGTACGACAGCACAAAGAAGAAGTTTAGCATCCCCGACTACATCGCTCGCGTCAACGCGCTCGTCAAGGCGGCGAAAGCAGACTTCAAATCTGGCGAGAGCTCGCACGCCGCTAATCCCGGGTTGTTCAAAATCAACGTGCCGGCGGCAAACAAGCGCAAGGCTACGGAGGAGGCGCAATAATTCAAATTCAAATCACAGCATTCTTTTGTATTGATACATTCGACAAACTTCCGATCTTCGGTCGTCGGCGTCGCGTCACACCACGTCGACGACGACGTACGTGTTCCAAATTGCCCGCGTCAGCGCGTGCGAAATCAGCCCGAGCGGTCCGAACATGCAGCACAAAATAAGTGAGTGCCGTACCGGTATCCGCGCCACCAAATCCCCCGCGCTCGAGCTATACTTGGCCGAATCCAAGTACACGAATCTCGCCACGAAGAAATCCAACGACAACAGGTGTACCCACGCGCTCGCCGCCGTCTCCGACGTCGCCATGAATTCGCTCACCAGCGTCACGAATTTCGTCACCAAAGGCGCTGAACGATCATTCAGCACCGCTCTCGCCGCGTCGAACACGTGCGCCGAGGCCAACGACGCCCCCGCCGCGCACAGATAACACGCTCCGAGCACCCAAAACAACGCCTTCGACTCCACCATCGCGAGCACGCGCTTCGACCGCGGGCTCGCGATCATGAGCGCGTACATCGGCATCACCGCCATCGTCGCCACCGTGAACGCGGTGTCCGGAATCGCCAGCGCTCCCGTCGTCGTCGTCCTTCCGCGACGACACTTTCGAGACACCGACGAAAGAAACGCCGCCGCCGGCGCGCGCCGCGCCGTCGTCGCGCGCGCGCCGCGCGACGCCGTCGTCGCGCGCGCGTTCCCCGTCCCCGCACGCGACGCCCCGACCGTCGCCGCGCGCGACGACGCGCGCGCGACGCGTTCCATCGCGCTCGACAGTGCCGCACAGCTCGCCGCGCCGCGCCGCGAACGGTCGACCGAACGGTCGAGCGTCGACGCGCGCGGCGGCGACGACGGCGGCGGCGACGCGACCGTCGTCGACGCCGTCGTCGAGGCGATGTCGCGCGCGTTCGTGGACGTCGATAAGAGCGCGGTGACGCCCGTGGAGAAGGCGTGCGCCGAAGACGCGAAACCGTTCGACGACGCGGTCGAGCGACGCGGTGACGAAGCGACGACGAGCGCGCGAAGGTGCGCGAGCCCGCTCGATGCGTTCGTCGCGCGGGACGTGCTGACGGCGACGGAGTGCGAAAGGCTGGTGGACGCCGCGCGGCGGTCGGGACGGTTGAGCTTTTGGCACGAGGACGCGGAGGCGAGGAATAGAAAATCGTTCAGGAACGCGGATACGGTGGAGGTGATGTCGAAGACGGTCGCGGAAGCGCTGTGGGCGCGATTGAAACCGCACGCGACGCCGGAGATCACGATTGAGGAGGATGAGACGCACGGCGCGGGGGCGCGCGGACGATGGGTGGCGCGAGGCGTGAACGAACACTTGTTGTTTAATCGATACTCTGGACGCGGGCACTTTTCACCGCACACCGACGGGGCGACGATCGAAGATTTCAATACGCGTTCGTTTTATAGCGTCTTGGTGTACCTGAACGATTGCGCGCGAGGTGGGGAGACGTCGATGTTCGCGCCGCCGAGCGACTTTGAGCCGTCGAAATTCGTGCGCGACGAGGACGATCGATACCGTTGGCCGGATGAATGGATCGCCGACGCCGCGCCGTGCGCGCGAGGCACTGCTCTGGTGTTTCGACAAGACATTCCGCACGAGGGCGCGCCCGTGGGCGAGGGCGCGGTGAAATTCATCATTCGCACCGACGTCATGTACGCTCGCGAGCCGCCGGCGTTCGCCGACGCCGTCGGCGCCGAGGCGTACGCCCTGCACAAGCGCGCCGTGGACGCGGAGACCTCGGGCGACGCCATGGAAGCGATGCGTTTATTTCGCCACTGTCGTAGGCTCTGTCCGGCGTACGCCGATTTCGTAGGTATTTGATTTCAATTCGCGTAATTTTTCCGCTACCTGTAAATCTTTCGTTTGAGCGATCTATGCAAGTACTTCAAACTCAAACACTCCATGACGTCACCTCCAGCCGCCGCTTCAGACGCACGCTTATTCCCGGGGCACCCGTGCGTGTGCAAGTACTTCAAGCACTCCGAGTGACCACCTCGAGCCGCTGCAGAACACGCACTCTTATCCCATGCGCACCCGTGCTCATGCAGGTCTTTCAAAAACTCCAAGTGACCACCTAGAGCCGCCGCTTCACACGCACTCTCATCGCACGGGCACCCGTGCTCGCGCAGATATTTCAAACACTCCAAGTCGCCACAGCTAGCCGCCGCTTCACACGCACTCTCATCGCACGGGCACCCGTGCTCGTGCAGATATTTCAAACACTCCAAGTCGCCACCTCGAGCCGCTGCTCGACACGTTTTCTTATTCCATACGCACCCGTGCTCGTGCAGATATTTCAAACACTCCAAGTGACCACCTAGAGCCGCCGCTTCACACGCACTCTCATCCCATGGGCACCCGTGCTCGTGCAGGTCTTTCAAAAACTCCAAGTCGCCACAGCTAGCCGCCGCTTCACACGCACTCTCATCGCACGGGCACCCGTGCTCGTGCAGATATTTCAAACACTCCAAGTCGCCACCTCGAGCCGCTGCTCGACACGTTTTCTTATTCCATACGCACCCGTGCTCGTGCAGATATTTCAAACACTCCAAGTGACCGCCTTCGGCCGCTGCTAAACTCACCCACTCACTCCATGGGTACCCGTGCTCGTGCAGATATTTCAAACACTCCAAGTGACCGCGTCCAGCCGCTGCAGAACACGCACTCTTATCCCACGCGCACCCGTGCTCGTGCAGATATTTCAAACACTCCAAGTCGCCACCTCGAGCCGCTGCTCGACACGTTTTCTTATTCCATACGCACCCGTGCTCGTGCAGATATTTCAAACACTCCAAGTGACCACCTAGAGCCGCCGCTTCACACGCACTCTCATCCCATGGGCACCCGTGCTCGTGCAGGTCTTTCAAAAACTCCAAGTCGCCACAGCTAGCCGCCGCTTCACACGCACTCTCATCGCACGGGCACCCGTGCTCATGCAGATATTTCAAACACTCCAAATGACCACATCGAGCCGCCGCTTCACACGCACTCTCATCCCACGCGCACCCGTGCTCGTGCAGATATTTCAAACACTCCAAGTCGCCACCTCGAGCCGCTGCTCGACACGTTTTCTTATTCCATACGCACCCGTGCTCGTGCAGATATTTCAAACACTCCAAGTGACCGCCTTCGGCCGCTGCTAAACTCACCCACTCACTCCATGGGTACCCGTGCTCGTGCAGATATTTCAAACACTCCAAGTGACCACCTTCAGCCGCTGCTAAACACGCACTCTCATCGCATGTGCACCCGTTCGCATGCAGATATTTCAAACACTCCAAGTGGTCACCTTGAGCCGCCGCTTCACACGCACTCTTATCCCACGCGCACCCGTGCTCGTGCAGATATTTCAAACACTCCAAGTTGCCCCCTCGAGCCGCCGCTGCACACGTTCTCACATCCCATTCGCGCTCGTCCGCGTGGAAGGTCTTCAAATATCGACGTATTTTCAACAAGGCTGCGTCGTCGCTTAGCACCCGCTCAATTCTGTTCTCCACCTCCTCTGCCAACTCGCGCTCGGTCTCTTGGTCGTAGAGCGACGCGATGCATGCGCCCGACAACACTGGCCTCTTCGTATCCTCCTCGTAGTTCTCTATGCTTGCAGCGATGCCCCAGGACACACTGTCTCCCTTGCTTTTGAAGTGCGCGATGAGTTCTTTGTTTATGGGTTGTTCGCGCTGCGCGGGGCCAGAGTTCCCACTGAAGACCCTATCGCCGTGCCGGATCTCTCCCGACGCCACCGCAACACCGCCTGCCATCGCGCCGCGTCCCGGATTCGCGCGCAGAGGACGAAGGGCGCGCGATGAGATCTCGTTGACACTGGAACGACGAGAGTCCCGCCGAACGCGACGGCAGAAGACGACGCCGACGTCGCGCGCGCGGACCCGAAGCGACGCGGACGCGAAGATCGAAAGCCGCCGCGATGCCGATCGCCGCCGTTCGACGCGCGCGCCTCGATGTGCTGACGCGCGGTGGACACGATGGGTCGAACGAGGACTTGGTGTGCTACGCCCAAAAAAATGAGCGCGAAGCGAAACGCGCGCACGTGGGCGCGTCCGAGCGCACGTGCGCGCAGGTGCACTCGTACAAGTATACATCACCGCCGTCGACGTCGTTTGAGAAGCTGTTTTTGGAGCGATGGTGGACGTACGTCGTCGAACGGTGGTGTCCGCTGTGGGTGGCGCCGAACGCGTTGACGTTCGGCGGATTAATGTTGGTGATGGTGACGTACGCGTTGTATTGGACGCACACGCCAGTGCTGGCGCACACCGCGCCGTCGTGGATGTACGCGGTGAGCGCTGTTTTAATGTTTGCGTATCAGACGGCGGACGGCATCGACGGTAAGCAAGCGAGACGAACGAAGAGCGGGTCGCCGTTGGGAGAAGTCGTCGATCACGGATGCGATGCGATTTGCACGTGCGTGTACGGGATTATTTTCGTTGATTTATTGGCCGTCGGTATCGCGACGCCCGCGGCGAGAGCGTTCGCGGTGATGATGATGACGTCGAGCCGGATTTTTTTCGCCGTCGACACGGTTTCGAGCACGTACACGGGATTGTTACCTGTGAACACCGCTTTTGACGTGCAAGAGATGCAGATCCTGTTGCAAATAAGTATGATTGTCTTCGGATTCGTTGGGAGCGACGCGATGAATGCGTTTACGATCACTCTACCCATCATCGGCGAGCGAGGCGTGGTGCGCCTGCTCGTCGACGGCGGGGCGTTGTTCGGCGTGCGATCTCGCGCGATGACGTTTTATCGCACCGTCACGGCAAAAGAAGTGCCACCACACTGGCCAAAGCATCGTAATCCGACGCGTATTGCGTTGTTTTGCATCGTCAACGAGTTGTTTCACGGCGTGTGCTTGTATTTTGCGCCAAACTTGGCGTTGGCGCACGCCACGAGCATGCTTCTCTTCGCCGAAGCCGAGATGAGCATCATGCGCCTGCGCGTTTCAGACCCCGATTGGCCGCTGTTCAACTGGTTGAGCGGGTTCATCATGATCATGACGACATTTGTGCCCGCGGGCAACATGTTCATCGGCGGCATCCTCCTCGGCGCCGCGTTATTTTTGTTGCTTCACCGAAGCGCGACGCTTTGCGCGCAAGTCACGGGATGTCTCGGGATGCACTCAAACATATTCATTCTTCCCCCAAGGAAGGAGGAGTAAAACTACTTAATCGCTACAACTAGCTAGGCCTAGCTAAGGACCGTTCTAATCGACTACACTCTAATAAGGCGTGCGCGAAAACACGGCAAAGATTTCGATGTGATTCGTGCCTGGGAAGAACACGAAGCTCTCGTGATGACGGATTTGCCACACGCCGCTCGCCAATAACTCGTCCGAGTCGCGCATGAATGATTCAAATCCGCACGACACGTAAAGCAAAGTTTGCAAGTCATCGCTCAGACCATCGACGTCGGTGAGCACGGCGCGCAGCTTGGCGTCGAGTCCCTTTCGAGGCGGGTCGACGATGAGAACGTCGCAATCCTTCGTCGATTCGACGGCGATGCGCTCCGCCTTTTCGACTTGCAAACTTGCTCGACCTCGCAAATCTTCTGGTAACTCGCCACGCGTGCGTTCCCACGCTTCGGCGACCGCGCTCGACGATTCCACGCATCGCAAGCTCTTCACGCCGAGCGCGTCGTTCGTCAGAAGCGAAAAACCAATGGCGCCGACGCCGGCGTACATCTCGACGACGCGCGCGTTCTTCGGCACGTGTCGCGGCATGCGCTTGAGCAACTCTCCGTACGCCTCCGCGTTGGCTTGCATGAAGCTTCCCGGCAGATAAAACACCTTGGCACCGTTGGGCGTGTACGAGTGCGTTTCTCGCTCGCCCGTCGCGTGGTGCCACCCGTCGTTGTTAAAAATCACGTTATTTCGCGCGTCTTGCGCGTTCACCCACGTCCCGTGCACGAAATCTCCACCCCTTCGCGCGATTTCCTCGCACACCGCCATCGCGCGCGGCGTCATCTTCCGCGCGTTCCACACCAACGAAATCGCCGCTCGCGCGTCTTCGTCCTTCGCCGCGTCCCACTGTCCCGCCGTTCTCGTCTGCGCCACGATTTGCGCGTACCGCAGCTCCCCGTTCCCCGTCGTTTCGTCGTACCCTTTCACATCCATCGACGCGCACACCTCTCGCACCAGCGCCATCGCTCTTTCGACCGCGATCGCCGACACCGCGCACCCGCTCGCGTCGTCGATGGGCTCCAGCGCGTGCGAGCCTCGCGCGAACAGCCCCAGTCGCGTCTCGCCCTCGTGCGCGCGCGCCGCGAGCTTCGCCTTGACGCGCCATCGCGTCGCGCGTCCGCGATACGTCTCGTGCGTCTCGCGCGTCTCGCCCGTCTCGCCCGCGCGCGCGTCCAGCGACGCAAAGTACGCGCGCGCGCGCGCCTCCGCCTCGGGTCGCAGCGGCGCGTCGACGTCGACGCATCCCGCGCACCGCGGCCAGTGCGCGCAGTCGAACGCGCCGTCGCTCGAACGCGCGACGGTCGCGCGTCGCGACGCGCGCGCGACGACGCGCGGGCGCGGTGCGCCGGCGACGCGCGTCGCCATTGCGTCGCGCGATGGCGTCGGTGCGCCGCGCGCCGTCGACCGCGACGCCGCGCGCGTCGTCGCGACGCGCGCGGGACGCGCGCTCGACGCCGCGACGCGCGCGCGTCTCGCCGCGCGCGCTCGACGCCGCGCGCGACGTCGTCGTCGTCACCGGCGCGCTCGAACGGCTGGCGCAAACGTCGGCGGTCGAGCTGAAGCGAAACGAAAAGTCGAGCGACGTGCGCGTCGTCGCGGCGCTGCCGCGCGAGGCGTTCGAGGGCGTGCGAAATCCGCGAGACGTGCGATCGACGACGCTGGTGTACCCGCACGCGAAGACGCTGGAGATGCTCGACGAACAAGGGGTGGAGACGGCGGAGCTCGGGGAGACGCTGGGAGGCGAGACGGCGACGCGCGAGCGAACGACGTGCGTGATATTCGCGGAGGAGAGCTCGAAGAAGCTCAAGGCGTGCGTGGAGACGTTTTGTGAGGCGATCGACGGCGGTCGGTTCCCGAGATTGCGGCGCGTGGTGTTGATGTCGAGAATCGGCGTCGAACGGCGAGACGTCGATCCGTTCAAGTATATGAATCGCAAGACGTTTCGAGGCGGCGCGCCGTTGGACGATTGCGTCGCGTGCGAGGACATGATACGCCGCCGCGCGGCGAAAACGGTGAAACCGGGCGGTGTCGCGGATGGATGGACGTTCACCATCGTGCGCACGGGAGAATTGCGAGGAAACGGGCCGACGAGTAAAGTCGTGCAAGCCGACTACGCGTTGACTTTGGTGGACAACGCGTTCGACGTTCGCATGCAAGACATCGACATCGACGAGGGCGATAAAATGCCCGGCGGTGATTTCACCAAACGACTCAGTGCGGCCGTGTTCGCCAACCGCACGCTCACGACGTCGCGATACGACGTCTTAAACGCCGCGTACTCCATCGTATCCACCGGTCCCGCGCCGCGCGAGCGCCGCAAAGGATATGACGTCGCCAAGGGCAAATCGCCGCCGCCCGTGAGCGATCGCGAGATCGACGAGGCGTTGGCGCCCGGAGACGAAGACGCAGAGCGCGTCCCAGGCGCGGTGCCCGTGCCTTCGTGATGTAATTCATTCATGTTATTCCATCGCCGCGTCCCGTCCCGTCCCGTCGCGTCGCGCGCTCGACCAACGAACTTTTCGCTTTCGTCATTCTCTCGCGCGCCACGCGCGGCACGCGCCGCACGCGCCGCGCGCGCGGCGCACGATCGACGCACATGATCGGCGCGCACACCATACTCGCGCCTTTGCTCGCGCGCGCGCTCAATCGCTACCTCGACGGCGTCAATTCCGACACCCTGCGCATCGCCCTGCTGCGACGAAAACTTTCGCTGCGAAACGTGTCCGTGAACTGCGACGCGCTCAATCGCGAGCTGAACCTGGGGATAAAACTCACGCGAGTGCGCATCGAGACGATCGACGTGCACTACGCGGTGTTCGGGAAGCGAGAGGAGACGCTTCGGGTGCGCGTGGAAGGCGTCGACGTCGAGGCGGAGGCGCCGAACGACGACGAAGAAGACGAAGACGACTCGGGTGATGGGGTCGACTCGGATGCGCTGCGCGAACGACGGGACGCGAGGGAGAAAGCGATGGAACACATCGCGAGCGCGATGGAGACGCACGCGCGAGAGATGGTGAAAGGGTCGGCGTGGTCCAACGCGTGGTTCGCGGCGGCGTTTGAGCGTTTATCGGTGGAGTGTCGACGCGCGAGCGCGACGTACGCGACGAAGGCGACGGGTTCGGGGCGGGAGGGTGACGTCGGGCGATTGCGAGGAAGCATCGAGCGGTTTACGATGAAGAGCGTAGGGAAGACGTCGAGCGCTCGGTCAGCGGAGGATGACGAGGACGCGAACGACGGCGAGCCAGAGCGAAAGAAAACAAAGACTTCCGAGCACGACGACGACGCGGGCGACGCGTCGTTCAGCGGAGACGCGATGAAGCGCGTCGAAATAACAGGACTGTCGCTCATCGTGGATGATGGTGAGACGTCGGGGCAGCACGATGTCGTGGGACCGAACGGTCGCGTGCGAATGGACGTGCACTTGCGCAAACGCGCGCGGCGCGCGAGATTCCTTCGCCCGAAGGCATCGAAATACGTCGCGAAGATAGACGTTCGAGACGTTCTAGAAACGAATATTAGCGCTTCGCAGGCGCAGATGTTGCTTTTGGTGCGCGATGAGATTGATATGTGGACGAAGAGAAGAGCGCACGGCGAACGTAGACCAAAGACGAAGAATCCCGTCGATTGGTGGAGATACGCCGTCAGGGCGACGGTGCCGCGCGGAGAGCACCATCGCGCTCGAATGCTAGATAGACTTAGACATGGGCGCTCACAGCTCGAGGCGTACGTCGAGGTGTGCGTCGAGCGCAAACGTGGGCAGAGAATCACGATGCCTGAACATTTACAAAAGTTTGAGACGAGGCTCACGGCGGATGACGTTGAGCTCATCACATCGCTTGTCGAGCGCAAGGTGGCGAGTCTTCAAGAGACAGAAGATGATATGATGGATAGCATGTTTCCTTCGTATCACTCGTCATACAGCGCCGCGGATATATTCGACACCAGCGGCGATGATGCGGAGGAGACCGCGGAGCAGATAAGAAGAATGCCAGAGTCAAAACAGACGTCAACGAGTCTCACGAGCTATCTCTATGCCAAGAGCACGAGTTACATCTCCAAAGCTTACAACTATGTCAACGTGTCATCAAAATATGCGTCGGCATCAGAATCAGTCGGTGACTTTGAGCCAGAAGTATCTGTGGAGATTCCCGGCGTCTCGATGACGATTCGAGACGCGGCGGAGAATCGATTACGGTTCACGGCGAATAACATATCACTGGCGCATGGTGCTCTCTTCGCCGATGACGAAGGTGTCGTCAGTGAGACGCAGATACACGTCGATCGCGTGCACGCTGAGGACTCGAGCTCGGGTGTTGCTGAGGATATGATTTGGTCTCGAGAAACTGATGGCGAGCGAGCGGTTACGATCAAGTTGAATCCGAGTGCGTGCGCGACGCTGGACGTGCTCGTAAACGTGCACGTGAAGATGGCGCCACACGGTATGGCTATTCGACCGTCAACGGCCAAAGTGCTCGCGGGTTTCGCGAGTATCAGAGATGGACCTTACTGGCAAGCACTACGAAGAGCGACTTTGGGGTTGAACAATCGCTCGCCAGAGTGCAGGTTGAAGATGATCAAGCTCCTTGGCGACGGGATACAAGCGATACCTGTGCTCGTTGAGATCGATTCACCCTTACTTGTCGTACCCGCTCAAACTGCACCGCCATCGATCGATGTGGAGACGTCGGCTGCGTTGGCGTTTGGCGCGGAAAAGATTGTCTTTTGCCAGGAAAACGGTTCGCGATCACGCGATGATGGATCGTTTGATCGATTGGTAGACGAAGCTTCAGCGATGATGGATTATGCTTACGATGCAAAGGAAGCGTGGCGCGCCCTGGAAGAGTTGTCTGAATTTGTTTTGCAAACTCGTAGTTTCGCACACGTCGACGGCGCGTGGATGACCGCGGCAAACGCCTCCGCTGCTATAGCTGAAGGAGTGAAACTTACTGTCGTGAACGATGCGACAATATTCGATTCCGATGTGACGATGGTAGACTTGGAACCGATCGAACTCAACTTCGATCCGGTAAGCGTCGCGGCGGTGGTTCACGTGGTCCAAGCCTTTGCAGACGTCTCTGTACAGACAACTGCGAGTTCGACGCCCTTCGCCGTGGATTCTGGGCTTCGATTCAACTTAGAAAAGATCGCGCTGAATTTGAATAGCGCATCAGGCCGAATGCATTACACGGTCACGGACATCAGTATCGCCACGAAGGGTTCGAGCGACGATTGGAGGATGAAATCAAGCGTAGGTACGGTATCTGGCGTGCACATGGACGCTGATTCGGCGCAAACAGAAATTGTGCGTTGCTCGCCGAAGGACTCTATACTGAAAGCTCACGTCTGCGCACGAATCGCGGGTACGATCGAATTGGGAGCCATCGACGTAAGAGTTACGCAAAATGTACTCGAAACGCTATCAGAGTTTGCCCGCCTTACGAAAGACGTCAAGAAGTTCTTTGGTGAACGTCTGCACGTCGCGAGCCCTATTCAGAGTCGTTCCGTCCGTGGTGAGTTCGACAGGGCGTGGAGTTGTGTAGCGACGTTCGATATCGCAGACTCGTTGTCACTATTTTTACACGGCTCCATTGAACCCATGTCGTTCAAGCTCTTTGAAGAGTCGGGCGAAAAGGAAGCGGTTGCGCTCACGACGCGTGCCATGGAGATTCGAGGCAATGCCTCGCACGTGGAACTTGAGCTCCCTAGAATGTTACTCTCTATTCTCAACGCCGAGTTTTCTACTTCATTACTCGATGTCGAGGATGTACATTTTACTCATTCTTTCGGGAGCGCCTCAAACGCGGCGAAGGTGCAGGTGGGGAGTATTGGCGCTGAAATTACCCCCACAGACGTGCGGCGACTGGTCGTCGTCTCGGAATCGATTCCAAAGATGCCCTCTCTGACTAAGAGTTCACCTATAGCTTCTCCTGGGATCACTGACGCCAAAGTGTTTTCAATTCCTTCCGTCGACGTGAATGTGAAACGAATCAGGTTGAGCGCTAGAGAAGCGGATGAAATTTCGTTGACGTTTTTCGACGTGACGGGGCGCGCGAGTCCGCGAGAAGACGGCCATCTCGCTGAATTACGAGTGGACTCTATTGATCTGCAAGTTTGCACACGCAAAAGTATCGAACACCCGACGACGTTGCTTCATATATCGAGTGAGTCCGGTGCGGCTGTCAAAATGGATGCCATGTACGCCCAAGGCTCAGTAAAGTCCGAGTTGCTCATTGGGAAAGGCGATGTCGAGTTCAACGCGCCGTACATCATTGCGGGAACGAGTGTCTTGCATGGCGTGAGACAGGCAATGCCTGTGTTGACCGCGTCGACAACGACATCTGCACCATCGATATCACCTTTGTCTTTAACTCTCGTGTCTGCGAACTTTCGCACGGAAACTTGGACAGTACAACTACCTTGGCGTTCAGAGAGCGAGCGCCATGCGCCGCTGCGTATCGTACGTTTGAAGACTCGGCAATCGGGTACTTTGAATGAGTTCACTGCGGGATCTTGCGTCAATGCGACGTTCACACTGGATGAGTTCACGCTTGAGACAGGATACTGCAAGGATGAAGATGATCTCGAAGGTTCATCAATCATGTTTACGCTCGCCGAAGTTATTGGACTTTCGAGTAGAATGACTTTGCCGCCCACATCTCCTGAACACTTTGCGCGCAAAGTCGTGCCGAAAATGGACGTTACTGTACATGAGATGCGCGCACGCGCAAACGAAGTTTCTTTACACTTGATACAAGAAGTTTCGGCGCTGATCCTCGCGCAACCGGCAACTTTGAACGCCATAGAGGCGTATGATCAATTGCCCTCGAGTTCAAGCCCACACGAGTTCGATCTTTCCATCAACGTAGAGTCCATGAGTGCGTGCCTGGAACACGCACAGGTCCACATCGTTGTGCCAGTTTTGCAAGTCATGATGACGGACGCGCGTGTTGATGTTAAGAGCTCGAGCTCTGGCGTGGATGGAAGCGCATCGATGGATGTAGAGATGGACTACTTGCATCCAGTGAAAGCGGCTTGGGAACCCATTCTTGAACCCATGCGCGTTTCGACGTCAATCAAGCTCACGCCAGAGTTTCTATTTGAGAGTGTCAACATCAACGTTGCGGCTGGGATCGAAATAACAATGTCGCATAGTGTCGTCGAAGCGCTTCTCAAGACGCAAATCATCGCGCAAGCGGCGCAAGCGCCCATCGCGGATCTCGAACAGTCGACGACTTTTGGACCTTGCACTTATCAGATGACGAACGCCACTGGATTCAACGTCGCTTATGCGCTCACGTTAGTTCGTGGTGGCGAAATCACGTCCGCCGGGGCGGGTAAAACTATCGCGGGTGACACAAACGTTATGCACTTTGAGCGGCGCGAGGAAAATCGTGCGTGCAAAACCAACCGCGTCATAGAGCGAGGGGCCTCGTACTGGGCATCGCCGATCAATGATGACGATGAAGATGACGGCGCGAGCGTGCGCCATCGATCGGAATCGACGCAAGAACGCGTTCCTCACGTGTCGCTCGAATTTGAAGACATCCAGGTCGACATAGACGAGGCAATTTCTCTCGACACCATTGGCGAGGAGACGAGCTTGCTGGAATACGAAGCACAGATGGTGGACGGTTCCTGCGCGCGTGTCATCGCGGAGATCGGCCCTTGCTCGAACAAGGTGAATCGATATGAACTATTGCTTCGTTCGGACGTCGCAATTTTGAATGGCACGAACGCCCCGATCGTGATGTGCTTTCAGCAAAGTGCGACGCTGCCGGCGACGATTTTCGGCCCGATACTTCCCGGCGAAAGTGTGTGGCTTCCGATACCCCTGCGCTTAGCTAAAAACGTGCAATGGCGCGTGGTGTCGCCGGATGAAGATTTTGGAGAAATCTCCGTGGATGAGGTGGATGATTCTGAAGCTTCCGCTGGGTCACCTTTCCTCAGCCCGCTCCATCGTTCGAAAACCAACGCCACTCCACGCTCACCCTTTGGGGACGCGTTCTGGCGACGTCGTCACAATTGGAGTACCTTTGTCGCGTTTTCTGATTTGGTCGCGAAAGAAGATGCTATCGAGGCATCGCTTTGTTCGGTGACGAAAGAACATAGTATTGCTTCGTCTGATCCGTACACGTGTGCGTTCACGGTGACTCGCGACGAGACACTCAAACGCGTGCAGCTGGCGCTGAGCGCGCCGCTGAAATTTGTCAACACGCTACCGCTGCAGATGGTGGTCACTTGCCGCGCTAGGAATGCATTTGGCCATGATGCGCGCATAGAGTCACATGTGGTGAATCCGGGTGAGTCGACTTTATTCACAGCCTCTCACCCCACTTGGTCTGCTTCGGTATCTGCACAAATCGTTGGATATGCGCCGTGCGAAGAGCTCGTCGTGCCGGAATACACGATGGCTTTGAAAAACGCCAAGTGTCAGGCAAACGGTGAGATTTACCATGTTGATCGAGATACGAAAAGGATTCACGACGGAGGTGACAAATCGTCTTCACAAGCCGTTTCCTTGCGCTTTACGTTTTACATCGATGAAGCGACGCAGTCACGGACCTTGTACTGCGCCGCGCCACTCGTCGTGCTGAATTCAACATCCTGCGCCATCGTGCTCGAAGACATGCTCTATGGCACTGAGATGGAGGAGTCTGTGCAGAGTGAAATCGAAGTTTTCGAGTCAAACCCCGATGCAGAACGCCAAGGAACGAACTCACCGCTTCCGAACCGTCTCTTCATAGAAGACGCTGAGAACTTTGAGACTCCCCCGGCGCCGGCTTCTCCTTTCGCTCGACTTGCGCAGAATCAAGCTTTGCCGTCTCTTCGACGTATGAGTTCTTCGACGAATGTGTTGTCACAAACAAGCCCGTTGTTGATGCGACAGTCGTCGTTGCGATTGAATGCCGATTCGGTCACGCTTCTCACGCCATCAACGCCCGGACGCCAGACGGTATCGACGGACCACGGCGTGGACTACGGCGTCGACGACGAGGATTCACTGGATCAACGCGCGACCGTTCTCGGTAGTTCAGCGCATTGGCGCAAGTCAATCAAACGGCGTCCACGGATTCGTATTCGGCTCAAGTCTTCAAGCGCGTGGAGTCGCCCTTTTAGGATCGATCCGACGGGTCTGCCGATTGAAATCAGGCTACCCTCAGACGCCGGCTCAGATGTTTGCGAGCATGTATTCGTCGTGACTGCTTCCATGGTTTCGACCGATAAATTGTGCAAGACGGCAAAGATCATGATACGACCAAAGTTTCTCATCAAAAGTACGCTAGACGAAGCCGTTTGGATCCGACACGGCGGCACGGAGAGCGTGGATTTGTTGCAGCCCCGCTCGGCGACGCCGCTGCGTTGGTTTGACATGCGCTCCAAGGTGCCCAAAGTGATCATGTTCAGACCGGAGAAGGGAGTTTTCGAATGGTCTAAGCCAGTGCATGTGCCTGAGCATACTGCTTCTATACTGAAGATGCGTCACCTCGGCGGAGATAGTACGTTGCACACGGAAACTATCACGGTCTCGATTCTAGAAAACGACGACGGAACGTTTGACATTCGCATCGCGCGGCCGACTGAGATCGACGGCGCGCTCGGAATGCATTCCATCGAGAACCACTCGAACGCGTCAATCTGGTATCACCAGCTCGGTGCCGATGATGCGCGCGCGACGCTCGCGCCCAAGGAGAGCGAAGAGCGACTGATTGAAGACTCGTCTCTTCCTCGCGCGCTCGTCATTGGGTACGGCGATCTTTCGTTGGGCGAACCGATTTCGCTTGACATCACTCGCACTCTGTCGTATAGCGTGGTGACGACAGACAAGCGGTGCTTGCGCGTGATGGTAACGAGAGAGGGACCGATGTGCTCTGTCATCATTGAAGACGCGCTGAGCAGTCGCGTCGCAGATACGCCCGAGCGCCCGCGACTATCGACGAAGACGCCCCAACGCCCCGGAGCCCCCGTCAACGTGTCGTTCAAGTGTGGTTGGATTGGTGTGAGTGCGATCCATGGACACGAAGAGTTGCTGTACGGACGCGTGAGTGGTATTACGGTGAAGGTGCTCGCGGACGGTTCCGAGTTCAAGAGCGCCGTCCGCGTGCACAGCGCACGAGTCGATCACACAAGCAGCAAAGCGAAACGACCAATCGTGTTAGCCATACCCGAGCGGCATCAAAGCGCCCGAGAGGCACTCGAGTTGCAGGTGCACGGACGGGTGCAGAAGTTGAATGGTTTACCCGTCATACGTTCGTTGAAGGTTGATTTGGCGCCAGCATTCGTCGATTTACACGATGAATTGATTGAATCCGTGCCGCGCGCCATCGCGCCGTGCGTCCGTCACGCAGAGTTGCTCTTGCCTCCTGCGAAACCGACGATAAAAGCGAACGGTGCACGTAAGCGCAGCTTGGAAGGCGAAACTGTGGGCGCGCTTACGTCCGTATACTTACAAGAACTCATCATAAACGATGTCGAGCTCGTCCTGTCGTTTTCTCGTTTACCCGGATTACCGGTCGCCGTACGAGCGTTGGCCGGCGTTGATCGCGCGAATTTGCGACTGCGAGGCTTTCACATGAACCAGCCGTCACTCATGGCGGCAGATGTCAGCATGATGGCCGCGCGTCATTTCGCTAGGGAAGCCGTCATCGTCGCCGGTTCTCTTTGGGCGCATAACTCCTTACTCGGCGATCCGCGCCGGCTTTGGGATGAAATCATCGAAGCTTTCGATGAGATGCATCAAGGTTCGGCGACAACCGCGTTGCCACGAGTAATAATGGCACTCACAGCTGCGTTTGCGCATTCTGGAGAGACGGCGCTATCGCAAGCGCGTGACGTCGTCGATGGTTGGCTCGAAGCGCTGGAAGTCGCCCAAGCCAGTCGGCGATTTTCGCTTCGACCGAGAAGACTCGGCACGGTCGAAGATCTCGAGAAGCAGGCGACGGTGACGTTTGTGGCGCGCATATTTGACACTGTCGGTCGCGTCGTCTTCGATGTCATCGATGGACCACTGCATGGCCTGGAACTGGCCGGCGTGAGAGGGTTGGTTGAAGGCTCCGTCATCGGCTTGATGAGCGCGTTGACGCGCGTTTTAGCCGCCGCTCTGGATGGCGCCGAGCTCAGCGCGAGGCGACTTCGACTTTTCACGGCGGCGAAAACGTTCGAAGGGGAGTACATGCGCCCGCGTCGCCCGCTTCCCACGTCATACATGGACCCCATACGGCCGTACCATCTCATAGAGGCCATCGGCAGGGAGACGCTCGCGAAACTCGCTTCGAGCGAAAAACGAGAACGATTCGTCGCCACCGCTTCGTTGATGTGGCCGTCGCACGATATGTGTGTTTTGACGGGTGGGAAACTGCTCGTCGTTCATCGATCGGACGTCAACGCGCCGTACGTGCGCTCGAGCGTGAGATTTGTGGACATCTCCGGCGTCCTTCGCGACGGGAATCGCGTCTCCGTGTACGCCGCGAGAGCGGAGCGATCGACGCGCGTGTCCCTCGCACAGACGCAAAGCGTGTTCGCTCGAGCGTATGGATTCGCGTTCGGGTGGATGCATCGAGAACAGGATCAATCATTCCACGACGTCGATGAGACTTTCCGCGGCGAAGACGCGGCGACGCCGACGTCGATCGTCGTGCGATGCGCCGACGAAGACGCCGCGCGTTGGCTTTCGAGCGCGCTCTCGCCGTTCGTGAACGCCAACGCGAAACAAAATTAGTACAGGCAGTAGAACATTAGTAGATAGCGGTGGAATTTAGACACGCAAAGCGTTCGCGATTCGAGCTATCGCGCGTCGCTCGAGTTTTGCGCGGCGCGCTTCGCCGCGTTCTTCGCCGCCAACTCAACCATCCACTGCGGTTTTTCCGCCTTCGCCGGCGGCGGCGCCGCGACCACGGGTTCGCGCACCGCGCGTCGCTCGCTCTCCACCTCGCTCGCCTCGCCATCCGCCTCCGCGCCCGAGCTCGTCGGATCGTCCGCCGCCTCCGCCGCCGCCGCCGCGCTCTTCACGCCCACCTTTTGCAAAACTCCGCGCAGCTCCCCGAGCGCGTCGCTCATCCCCGGCAGCGTGTGTCCCCGCCTCGGCGCGCTCCCCCGCCGCGGTTTCCCATCCTTATCGAACATATCCTCGAACGCGTCGTCCTCCCCGTCGTCGTCGTCCCCCTCCCCCGCCTCCCCTCCCCTCGCTTTCCTTCTCGCCGCCGCCTTCGTCGCGCCCTCGACGTCCCGAAACGCCTCCCCCGCGTGCGCCTCGACGCGTTCGAGCGCCTCTCGCAGCTTCACCGCGCAGTTCCCCGCCAGCGTCGCCCCTCTCACCGCGCCGAGCGCCGGTCCATCGTCGTCGTCGTCGTCGTCGCGCGCGCGTCGCGCGTCCCTCGATTTCGCCTCGCTCGACGCCTCCGCGAGCGCGTCCGCGACCTCGCGAAGCGCGCGCGCGACGCCGTCGATCTCCCGCGTCGTCCACATCGCGTCGTCGCGTCGCGATGCGTCGATTTCGCGATTTCGTTCGACCGTTACGATCGACGCGTCGGCACCGCGCGACGCGGATGCGCACAGAACGCGGACACGCACAGAACGCTGAAAGACGAACGCTAGTTAGACTCTCGCGATGCGCGTGGCGCGGCGTCGCATGGTGCGCGCGGTGCGCGCGTTCATCGCGTTCGTGACGTGCGCGCGCGAGACGGTGGACGAAGCGATGACGGACGCCAAGGTGCACGCGATGATGGACGACATCGCGGGATGGAAGCGATCGACGGGGAAGATGCGACGCTTGCTGCGACAGATGCGCGCGCTTCGAGCGGCGATCGCGGGAGAGGTGGAGACGACGTGGGGGAAGCTGACGCACAGGACGCGCGGGACGTTTCTGAGGGAGAGCCTGCCGCGGCTGTGCGAGTTTAAGGAGCGAGAGGCGCAGATCGCGGCGTTCGGGCTGGTGCAGACGCTGGCGCTGCACGATGATTGCGCGACGGCGCTGGCGACGAAGGAGATGTTTAAACTGTGCGTGGCGACGATCAAGGGGAAAGATAAAGAGCGCGCGGTGGCGGCGAGCGGGGCGCTGACGACGCTGGTGAATCACGACGATACGCGGTTTTTAGCGAGCGACGAGGGGCTGGATAAGAGCATGACGGCGCTGATCACGGAAAAGGGGTTAGGGGTGAGGGTTAAAAGAAATTGCGTGGTGACGTTCGCGAGAATCGCGGATGATCCCGAGGTGGCGTCGCTGATGAGCGCGAAGGCGCCGGAGCAATTGATTAAAAACTTTCTCGACTTCGTCGATAAGACGGACGACACGGACACGGAGAAGTGGGCGCTCATCGCCATCGCGCGTTTGGCGATGAACGACGAATTTAGTAATTTGATGGAGAAAAAAGGTTACGTGCCTTTTTTGTTCGAACTCTCGAGAGATAAGATTCCGGCTCGGAAGCTGGCGGCGGCGCTCGTCATCGCGCACATGGCGCGCAACAAGGATTTGCGCGAGACGCTCGTCAAGTATCGCGCCATTCAGTTGTTTTGCACGATTGCGATGAACACGTCGGAACGAATCGATATGGCGGAGATGCAATTAGTCGCCGCGCTCGGGTTGAAAAATTTGGCGTCGAATTTCGATTTGCGCGCGCTCGCCGGAAAAACGGGCGCCATTCAGGCGTGCATCTTCATGTTGCGCAGTCCGCAGCAGGAAGTAAAGCGGTTCGCCGCGCTCGCGATCGCAGAATTAGCGCTGTACGAGCCAAACGGTGAGCGCTTTTGCAAGCAAGGGGCGTTAAAATGGATCATTCAGCTCGCTCGGACCGGGGACGTGCGCTCGGAAACCGCCGCCATCACCGCGTTATCCAACTTGATGTTATCGCCCGGAAATCAGTCCATCATGATTGTCGAGGACGGCACTAAGGTGGTTGATTATTTGCAAAACTCGCGCAACCCTCGCGTGGCGCACCTCGCCAAGCAGCTTTTGAAGCGTTTGCGCATGGCAAAGCTCCGCGCGGCGTGCAAGTTCGCCGCGCGAATGAAAGCGACTGGGAACGCACTCATCGACGCAGGCATCGAAATCGGCGAAGGTTACGAGTAGTGACGGCGATCGACGCACGGATTCATTGTGATATAGCGATAGAATATTTCAGACGTGCCATTTTTCGGTGGTGTGCTGGGTGCTAATCGAGCGATGGAGTTGCTTCGTGCTACTCGAATTATCTAAGGGTGAACGGCGCCGTCTTGCTATAAGTTCGCGTCGCGCGCCCGTCGCGTGCTCAGCGACGGTGCCGCGCGCGCGATTTCATTTGTACATTCAATTATTCGATGCGCTCATTTCGCGTTTCAAACCTCGCCCGTAATCTTGCTCAATCGACAGTCGGGACACCGCCAAACGTCGAGCTGCGAAGCGCTGGATTTCGTCTCGTTGACGCACTCGGGATGGAACCAATCGTTACACTGATCGCACTCGACCATGAACCGATCGGGATTATACGGCTCCGCGCACTTACAGAACACCGGCACCTTCTCCGGTCGGAACTCCCCCCGCGAGCTTCGATACAAAAACCGAGCGTAAAAATCAAACTCCGTCACCGCCTCGAGCTCTTGATACTCCCGCAGCGACCACACCTCGCACTTCGCATCGATCGTGTTCACGCTCACCCAATCGTAGTGATCGCTCGAAAACAACTCCTTCACCCCGTGAAACCGTTTCCGTCCCCCTCGCGTCTCTTGCGGTCGATAATACCAGCACAACCGCGCCTTCACCGCCCCGTTCTCCACCGCCACGCTCACGATGCGCCCCACGTACCGCTCGTTCGCCCCCGGCGCCTTGACCAACACCGCGTCGTTCACCTGGAACACGTCCCCACCGATGACGACGCGCGCCACCTCTCCCGTCATCTCCCTCGGGTCGCGCGCCATCGCGTCGTCGCGCCGTTCCGTTTCCGTCGAAGCGCGTTTCGAAATCACCGCGTCTCTCGCGTCGTCCGTTCGCGTCCGTTCGCGCCTCGCCGCGCCGCGCCGCGCGCGCGATGTCGCCCCGCGACGTTCGCCGCGCGCCGCGTCGCCGCGCGCCGCGTCGCCGCGCGCGTCCTTCCGCGGCGCGCGCGACGGCGCGCCGCCCGGAGACCGGGCGAGGACGCGGTCCGTGTTCATTCGAGTAACATCGATCGAGACCATCGATCGAGACCATCGATCGATCGACGGAACGTCGATCGATGTCGATCGATGTCGATCGAAAGTCGACACTGCTCGACTCGACGGCACCGACGCGCGCGACGACGCGCGCGCGGCGACATGACGCGCGCGCGCGACGCGTGGCGAAGGTTTATCGCGCGACGCGCGCGAAAGACGACGCGACGGGCGAAAACGAAGGCGAAAGTGAAAGTTGAGGAAGAGACGGGAGGACGAGGGCGCGACGACGACGAGGACGCGTCGTCGGGGCGGGCGTCGACGACGACGACGAGCGCGACGAGCGAACGCGAACGCGAGGGAATCGCGAGCGAGGGGTTGGTGGAGGATTTCGTCGAGGCGCTGCGACGGGATGGGACGCTGGCGCGGTTGGAGAGAACGGCGAAGGAGATGCGCGCGGACGCCGAGAACGGGTTCGAGATCGGAGGCGGCGAGGGAGGGGAAGACGACGAGACGGCGACGAGGAAACTGTTGGCGTATCTGGACGACGACGCGCGCGTGAAGTATCGGTCGGTGACGATGACGATGGGCGAGGCGCTCGAGGTGGTGCCGCTCGGGCGGATGTCGAGCGCGCACGCGACGGCGCGATTGGACTCGACGACGTCGGGATCGGCGGCGTCGGCGCGCACGTCTTCGGAAAGTTCGGGCGCGGCTTTGCTGCTCGCGTGCGCGATCGATGACGCGAGCGTTGATGGCGGTGATTGTTTGCACCGCGCCGTCGTCGTGGGGGGTGAGACGCCGAAACTGAGGCGCGTGAACGCCATGCGTCGACGGAGCGCCGATCCGGCGACGTTGAGCGAGAGCTCCGATTCCGAATCGCCGACGCGGACGTGCGTGACGCCCGAGCGTTCGGGCGTGAAATCGTTACGAACGGTCTCGTCGTTGAAGCCGTCATCGCTCGGTACGCTGCATTCATCCGGCGACGTCGACGAAGATTCGTCGTCGCCCGAAGAAGCCGCGTGGACGCCGAGGGAAATTGAAATTTTTCCGCCGCGCGCGCGCGCCAGCATCCACGACGCGCTCGGCGACTTTTCGTCCTTCACCACGAATGAGGACGAAGAATGCAACCAAGGCGACGATGACGACGACGTGTGGCGACGAATGTTGACGTATCGTCTTTCCAATCTTCCACGAACGTCTCGCGCGAGAACGACGCCTTCGCAGACGATCGGCTTGAGTTTTCTACGATGGGTCGACGCGGAAGCACAAGCCTTGGACGGTGAAGCGAGTCGTCACGCGTTTCGAGCGAACACGATCGAGCGGGAGGTTTCCGAGCAGACACTTCGACTGACGGCGGCGATTCGACGCGTGCCTTCCGAGCGCTTGCAAGGCGCGTTGCTCGAGCTCCATCGGCTTTCGCTCGACTCTCTCCAACGCGAATGCTTCGTTCGGCAGCTGGAGGCGCAGCGCTCGCGGCTCGCCGCCATTCTTTCCGACCCGCGATTGCGTCGAACGCCCGAAACGGCGAGCGATGCGTTCGACTACGTATGCGCGCTTTGCCTCGAAGGCCGCTTGAGCGCGCGATGAACGAGAAACGAACAAACAAACAAACGATGAATGTGTGACCTATTTGCCGACTACAAGGATAATGTAAAGCAACGCGAGCGATAAATGAGTGCGAGCACGTCGCGCTCGGCTTAAGAATCGTTAAAGTGCACGCCACCGGCGTTGACGACGACCCAAAACGTCCCGAGCATCAAAGAAATGATCGTCACGAACGAGAACACGATGAAGAATTGCCCGAGCGTCGGTCGCGGCAAAGACTCCAAAAACGACGTCTTCTCTTCCACCTTCACCGCCGGCTTCTTCGCCACCGGCTTCGCGCCGTACAGCGCGGCTTCCGGTTCGTTGAACGGATTCTTCGCCGCGCTCGCTCCTCCGAACGGGCTCTTCGCCGCGCCCGGCGCCGCGGCGAACGGCGACCGCGCCTCCGCCGCCCCGAACGGGCTCGCCGCCGCCTTCGCGCGCGTCGTCGTCGCGTCCCCGCTCGCCGCCCCGCCCTCTGTCACCGGCGTCGCCACCGCCCCGAACGGACTCGCCGGTTTACCCGTCCCGTCGCTCGTCGCCTTCTCGAACGGCGACGCCGACGTCCCCGGCGCCTTCTCGAACGGCGACGTCGCCCCCGTCTTCGCGTCGAACGGCGACCGCGCTCTCGGCGACGCCGCGTCCCCGAACGTCGACGGCAGCGGTTTCGGTTTCCACTTCTTCGACGCGCGCGCCGCCGCCGCCTCGTCCGCGTCCGCGTCCGCGTCCGCGTCCGCGCGCGTCGTCCCGTCCCCGGTCGCGCGTCTCGCGATCGCGCGTCGGCGCACCGCGCGCGTTCGCGTCGCGCCGCGCGCGCGCGCCGGCGTCGCGCGTCGCGCCGACGCCGACGCCGTCGCGCGCGCCGTCGTCGACATCGTCGCGCGTCGCCGTGTGCGCGCGTCGTCGTCGGCGTCGGCGCGTCTGCCGTCGATATGTACACTGTTTGCCCATACGTGAGACGAATCGACACGAATCGACACACGGACCGAATGATCTTATCCACTCGCCGGCGACGCGCGACGCGAGCGCGCGCGACGCACACCGCGCCTCGCACGAGCGACGCGCGCGAAGACACTCGAACTCGATCATGTCCGCCATGTCCACGGTGCGCGCGCGCGAGCGATGCGTCGACGGGGGCGAGAGACGCGACGCGATGGGGCGCGAGACGATCGGGGCGGCGGGACGACGCGCGCGCGGCGCGGCGACGGCGCGGCGGGAGACGGCGGCGAGGACGCGCGGCGACTGACGAACGATGGGAACGCGGATCTTTACGACGACAGATGAACGCGGCGACGCGCGCGCGATGCTCCGCGAAGACGCACCAAGCGACGAAGCGACGCCAAGCGGCGAAGCCGGTGCGCCGGGACGTGCGAGCGCACGAATACGGCGCCTCGTCGACGTCGTTCTACACGACGACGGAGAAGCAAGACTCGTACCCGAGCCTTGAAAACATCTTGGGTAAGCACTGCGCGGACGAAAAGTTGCGCAAGGTGATTGTCGAGATGCTCGATTGCTGCGCGGATATCACCGAGGCGTTGCGCTCGGCGCTCGTCACCGTGGAGGGGAGCGCGAACACCTTTGGTGACGCGCAACTTTCCGTGGACGTGATCGCGGATAACCTCATGTGGGATTGCGTGAAGAGCTCTGAAACTGTGGCGTACGGTGCGTCCGAAGAAGAGCCGGAAGTTGTGCAGTGCAACCCGAACGGCGAGTACACCGTGTGCTGGGACCCGCTCGACGGCTCCTCCATCGTCGACAACAACTGGGCCGTCGGTACCATCATCGGTATCTGGGACTCGACCTCCGGGACTGGCGCCGACGGTTTGCTCGGTGCCACCGGCCGCGACCAGCGCACGTCTCTCGTCGCGCTTTACGGTCCGCGTACCACCGTCATCGTCGCCCTCGACGACGGCGTCTACGAATTCTCCTACGGCTGCACGCCGGAGGGTTGCCAACTTCCGGACGGCTCCTTCGAGCCGTGGATCTGCTCCCGCATGAACATTAAGATCAACGAAACCTCCAAGATCTTCTCTCCGGCGAACATGCGCGCCGCGCAAGACACCGAAGGCTACAAGAAGTTGTTGGACTACTACATGGACGAACGCTACACGCTCCGCTACTCTGGCGGCCTCGTCCCGGATGTGTACCAGCAATTCACCAAGAACCAAGGTGTGTTCTCCAACCCGACCTCCGCCAAATCCCCGGCCAAGCTTCGCCTCGCGTTCGAAGCCGCGCCGTTCGGTTTGCTCGTCGAAAAGTCTGGTGGTAAGACGTCTGACGGCGTCACCGGCGGCTCCGTTTTGGACGTCCAAATCAACACCGTTGACCAACGCACCGCGCTCTGCATCGGCTCCGCCAAGGAAGTCGAACGCTTCAACGAGACGGTTCTCGGCAAGTAAGCGTTTCAAATCAAAATTTGAGCGTGCGTGCGACGTGTGATTAATACATTTCTCTACTTCTAAAACTCCCTCCTCTCTACACCAGCCCCGGCGCGATGAGCTGCGAAACGACGACGCGCGTGTGGCCCGATGCGGCAGCGTGCTTCGCGTACTGGACGAACACGCGTCGCTCCTCATCGTCGCCGTTCCTCGCATCTATCTCAGAGAACACATCCGACATCAAATTTATCACCATGTTCATACCCGCCACTGCCTCTTCCTTGGTCGCCGCCAACTCGTGATTCGCCGACGCGAGGAGGCGAGCGAGCGCGCCGTTTTCCACCTCTCGCTCTCGCCGTTCCGCGAGAGTTTTCGCGTCGGGCCCAAAGTATCTGTGCCACCATGGTCGTTGTTTTGCCTTGGCGAACTCCTTCTTCGTCTCGACGAGCGTTCTCAAGTACTCTCGATCGCGACACCTGAAGAACGGATTGAGTCGACGCTCGACGCGAAACGACGACGGCATCGTGCTCGCGCGCTTATGCCGGTGCAACAGAATGGCGAAAAAGCAATTTGCCGTGATTTCATCCGCGACGTCGATCGCTTTAGCGAACCGTAAGTTGGTCTCCATGTACTCGTGCCCGCTGAACACCAAGCAATCGTCCGAGACGTCGGCCAGACGCTCGTGAAGATTTTCGTAACAATCCTTGGCGTCGCCGTGGAAGAACGCCCCGACGCCGCCGTTGATGATGGCGTCTCCCGTGAACATCGCCTTGACGTCCGCCAGCGACGGCGCCGTCTCGCCATCGTCTTCGTATTCCTGCCCTAATAATCCATAAACCACGTGCCCGCGCGTGTGACACGGCACGTGCGTCACCAAAAACCGCGTCCCGCGCCCGACTCGCACGACGTCCCCGTGCTCCACGCGCGCGTTCACCCCGTGACACCCATCTCGCGCGTGTCCGTACACCTTCATCGCGACCGCACCGTTCTCCTCCTCCGCCATCATCGCCACCAACCTCCCGTTCCCTCCCGCGTGATCGTGATGCTTATGCGTCGTCAACACCGTCGTCAACCGCGCGCCGATTTTCTTCGCGCACTCCAGCGTCGCCTCGGGATCCGCGGGATCGATCGCGCACGCCTCTCGCGTTTCCGAATCCACGACGACGTACGAATAATTATCGTTCATGAACGGCACGCTCACTATCACCGACTTCCCGCCGCACGCCATCGGCGGGTGCGCCGTCGAGTGCGTCCCGCCGCCTCGCGTCATCGAAACCGCGCCTCGATGCGCCGCTCGCCCCAGCGCGCTCGCGTACACCGCGTACGCGACGTCGAACGCCCGCGCGCGCGTAAACCGCTCGACCGGCGCGGGCGTCACCGCGCGCACCGCGTAAAGCGCGCACAGCGCGCACGCGCACGCCGCCTGGACGACGGACAGGAGCGCCGCGAGCGTCAATCGCGCGAGGTCCTCGCACGGCGACCGCGCGTACGTCTCTTCGCGCGCCTCGCCCTCGAGCATCGAGCGCGGCCCCGCGGTGCGCTCGCGCGCGTCGTGATTCGCGTCGTCGCCGCGGTCGTCGTCCGCGCTCGCCGCGACGCGTCGCAGCGGGTCGACGCGAACGAGCGACGCCATCGGCGCGACGGCGAGTGGCGGCACGTTCGGGCGCGTCGGAAGCGCGTCATGGCGCCCACGACGGCGGCAACGCGCGCGAGGCCGTTCATCCTCGTCACCGGCGTCCCGGGCGCGGGCAAGACGACGCTCGCGGACGCGCTGGCGACGCGAATCGACGCGAAGAGGATCGACGTCGGGGCGCTGTGCGCGCGCGAAGGTTTTCACGGCGCGTACGTCGAGGACGCGGACACGCACGAGCTGGACGAGGACGCGCTGTTGGATCGCATGGAAGACCTGCTCGAGGGGCACGCGGCGCGAGGGGAGGCGTGCGTGGTGGATTATCACTCGTGCGAGCTGTTCCCGGAGCGGTGGTTCGACTTGGTGACGTGCCTGACGCTGGTGGACGACACGGCGACGCTGTACGATCGGTTGGCGGCGCGAGGGTACTCGGAAAAGAAGATACGGGAAAATGTGGAGTGTGACATCTTTCAAGTCGTCGTGGAGGAGGCGAAGGAGGCGTACGAGGAGGTTTGGGTGCGAGCGAACGCGAACGCGGACGCGATGGAGGCGACGGTGGAGGAAATCGCGGCGTGGTGCGAGAGCAGGCAAATTTCGGGGTAAAAGTAGACTACGGGGGTATGAACCCTAAAACTATGATAATATTCATTCATTTCGTGCGCGTGTGCACCGTCGCCGCTCATTCGGGCACGCGAACGCGCATGGGCGGCACGAGTTGCGCGCCGGCGTCTTCGTCGGCGGCGATGCGCTCCGTCTTAAACGTCCCCACCGAACGCCATTCGCGACGGATTAAGAACCGAGTTTGGTTCACGAGCATGCGGCCTTTGTTCGCGCTGACTTTATCGCCCCAGGCCAAGGTTTTAAAGTACAGCGACTCTTCGCCGAATTCGATGTCGCCTCGCCGCAAGCCGCCGACCATCTTCAGGTTGAACCGCAGCGTGTCACCGTCAATGCTCCACGTGCCCGCTTCAAACTTCGTCGGCGTGAACGCGCCCGTTGCGATGGGTTCGACGACGCCGTTGTCTTTAAACTCGATGGCGATCGGACACACCAAACGCATGCCGGATTGCCCCCACGCCGGGGGCATCCAGGTGCCCGATTCTCGTCCTATGTCCGCGTACACGCGCCAACGCGTCCCCACGAGCGCGTCAGGCTCCGCGTCGGCGTACGCGAACCGTCGCGCGAGATTCTTCGACACGTCTTCCGACCGTCTCTGCGCCCGGCGCACGCTGTACACCACTCCCCCTATGACGCTCCATTGAAACGCCGCGCTCGCCGCCCGTCGCGCGTCGAACGCCCCCTTCCTCCGCGCCGTCGCCCGTCTCGGCGGCTCCGTGTACATCATCGCGCTCTCGTTCTCGCCCTCGCTCGAGCTGCTCAGCGTCACGGGAATCCCTCGCTCGGAATCTTTCGCCGACTCGCTCGCGCGTTCGCCGCTCCTCGCGCGTTCAAAGTCTCGCAGCGACTCAAAGTCCTCGCGCTTTATCTCTCGCCGCACCACCGTGCGTCGATCGGCGTACGCCCGCACCGGTCGCGCGTGCGTCGTCGTCGCCATCGCCACCGTCAGCGCCGCCGCCGCGCACGTCGCGCGCCGCGACGCCGCGTCGTCATCTTTTTTCGCGGCGCGCTCGCCGTCGCGTCGCCGCGTCGCGCGTCGCCGTCGCGCGTCGCCGTCGCCGTCGCTCGCGCGCGCGCGCGGCGCGTTCGCCGTCGCCGTCGTCGCCGTCGTCGCGCGCATCGCGCGCGCTCGACGCGGCGCGAAGTGCGTCCGCGCGTCGTCGTCACTCATCGACGTCGATGCGCGTCGTCGCGTCGTCGCCGCGTCGCGCGACGCCGCGTCGCGCGCGCGTCGCGCGCGACCGCGCGCGCGGCGCGTCCTCGCGCGCGTCGCGTCGCGACGACGACGTCGTCGTCGAGCGCGCGCGCGACGACGCGCGCACCGATGCGCTCAGCGGCGGTCGCTTCGACGACGCGACGCTGCGCACGTGGGAGTCGCGCGCGGCGTGGTTCTACCCGCGACTGACGCTCGTCGGCTCGCTCGCGCTCGGACTCGCGCTGTCGCTGCCGAGCTCGATCGGCGACGCGGCGCGGAGCGGCGGGAGCGCCGAGGCGACGGCGGCGCTGCTGGAGAACGCGGGCGGGCTCGCGGCGTGCGCGACGCTCGCCAAGGTTGACGCGGATAAGCGGAAGAAAGATCTGGAGCGGTTGCAGCGAGAGCTGGCGCTGGGGAAGATGACGGTGATTCAGAGGAATAAGTTTCGGGAGGAGACGAGGTTCGCGCTGGGGGAGCTGCGGGACGTGGCGCGCGTCGCGGTGGTGTACGGCGACGCGGCGAAAGTGGAGCGAGATTTGATGGCGGCGACGCCGTATCGACGGCGGTTGGAACAGAGTCGGATTTTAGTCGTGCCCGTGGTCGAGCGCGAGAGCGCGGCGGCGACGTCGGCCGTCGCGGACGTCGGACCGGGACGGTGGGAGCTTTTGAAGGACGTCGTTAAGGCGTTTCCGGGCGCCGGCGCGGGAAGATGGCTCGCGTGGCCGACGCGAAACGACGATTGGAGCGGGTATTTCCGGCGACTGATGGGTGACGCGGCGGCGTCGGGCGGGTACTTGACCATTTCCACGAGCGGCATGATTCGCGGCTCTGGCGTGGGCGCGCCGAATTGGGATGTTTTGTTGAGCACGTTTCCTCGGAACCGGCCGGGGAACAAACAAGATGAAGAGGCGGAGAAAGCGTGGAAACGCGCGACATTAGATTCGTCCGAGGCGCTCACGTCGAAGGAGGAAGGCACTCGAATCGCCTCGGGCGGTGGGCGCGGCGCGATTTCGCAAGCGCTTCCACGCGACGTGCCCGAATTGAGCGAAATCGTCGCCATACACGAAGGCTTTTATCGCGCCCTGGGCGAGGGCGACGAAGAAGCGATGGCGGCTATTTGGTCAAAGAGTAAGACGCGACAGAGCGCGCTGGCGCCGCTTGTCGATAAGGGTGCGCGTCTCGATGGATGGGACGTTGTTTTGCGACCAGATCGCCGACCGCAGGGTATCATAGTGAGCGACCTCGACGTGACGATCGAAAAGGGCCTCGCAACGCTCACTGGATTAGAAACCGTCGCCAATGGCGCGACTCTACTCTGCACGCAGACTTTCGAACGCGATGACACCGATGGTGCATGGATAATGACTGGTCACACGACGATTCCGTATGGCGCCGACGTCGTGGCGAAGGTCGTGTTGCGATGCGACGCGAGCGGCTGCATCGCTTTGCCGGCGAAGTCTGTCGCGTCGAGCGTGCGTTGATGGTGTACAAATTTCAATTCAATCGTTCTAGTGTAGTGTTGTAGCTATCTACGAGCTCCGCGCGGAGCTTTTCGACGTAACGCGACGTTTAGCATTTTTCAGCGTTCGTCGACGTTTACGCCGTTCGCAGTTTGTGTGTTCAATACAGATCGTCGTCATCGTAATATTCGTCATAGTGAATTTCGCCGCCATGTCGTTCATGGCCAACTCCTCCTTTGGTTCTGTCTTCAATCGTGGTTTGCAGTGATCGAACGTAATCGTCAAAATCTTCGACTGCGATGGACGCGAGCTTCAATCCGACAATCTTTTCGCCAAGCGTGGTCTGCGCGCGCATCACTTTCAAATGAGTTTCGCGAACAGTTCCTTCTTCCGTGGCCACCATACCCTTGAATTGGTCATTTATCTGATTCCATACCGGTAACACGGCGCCGCAAATGAGCAGATCGTTCCGGAAACGTTTCCCGGCGTCGCACATCCGCCTCCCTACACCCTGCTTACACGTTTTGCCGTGCACACACGTGGATTTGAAGAAGTCATACCAAAAGTTCCACAGCTCACGAAAACGAAGCACGCCGTCAATATCGGTAAGTTCTACTCTCTTGTAGTTTGCCTGCAAGTTGTCCAGGTCCATCTTTGAAGCGTTGAGCTTATTCGCACGCGTGATCTGCATTTGCGGATTCTTGATCGAATTTTGATTCTGCTGGCCCATGTTCCTAATTTCATGCGCGTAACAGACGTTCGGTCGGTTCGTCTTGGCCATAGTCCCGTACGTCGCGATGTAGAATCCACACAGTCCACGCTGGTTTGATCCTTCGAACAAGGCCTCTCGATTCTCTTCGTAATCGCGCATCATGGCGCACACTTGACGATATTTAACGCCGGAGTCGCTGACCACTAAGCGAACGTTGGTCTCAGCACCAGATGTCGGACACTTGTGAACAACTTTGTTGTGTTCTGGCTTTGAGACGATGCTCTGACCGGTAATATTCGTCACGCCCGAGTCATACTTGCCACGTTGTTTATGATCCTTGATGACGCCTTCAAACGTTTGCGTAAAGTAGTCGAATGCAATTTCTTGCATTTCGATAGGCATCCCGAGAAGACGATTCAAAAATGTGGAGATCTTCAGACCAGAATTTTTAGTTTTGTTGCCTTTGAGTGTAAACCTCCCGTCGCCATTGTCTTCGTCGGCGAGACCGACTTTCACGAGCTCGCCTCGAATGATGTTGATGATGGCGTCAAGCTGCGCCTCCGTGTACTGCACAGTCGGCATGGGATCGGTGTCGCGCTTGAGATCAGAAATCATGCGCTTCAGCGCTTCAGAGCCGTATGCGTTATCTATGTCAAACGCTTGCAGACTTTGGCCGGCGCCGAGCGCGCGTCGATCACCCTTGAGCAAGGCGCCGAGCGAAAGAAGACGTTTGGCTGCACTGGACGCGAAGCGTCGTTCGCCACCGCACGGCGTCATGAGAATGCGATAGAGCGGAGCACTCGACTGATTCGACCGGTGAGAACGACCGAACTGCTGAATTGCCTTATCAGCGCTCCAGGGAAGCTCAAGCGTCATATGGCATCGTCGACGCTGATTTTGGACACGTTTATCCGCCTGGAGAGAAATACCGGTGCTCGCCGCGTCGGAGATGATCGCGATGAGTTTTTCACCTTGTTGGAACTTTCTCTTCTCGGTCATGTTCATCAGCTTGGCGTTCGCGGCGTCCGTATCGTCCATACGCTTTCGAGTCATAATTTTGCCGTTCTCCTGTCGGACCTGATGCAGCTTTCGGCCAGTCATCTCGGCGACGTGCTCGTGTCCACCGCAGAGCGCGATGAGATTGTCGAGCGGATTTGGTGGAAGCTGCAACGAGTCGACCGCTCGAAGCAAAAGAGCGCGGATGTGCACGAGATGCTGGTTTTCGACGTCATCGTCAGGTAATGGTTCGTCCATATCCGAGAGCTCTTCTCGCGCGCCGTCGCTGTCTGAATCTTCCGCGTCTGCGTTGGCGAACTCGTCCTTAAGGTTCACCGGCGCGGCGGCGCGGCGGCGATCTCCTTGAACAGGCTCGGGTTTCACTCGGACAACACCTGCATTCGCGCGAGGCGCGTCGCGCGGTGGAGCGTGATCTGCTGGAACGAAACGGCGTAGTCGTTCAAGAGCGTTCACGGCCGGTTTGGGCGGATCAGGCGCGTTTGCCCGGGAAAAGTGCATCCCAGAGCCAGAAGCGACGGGAGCGTCGGGACGAGCCGGCGCCGGAATATCCATAGTATGCGCGGCACCACTGAGTATCTGACCGTTGCGCGCGAACTCTTCTCGACGTTTCTGCACACTTGAATTGAAAGCATCTCGCGACTCATCATCTGAAGAAGTAAGGTCTATCTCGATGATGTCGACGTCGCGAATTGCGCCGGCAACCTTCTGTCGCGGATTGGGCGGCAGATCCGAACCATCATCGCTCCGAGAAGATCTCTTATTTCCCGACTGTGAAATCTGCTGACGATTTTCCACGAGCGCTTGTCGTTCTGGCGGTGGACTCATCGGAGGCGGCAAATTTTCATCGTTCGAACTCGGCGACGGCGCCGCGGCCAAAGCTTCTTCAACGCGTCGACGATTCAACTCTGCCAGCTGACGTTCCTCAGCAATCAGACGATCTCGTCGCGCCTGCTCATTCGCAGCGTTTGCTTCCTCCATGCGCTCGAGATCGCGTATCTGAGCCTCGTTGACCCCATTTCGCGCGCGTCGTTCGATGTCGTCATCCGTCAAATCTAGAAAGTTGCCGGCGAGTTTGGCCGCCTCTAAGCGCTCGGCGAGCACCTCGTCCAGCCCTTTCTCATGCACGACTTCGATGTCATCATCCCTCGCCGCGGCACCAACCGCGTTCGCAGCTGGGACGTTGTCATCAAGCGGATTACGACCAAGCACTTCGACGATGGTTTCTTGCGAGCACCACGTGTTGACGACGCGCACAACATCGGCCAAAACAGTGTCCCAAAGTCTGGCGTTGTTCGCAGACGCGCGGCACGAAGTTGTGGGGAAATTGTTCTTGAGATAGTTCGTGAGCATCTCAGCGGGAGAGCTGACGAAGTCTTCGTCATCTTCATCGTTCGCTTCGTCAGCCATGCGCGTGAGGCTGGCTTCACCAGTGCTCTGAAGTCCGATCACAACAGCCAAGTTTTCCTGCGTGACGGCTTTTCGAGCGAGCTTCGCGAGTTCAGGAACTTTTGCGCATAGCAACATCTGACGGTAAAATCGCTGGTGCGTCGCCCAAAACAATCTGTTGAGCGCTTTGGCGCTCTTCTCGTTCGCGGTCACCCACTCTTCACCGCCCATGCCGCGTAACTTGGAAATCGCTTCGTCAACTTTTTTGAACAAGACCCACAACTCGGTGCTACGATTGTACATCATTTTCAACTCTTCCGAAATCGGACAATCGACGAGTTCAAACTCCGCCTGCTCGTACGAAAGCGTCCTACAAAGATAGCTTCCCGTGGCCTTGAGCCCGCACGCGAACATCTCCAACGCACCCAGACCCGCGCTCTCGAGCTTTTGCAACATGTCGAATGTGTCGGCCCATCCAAAGTGACCCAGGCGCGTCATGTAGCCCAAATTCCTCGGTTCGCTCGCGCCGGTGGCGGAGCAATACAGCACACGCGCGTCCGGAATCGCGAGTTGCAGCGCCACCACACACAAAGCGGTCTTGGTCGGTTTGCCACCCGAGTTGTACAAGTTCTTGGCCTTGTGACATTCGTCAAAAACTATGAGCGGCCCGCGCTCATCCTCCTTGAGCCACGTCACAAACTGCTCCAGTCGGCTGTTCTTGGTGATCATCTTCAGAATCTCGTCATTGTTCGAATACTTGTCCTTCTTGACTTTCGCCGTGCCCTGCGTGAGCAAAGAGTACGTGGAAAACACGACGCCCGAGTCGAGGTGCTCGCTCAAGTCTCCGCGCGGCATCGCCGCGGTATTTTTAGGAATCACCTCAACCTTTGGTTTCGCGTTCAAATCGTTCAAATCCCGCTCGGCGTCGTACCTCAAATCCGCGCTCGTGCTCACCCACAGCACCCGTCTCCCTCCCCGTCGCACGTGTTCGTACACCAATCCCGCGATCTGTCGTCCCTTCCCCACGCCCGCGCCGTCTCCCAAGAAAAATCCCGCCCTTTCATTTCGCTCTCCCGGCAGTCTCTGCTCGTGTCGCATGCACGCGTACGTCACGCACTCCATCTGCAGCGCGCTCAGTCCACCGCTGTCGCACAGATCCCGTATCCCGTGTTCGTACGTCGGCTTCGGCGGCGCCACCTTGGCCAGCGTTCCCGTCTCCACCACCGGATCCGGATGCGGTCCTCCCGCGATCGTTCCGTGCGTCGGCGCGTACCGCTCGTACTCCGCGTCCCTCGCGTCGCCCTCGCCGTCCGCACCGCTCGCGTCCAGCGCGTCGACGCGTCGTCGCGCGTCGTCCTCCTCGTCTCGCGGTCGAGCCGCGTCGACGACGCGCGCGCGCTCTCTTCGCGGCGCGCGCGGTTTCCGCTCGCGTCGCGCCTCCATCTGCCGCGCCGCCAGGCGCTGGACGTAGTCGCGCATCACCTCGTCGTCGCCCGGCGCCGCGCGCATCGCGCGCGCGTCGAACGCGCGACGACGTTTGACGCGACGCTTGAAATTCGAGGCACCGCGGCACCGCGCGACGCGCGCGCGATGCGGCGCGAGACCGTCGCGTGCGCGATCGAGACGGCGGCGCTCGCGGTGCGTCGCGCGTCGCGCGTCGACGCGACGCGCGCGGTGATGGCGGCGCGCGTCGCGGGACGCGCGATGACGGTTCGCGGCGTCGAGGACGCGCGCGTCGCGGGCGTCGTCGCGGGCGTCGCGCACGTCCTGGGCGCGTGCGCGTGGTTCGTCGCGGCCGGGGCGTTCGCGGGAAGCGCGCTCGGCGCGGGCGCGCGCGCGGCGGCGGAGACGGCGCGCGGGACGTGGCGGGCGGCGCGCGCGCTGAGCGCGACGACGACGACGGCGTTCGCGCTCGCGCGCGACGACGGCGACGGTGACGAGAAGACGGTGAAGGAAGCGTTGCGAACGTACGGGGAAGACGTGAAGCGGGTGTTCGTGGACGGGCGCGCGCGAACGGCGAGGGAGGCGAGCGCGCGAGCGGCGGCGCTCGGGAGCGCGGCGGGGGCGTGGTGCGGCGCGTGCGCGACGGCGCTGGATTGGGAGCGCGCGTGGCTCGCGTGGCCGAACAGCGTGTTGCGAGGGATCGAGATAGGACACCTCGTCGGGGCGTGCGCGGCGTGCGCGTACGTCGTCTTGGGGGATGTTTTGGGGCTCGATCCGCGTCTCGCGGCGACGACGACGAAGGCGAAGGCGTCTCGACTACGGTAGCGAAATGTGATTAATGTATCTAGTAGCGTAGTTTTCCTAAAACGCGCGCGCGGCGCGATCAATCTCCGGGTCGAAAGCCGTAGTTACTCTTCGCGGCTTTCGCGAGCGCGTCGTCGACTGACAGCAAAGCCTTGATGCGTTCCGCTTCGCTCGCGTCGCCGACGCGATGGGCGATTTGCAACTTCTGGCGAAGTATCTCTTGCTCGCGCATCACGCTCACGTCGCCGTGCGCGCGAAGTCTGGCGACGATCTCTTTCTGTCTCGCCTCTTCGTCTTTCTTGCGAGCCTCCGCGAGCTCGGCTCGGCGCTCCTCTTCGTCGTTACCGAACGCGCGTCGCGGCGCCGCCTCTTCGTCCCGTCGTCGCTCGCGCCATCTCTCGCGCGAACGCGAACGCGAACGCGAACGCGAGCGTCGCCTGTGTTTGCGCTTGTGCTTTCTATCCTTCTCTCGCTTCTCCTTTTTGTCGCGGCGCCGTCGCTTTCCGTCGCGTCGCGCGTCCTCCTCCCCGCCTCGTCCCCGTCCCCGTCGCCGTCCTCGCCCACCGCCTCCGTCTTCCTCTTCGAAGAACTCCTTCAACGCGTCCTTCGCCAGCGCGACGTCGTTGTTGAACTCTTTGAGCGCCAGCGCCAGCGTCGTCGCGTTCGCTCTCGGGAACGTCTCGCGTAGGTACCGGTCGGCGTTCGCCGCCGCCTCGCGCGCGCGCTGCTCGGCGTGTCGCACCATCATCGACGGACCGCGGTCATCGTTCGGGTCGCCCGCGCGCGTGAACTGCGCGGACATGTCGAGCGCGTCGCGGTGTGGAGGGCGGCGCCGTCGGTCGCGTCCTCGGCGCCTGTTTTTATTAAAATAATCTATCGTCAGATCGTCGCGCGAACGATCCTGTGACGAATTAATCTACTTCTAACAGCAGCTTGAACATCTCGTACGTGTAGTACCCGAGCGCGGCGGATGGGAGAACTTGCACGCAACTCGGACCGAGACCGGCGTAGAGGCTCTTCAAGCCGGATTCGCGCGCGACGGAGCGAAGCGTCGTGGCCATACTCAGGAGCGCTTTTCGACCGAACACCATGGCGGTGGACGATCGACCGCTTTGCATTTGCATTCGCCGACGGATGACCTCGAATGGGTACGTCGACGCTTCCGAGGCGACGCCCGCGACGGCGCCGTACAGCATCATGTTCTTTTGCTCGATGTTTTTCACAGAATTTTCCTCTGCTTGTTTCGATCCGCTCTTCTTCCGCGTCGCCGCGAGCTCTGCGTTGAGTTGGGCTAATCTGCGGTTCTTTAACCCGTCGTAGACGCTATAATACACCGCCGCGTTCGGAACCATGGACACGAGCGCCGGCGTGATGCCGCGATAAAACGTGCTCGCGCCCTCTTGTCGGTACATCATCTTCACGCACGCGAAGAACGAGCCGTACTTTTCCTTCCCACCCGTCGTGAGCAGTCTCGTGCGCAAAACATCCATGGGAAAACACGTGACGACCGCCGTCATTCCCGCCCCCGCGCCAGCGCACACCAAGCCGATTTTCCTCGCGTCGCTGCCCTCGGGAAAAGTGCGGTTGACGATTTCGCGATACGTGTCGAACGCACAAAAGTTGATCGCCTTGAACGGCGCCGTGCGCGCGATGTTGAGCATGTTCCCTTTCCAAAATCCGAGCGCGCCTTCGGTGCGCAATATCCCCCCCACCATGGCCTCGAGCTTGAGCGCGCTGCGATTCAACAGGTACTCAATCTTCACCCTCTCCAGCGGCGCGAGCACCGTGCGCACGCACACCGTCGCCAGCGTCCCGCTCGCCAACCGCCGACCCGCCTCTTCCTTCCTCGACAACTTTTTCTCTCGCCGCCGCGGCTTCGCGCCCCCCCCGTTCGCCTTGCGCGTCGCGCCGCGTCCCGTCGCCGCCTTCGTCGCCGCCGCGCGCGTCGCCGCCGCCGCCAAAAACCTCCACCGCCGCCCGCCCGCGCCCGCGCCCGCCCCTCCCGCCGTCCCCATCGACGTCGACGACGTCACCGCCGTCGCACGCGCGCGCGCGTCGCGAATCACCCATCCTCGCGTTCGCGTCCGCGTCTCCGCGTCGTCCTCGCGCGTCGCGCGTCGTCGTCCCGACGCCGTCCCGACCCATTCCCGGCCGTCTGACCGCCCGCCGCGTCGTTCGCGTCGCCCGCCCGCGCGCGTCGTCGCGCATACATCGCGCCTCCGTCGCGCGTCCGCCATCGCGCGCGCGCGCGCGCCGTCGTCCGTCGTTCTTCGCGACGCCGAGTCGTGCGTTCGTTCGTCTCGAGACCTTCTTCCCTCTTCGCGGTCGCGCGCCGGTTCCGCGATCGTCTCTGCGAATCCGCGCGCGTCGAGAACGGTCGCGTCTCTCGCGTCGCGCGTCGCGCGCGCGCGCGCGCGTCTCGCGCGCGCGACCGCGACGTCGCGACGTCGCGGACCGCGCGATCGTGTATGAAACGCCGTACTTTATTCCGCACCTTACGACGCGGTTAGTCCGTGTGTGACGACCGACCGGTCTCGTGACACCCATCGACGGGTCGCGACTCCACGCGAGGGGGTCGCGGGACGGCGACCCATCCCGCGGGCGATCGACGCGACATCGCGACGCGGACGCGGACGCGCGTCGACGCGGAAGCGCGTCGACGACGCGCGAAACGGAAGCGGATTCGAAAACGACGCGAACGCGCGCGCGACGGCGAAGAGGGGCGCGCGAGCGGCGCGAAGACGACCCGAAAGCGTCGGATAACGAGCTCGAAGATATTTGAATCGAGACGCGAGGCGCGCGCGAGCGCCGAGGGAGGCGCGAAGAAGAGGCGCGGAGGCGGTCGAGCGTCGGCGTGGGATGGCGACGTCGCTCGGCGCGCGCGAGGGCGCGCGGGATGCGGCGGGCGTCGGGCGTGGACGGCGGGGCGAGGGGCGGCGAGCGGACGCGCGCGCGGCGACGACGCGGAGACGCGAGGGACGACGACGACGGGGGCTGGTGGTCGTGAACGGGAGCAAGTATAAGAAGAGTGACTTTGAGATGGAGCGTCAGATCGGTGAGGGGTCGTTCGGGGTGGTGTACGAGGGACGAGTGGCGGTGAACGACGCGCGCGGGTTGCGCAAAGGCGACGCCGTGGTGCTCAAGCGCCCGAAGCTCACGGTCGAGGGCGCGGCGGAGTTGCAGGAGATCGAGTCTTGGATGAACGATCGAGTGAGTCGAGACGCGAAGGGGGCGTGCGCGGAGTTCGTGGGATCGTTTCGCGTGACTCGGGACGATTGGTTGGCATCCGGGACGAACGACGCGTTGAGCAAGGAAGGCTTGTGGTTGGTGTGGAGATACCAGGGCGATCGCACGTTGGCGCAATATCTCGCGCAGCCAGATTATCCCACTGGACTCGCGAAGGCATTACTGGATCGTGATGACGTGTATCGCGGCGACGCTGCGGTGGAACTCGAGATCACGCAACGCGCGATTTCGCAGCTCTTGTCGAGTCTGATGGCGATGCATCGCGCCGGGTTGGTTCATCGCGACGTGAAACCGCACAATCTCGTGCTCGCGAGAGAGCCGACGCCTGAATTTAAAGTGATCGATCTCGGCGCTTGTGCGTGCTTCAGATCTGGGATGAATTTCACCCCGGATGAAACCATCATGGATCCGAAATACGCGCCTCCCGAGGAATTTTTAATTCCGACGGACGACGCCCCCGATCTGCGAAAGATGTTCGCACCTGTCGCGCTCGCGGCCGGTACCACGGCATGGCTATCACACAGACCAGATCGATTCGATATGTATAGCACTGGAATCGTACTAATGCAGCTCGCCATGCCGAGCTTGCGCACGAACAGTGGGTTGCAAAGCTTCAACCGCGGATTGAAAAAGTTCAAGTACGACTTGCAAAAGTGGAGAGAAGCGAACAAAGGTCAACTTAGTCGATCGAAGACGGCTGTTCTCGACGCTGGTGATGGCGCGGGATGGGAGTTGGCGGCAGATTTACTCCGTCCGAGGCCGTACGAAGCCGAGGATGATCAAGAAGCCCGCGAGCGCCCGAGCGCAGAGCAAGCGCTCAAGCATCGCTTCTTCCAAGTCGACCCCACCGAGCTCAAGGTCGAAGTGAAGGAAGGCCGCGGTGATAACTGGGTAGCGGAGACCGCTGGAATGTTGACTGATATGTTTTCGTTAGAAAAACGTATCCAACGCCAGCAAGTCAACATAGCCAAACAATCTACGACGATCCAGCGCATGCGAGACGACGGTGAGGACGCTAAGAAAATCGCAGAGGAGGAAAAGACGCTCGAGAAGATGCGCGTTGGATTACAAGGCTTGGTTCGATCCATGAGCTTCAAGGAAGTCGAAGCGCGCACGACTATGGTTTCCGCAGCGACCGAGTTGAAAAAAGCGGCCAAGGAGAGCGGCGTTGAGACGTCGAAAGAGTACGACGGCTTGCTGTCGAATCTCTCCTCGAACGGCATCGGGAAGACACGCATGCAGTCCATCAATGATCGCGTCAACCGAGCCGCTCAGGACACGAGAAAGAGCTTCGATGAAGGCATGAACACGCTTTTGCGCGCGATTCGCCCTAACGCGCCAGATGCCGAAGACGAAGAAAGACAAGTTTCAGAAAACGTTGAGCGAGAAGAAAAGACGACTCCGAAGGCGCCGGCGATGAGAAAGACGGTCGAGAACACAAAGGACAAGGTGTCGTCCATGCTCGCTAGAATTTCCAAGCAAACTCCGGCGAAAGAAGAAGACTCTGAGGCCATTCGGCTTCGCATGGAAGCCATTCAAAATGAAATGAACGCAGTCATCGAAGAAATGGCAGAGATGGAGTCGCGGCTTCTCGCTCAACAGCAAGAGCTCGAGGCGCAACAAAAGAATATTTCCACTACGTTCACGCCGCAAGAGACCACCGAAAGCCGGAAGAAGAATGGCTCGAAGAAGAATGGAAGTATTGGTGCCTTCTTTAAAACGAACGGAAAGAAGAACGGTTCGAAGAAGAACGGTTCGTCGTCGTCGTCGTCGTCCTTGGTCGACGCGAACGAAAGCGACACATAGCACCACCGCCCGCAACAAGATCCCAAAATCGATTTATTGTAGCGCCGCATAATAGCCGCATTAGACATTGAACACAACGCAAGCACTTGACGAGAATTCGTGCGACGAGACGAGCGGACGACGATATAATGTGGAATCACTCTTTTCCATAACACTCCGGCTAACGAACGCAAAACGCGAAATCTACTTTTCCGGAATTTCAATGTCCCCGGAATCGATCGATTCTTGCACGTCCGACGGGTCTTCGCCCTCGACGGTGCAGCCCACAGACTTGGCCGTACCGAGAATTTCTTTGACGGTACCGGCGAGCGACTTGGCGCAAGACCTCGGGCGCATAGTGCGCGCGACTTCGATGATGTCGTCCAAAGAGCAGTTGCCCGTGTGCAAGATACCCTTGACCTTTTTGCGGTCTTGGAACGGCTCCTTGAGCGCTTTAATGACTAAGGCGGAGGCCGTCGGCACGACAGACACCTTCGCTTGACGGTTTTGCACGGTGAGCTTCACCGTCACGCGCAAACCCTTCCAGTCCTTGGCGGTTTCCTTCGCGATGTCTTCCCCGACCTTCTTCGGCGACAAACCGAGCGGACCGATCTTCGGCGCGAGCGAAGACGCAGCGCCGACTTCACCGCCGGTGGCGCGCATGAAAATCTCCAAAACGGAGTTCGGGTCGAACTTAGGCGGCATCTTTCTGTGATTTTCGAACGCGCGCGTCATTCGTCAGTCCCTCGCCCTTCCCGCCTCCGTCGCGTCAACCCTCTTCTCACTAGGGCTTTGCGCGCCTCCCCATCGCGCGCGCTTCACCCATCACCCGCGCGCGATCGACCGCCCGCGCGTCGACCGCGCGCGAACGATGATTTTCCCGACAGCATCATCGCGCGCGCGTCATCGCGCGGCGATCGCGCGCGTCACGCGAGCCGTCCGACGCGATCGTCGCGCGCGCCCGCGCGCGATCGACCGCGCGCGCGTTCGACCGCGTCTCGGCGTCGCGCGCGACGTCGCGGGCCGTCGAAGCGCGGTCGAACGATCGATGCGCGTCGTCTTCGCCGCGCGCGCGTCGCGTCGGGTCGTCGTCGCCGGCGCACCTGTCGTCGCGCGTCGTAAAGACGGCGCGGGCGACGCGCGCGCGCGAGGTGTCGTGACGAGCGTACACACGGAACGTGACCAAATGTCCGAATGTCCCGGTCGTATGTGTAAACAGTCCGTACATTCTACGCACATGGCGACGCGCGCGCGCGCGCGCGCGGCGCCCGCGAGGACGCGGCGCGGACGCGCGCGTCGCCCGAGATTCGCGCGCGCCGCGTCGACGCGCACGGTGGACGTGTACTGGGACTTGGATAATCTATGCCCGAAGAGCGCGACCGCCGCGGTCGTGTTCGAGCGCGTGCTCGCCGCGGGCGCCGCGTTCGGGCGCGTGAACCACCCGGTGCGCGCGTACGCGAACGATCAGACGCTGGCGAGGTTGGCCGAGGACGGGGAGTGGCTGGAAGGGGTGGTTGAGGTGACGGCGTGCGCGTCGAGCTCGGAGGCGGCGGACGACGCGCTCGGCGACGCGTTGACGCGCGCGGTCGGTGGCGAAGACGCGCCCGTGTTCAGCGGGAAAAAACGGTTGATGGTCGATGAAAGCGGGGTGAACGCCGAGATGGCGACAGAGCGCGCGTCGGCGATCGAGGAGGCGACGTTTTGGGCGGACGCCGCGCGCGAGGCGAGAGCGGCGCTGCCGACGGGCTGGGACGTCCGGGAGGAGCAAATAGAAGCCATCGTTCGCGGTCGCGATCGTGTGGTGTTGATAGTGACGTCCGATAATGATTTCAAGCTCGCGATGGACTACGCCGCGGCGAAAGGGGTCGTCGTCGTCGTGCTCGGGAATTTGGTTGATTTCTCTTCGGCGCAGCGCTCGCGGGCGAGCGATCCGAAAAAGTATTGGGACGCGTTGCGAGTGGAGTGCGAGCGACGTCCGCTGTCGCGGTTGAAGCTCGTGCAGTCATGTGATTGTGCGCTAATTTGGGACCCATACGTCGAAAACATCGCTGGCGTGTGGTTCCCGGCGCGCGGATCCGGAATGGGTCGTTGGTATCATTCGTGAAGGGAGAGGCTCCCAAACAACGTAGGATCTTTAGTTCTTAGCTCCAGTTGCATTGAACAATGTGTAGTGTTTTAGTCTACGTTATCAACAGTATCCGGCTTTACTTCCTCGGCGACGACCGGTTTTTCCGTGGCCGGCGTCTGCTGGACAACCGCTTGCCCTGGAATCGAGGGACGTGCCGCTGCCGCCTTCTGTCCAAATGTCGATGTCTTTCGCTGCGGCACTGACGCCGGTTTTGCAGCGGTCGCACCTTCCTTTACTGTGTTTTTGGTCTGTTCAGGACGTCGCATCGCGTCAATTCTAGCCCGGGCTTCATCATCGGATTCCGACGTTCCCGTTTCATCCGAAGGATAGTCCTCATCGCTGTAATCGTCCTCGTCGTCATCGCTATAGTCCGATTCGCTCGATTCTTCCTCCTCCACTTCAGCGTTCGGTTTCGTGACGTCCGAACGCGATGCGGACTTGGCTTCGCGCGCTGCCACGTTCGTCGCGGTGGGCTTCAGCACCTTCATCATGCACGAAACCTTGGCGTCGACACCAATCCAATAGTCGCTCATCAGCGACACGCCCACGTTGTACATACCGCTCGGCAAGCCGACGAACTGGACAGACAAATCCAAAGGTTCATCCCCGCGCTCAGCCTTCTCTACATCGCGCTGCTTTAACGTCGAGCTAGCTAAGAGGGTGTTCGTGGATTGATCGTACACGAACACGCGCCAACCCTCTGTACGATCAGCGGCGCAAAACGGTAACGGAGGCAACGCGCCACCTAGCGGTCCACCAGATCGTCCAATTTTAATCTTGAGCTTCGCGGTGACAAAATCTCCTTCCATGATGGTGTCGTCGTCGTCGTCGACAGATATTTTCGCCTCAAAAGTCGTCACACGTGGGATCACCGCGAGCTGACGCTCGACATCCTTCGTCGCGGCCTCAGAAAATCTTGCGCCAATCAACAGCTTTTTGCGATCCTCGCTCGATAATTTCATCAGCGCGTGCAGGGATTTGCACTTTTTTGCAACACCGTTGAGGTTTTCCGTGGAGAAATGTGGGAGCTGAAGCAAACTCGCGTTTCCGTCTTCATCTCGCTTTCGCGAAGAAAGAGGCACGCCTTGAGTGAAGCATTGGTAAAACTCCATGACGCTGATCTGCGGTCGCGCGTACGAATGACCGGCGCGGTTGATTGGCATCGCTGCGATCTTGAGCAACTCTTCGATCAATCGAGGCAGGGTGAGCACCAATTTTTTAGCATCCGCGGAGAGCACAGGTGGAAGCGAAGCCGCACGCCGGGACGTCTGAGTAAGGATCAACATGTGTGCTTTGATGATGGTCGGCAACCGCTTCATGAGCTTTTGATCTTTCGATTCGTACTCGTTCTTGTAATCTTTGAGAAGCTGGCTTACGGCCGCATCTTGTCCATCGAGGAACGGCGTCTCGATGAATTCGTGCGCCACGGCGAGCGTCTCCGGAACCTTTGAGAGCGCGAGCACCGGCTTTAACATGCGCGCGTAATTAACCTGTGTCTGCTTGAGCACGTTGTTTCCACCAAATTTGTTCATTTTACGGATCGAACACATAGCGATGAAAAGCGGAAGCATGATACCTCCGACAACGAGCACGATGAGCATCACCGGCGCCATGCCACCCTTTCCAAAAAGTTGCTCGGGCAACGCGATGCCGAGCTTGGTGCTCTGTTTACCATCAGGATGACCGTACTTTTCGTAGTTCTCTCGCGCGACATCGTCCGTCAGCGTCTTGTACGCCGGCGCGATGGACTCGGCGAAATAAACCGCCGCCGCGGGATCCGGGTTCTTGTCTGGGTGATACTTGAGCGACAACTTTCTGTACGCGCTCTTAATTTCCTTCGTGCTCGCCCCCACGCGCAGGTCCAAGATATCGTACGGATCGAACCGTTTCTCCTGTAACGGCGTTCTCGTGATGTACACGGACAGCGCGATCATCACGATCCACCCGAGCGTGTACCACAAATTGGTCCCTCGAAACAATCCGCCCACGCGCCTCCCAGTCGTCATCTTACGCCGTTTCATCGACGCCATCGCCGCCTTTCCCCATTCACTCTCTACGTCACTAATCTCCGTCGATATCGTCTGCGTCTGCTTCTTCGAGCTCGCCGCGTCACCCTTCCCCTCTCCGCTCCCGCGTTCCGTCTTCGTCGCCGCGCTCGCCAGTCGCGCGATCGTCGCCGGAATCAAAAACGTCCCGAGCATGCTCACGACGAATATCGGAAACAGCGCTCCCTCGGCGTCCGTGACGTCTTCTTGCGCGTCTCCGAACCCCTGCTCGGCGTTCGCGTCGCGTCACACCGCGTCAGTCGTTCGTCATCACCGCGCGTTCGTCGAGATCTTCGATCTTCATCTTTCGACACCGGTCGCGTCGTCGGCGCGCGGTCGCGTCGCGCGCGCGAGGCTTGGATCGATCGCGCGCGCGTCGCACCATGATTCGTGCGTTTCGCCGCGCGCGCCGGTCGTCGCGGCGCGGTGACGCGCGAGGTCGTCGCGAACGCGCACGACGCGACGCGATGCGACGTCGCGCGGGGTCGCCGCGCGGACGATTTCCAGATTTCGCGCGCGCGACGAGCGGCGGCGCGACTCGGAGGCGAGGCGGGCGAGGGGGGCTACTTTCCTACACAGAAATCGCGAAAGACGACGTCTAAGACGTCTTCCACGTCGTACGCGCCGGTGACGCGACCGAGGGCGCGCGCCGCGAGCTTTAACTCCTCGGCCTCGAGCTCGAGCGCGGAGGCGGAGGCGGAGGACGCGCGAGCGCGCGCGACGGCGGCGTCGAGCGAAGCGACGCACCGAGCGAGGTTGACTCGATGGCGCGAACGCGTGATGGCGAGGGTGGAATCGTTGGCGTCGGATGCGTCATCGCCGATCGTGCACTTTTGAGCGACGATGCGCGTGAGAGTCGAGATGAAACCGTCGAGACCGGCGCCGGTGAGGCAGCTCACGACGGCGGTTTCGTAGCCATCCGCGGCGGTTTCGTTTTCAATCTCCATCAACTCGCGCGTTTGTCCGTCACTCAGCGCGTCGGATTTGTTCCATACGTTAACGATTGTCTTTTTCGATAAATTGAGCGCCTTGAGATCGATGTTGGATGCGTCGTTAGTGGCGTCCGCGAGGGCGACGACGACGTCGGCGTCTTCGGCTCGCTCGAGCGCTCGAGCGATGCCAAGCTTTTCCACGTCGTCTTCGGTCTCACGAAGACCGGCAGTATCGCTGACGATGACCTTGTACCCACCGAGCTCGAGAGACACCTCTAGGACGTCTCTAGTCGTCCCCGCGTGCGGCGAAACGATGGCGGCGTCGCGGCCGGCGAGCGCGTTGAGCATCGAACTCTTGCCCACGTTAGGCGAGCCCACGAGGGCGACGCGCACGCCCCGACGAATCAGCTCCCCACGCGCGGGTGCGTCTAAATACTTTTGTAACGTATCGCGAAGCGCCTTGACGCGTTCGCGCACTTTCCTCTCCACCACGTCGCTCGCTATATCCTCCTCCTCGCCGAAATCTAAAGCCGCCTCGCAATACGCGGCGCACGTCAACAACTCTTTCCTCCAAGTCTCATACATCGATCTCTGCGCCGCGTTCCGCGACAACATCATCGCTTGTCGTCTCTGCGCCTCCGTATCCGCGTCCAAGAGATCCGCCAACCCCTCAGCCTGCGTCAAATCCATCTTCCCGTTTCTAAACGCTCGCCTCGAAAACTCCCCGGCTTCGGCGACGCGAAAATTATCCAACGTCCCCAGCGCGTCCATGAGCGCGCGCTGCACCGCGGCCGAACCGTGCGCGTGTAATTCTACCACATCTTCTCCCGTGAACGACCTCGGCGACGCGAACACCGCGACAAATCCCACATCGATGGGCGGTTCGTCGCGCGCCGCGTCGCCTCGCGCGAACTCAACCAACCGCAACCGTCCGTGCTCCGCGGCCGTCGCGCTCGTCTCCGCCGCCCGCGACCGCGCGCGCGCGTCCGCGGCGTTCGTCGACGACGCGCCGTCGCTCGAATTCGCGCCTCCCGGCGGTCTCGTCAGCCGCAGCGCGTCGCGCGCGTTCGGCCCGCTCACGCGCACGACGCTCACGCCCGCGCGCCCGCGCGCGGTGGCGAGGGCGTATATCGTCTCTCGCGCCGCGCGACGCATGCCGCGCGAATCGCGCCGCGCCGCGCGCTCGAGGCGCTCGAATCGCGTCGCGTCGCGCGCGCGAGGCGCGCGAAGTGACGCCGCCGAGACGCCGAGACGCCACATCGCGACGTCGCGGCGCCGCCGCGCGATGCCCAAGCGACGAAACAGCAAAGCCGCCTGGCGCGCGCTCGCGGATGACGTCGCCGACGCCGTCCGCGCGCCGAGCGCGCGCGAGGACGCGGCGACGAAGACGAACGACGCGCTGTTTTACGTCGACCGCGCCGGCGGCGGCGGCGGCGACTCGAACGGCGCGCGCGGGCGCGACAACGCGGGAACGAAGCGCGAGCGCGCGCGACAGCGCGCGCTGAAGATTGATGCGGCGTGTGAGAAGGCGCCGGCGGCGCGCGCGTACCCGACGCCGGTGAAGCTGCGGGCGGGGAAGATGTGTAACCCGCCGCCGAGTCGAGCGCTCGAGGCGGTGCGGGTCAAGGGGAAAGCGAAGCCGGTGGTGAAGGGCGCGGGCTCGAAAGGAAAGAAAGCGGACGGCGTGTTCGATGTGTGGGCGAGTAAGGCACCGCGGGCGAGAGGGGTGAATAAATTGGCGAGGAAACTCACCGCGCCGACGACGAACGCGAAGGCGGTGGCGCCCGAACATCCGGGGTGTTCGTTTAATCCCCCGAAAGATGCGCGCGAAGACGTCGTCGCGGTTGCGCTCGCGAAGGAGTTTAAGGCGAAGCAGGCGAGGTATTTAGATCCGGTGACGGTGCCCGTGTCGAACGTCGTGGCGGAGGCGAATTTGGTCAACGAGTTGTATTTCGAGAGCGGATTCGGGGAAGACGAGACGGACGACGAAGACGGCGATGGCGACGGTAAGCTCAGCATCAATCCCGCGGTAAACGCGGATAAGTACACTAGAACGAAGCGAAACAAGCTCAAGCGACGCGCGGAGGCGGAGGCGATCGAACAGGCGAACAAGAAGGCGAAGCAGCTCAGACGAGACCTGAGCAACCTCAAGGCTTTGAACAAAGAGATCGAAGCCGAGGAAGAGGAAAGGAAGGCAAACCTGGCGCGTCGCAACGCCGTTCGCGCCGAACGTCGCGCGTCTCAGCCTTCACGTCTTGGCAAGCTTCGTCACAAAGAAGCCGACGCCGACGTCCGTTTCGCCGACGAGCTCGACGGCGGTTCCCTCCGCACCCTCAAGCCAGGCGTCTCTCTCCTTGGCGATCGCCTCAAATCGTACGAGCGTCGCGAGATCATCGAGCCTCGCCGCAAGATCGAGCGCAAGAAGGCCAAGGCGGTGATGAAATACGAACCCGGCGCCCGTGGCGAGAAGGAAATCGAACTCATGGTTGCCGCTGAGAAGTCGAAACAGCGCATCTCCGAGCTCCGCGCCCTCGTCGCCGCCGGCGACCGCGGCGCTTCCTAGTCATCTTCACCGTTTTGTATTCTACGTCAATCATTCGTCGCGCGTGCGTCATTCGCCCTTCGTCGCACCGCTCGATCGATCGCCGCCGAATTGACCACTTCTGCACTTTTGCCGCCAAAATTCAAATTTTTCGTTCCGGCATTGGCGGTCGGCGGCAATCGACGACGCGCCCGACGTCCTCGACGACGCCAACGCGCTCGCCCGCGCGCGAATCGAGCAGAAAGTCGTGAGACGAACGCGCCGCACCCGCGCGCGCGAAACGCGTCCGGAACCGCGCGACGGCGACGGCATCATCGCGCGACGACGACCGACGTGTCGAAACGACGACTCCGATCGAGCGAACGACGCCCTGCGAGCGCGTGATGCGGGAGATTCGCGCGAGGAAACCGCCGGTGAAGGTGCGTGGTGGTGTGATCTCGTAAACGCGCGCGAAACGGAAGGGAATGTGGGCGGTGGTGGGGAAGAAGATGGGCGTGATGACGATCCGCGATCGACGCCGGCGGCGTAACCGCCGGACGACGGCGACGGCGATCATCGTCGCGTGTAGATGGCGACTGACGACGGTTTTTGGCAAATGCAGTATGAACCGACGATGAACCGACTTCAGGGTGGAGATTTTGTGGCGAGAACGCGGCCGAGGACGCAGGAGGAGGAAGCGCGGGCAGAGGCGTCGACGTCGACGATGTCGAGGAGCGGGTCGAGGTCTTCGAATGCGGAGAATGACGGTGGGCGTTACGTTAACGGCGCGACGGGGGCGAAACGTATGAAGATTGAGTCGGGTTTGGGATTCAAGGCGTCGGCGTCGACGCAGCAAAGAAGCGTAGGGAAATCGTCCAACGCTGGCTCGCACGCGAGCGGCGGTAAAAAGTTGAGCCCGGCGACGATGAAATCCCCCAACGCGGCGAGGGACGCGACGACGCCGAGGCAACGTCCGACGAACAACCAACTTTTATATCGTATCAATTTTCATTGGGAACACTACGAGCACGCTATTCCGGCGATTGTTAAAAAGCAGTTGCCAAAGATGACAGAGGCGTGTCCATCGGTGACGAGCGCTTTTCTGCAGACGCTCCGCGCTTTGGATATGGCTGAAAGCCAACGTACGGATGGTGCTCGTAACATTCTGCAATTACTCAGCGTCAACACTCGCCGTACCAAGGTTGTGGCGCTGAACTCGGGTACGCACAGAGTGCCAGAAGAACTTAGGCGTCATCAGTTGTCCGACGCGGAAGGCAACGAGTACTCAACAAACCTCGACAGGAACAGGTATGGCAACGACGATAACTATTTGTGGACTGTCACTCGATTCAACCTACAAGCGCTCGAGCTTTGCCCACTGCTCGCCCAGGTGCAGATCATCGGTACCAAGGGCAACTGCGACGACGTTCTTCTCACCGCGGACAAGCTTGAATGCGGGTGCGGAAGCAACCGCAAGGGGTTGTCCAACCACTGGACGGTCCCAGCTTTCGTGCTACCGTCGCAGATGTCGACGGCGATTCCCAAGTCCACGCTTGCCGCGAAAGATCGAAGCCGGAAGAAGGCCCGTCAGTCGCTGTCGAGTGTACACGGAGAAATGACGCCCGAGCACACGTCGGACGACGACCAGCACGCCGGCATGGGTGTTCTCCTCGACGCCCTCACTTCGGTTGGTGGTATTCCCATGTCGCCGGTGAAGCCTTCGCGAATGACGACCAAGCCTCAAGCGCCAGTGATGTCTCCTTCTCGACCAATTCGAGGGATTCGTCAAGTCGAGCTCGATCTCGGGGCAATTAATGAGGACACGGCGCTCGCGCAGGAACAAATCGCGCAAGCAACTCGCGAGAGTATTGATCAGATTCCGGATGGTTCCCTACGAGACGAGCTTCACGGTGCCATCACAAGATCGTGCGAACTGCACATGACGGCTGCGGCGGCACAACTTTGTCAGCACAAGGCTGAGAGAGAGGCAGCGGAATACAAAGTGTTAGTCGGCCGACTCGAGCAACTGTTGAGCAACTCTGAGACGGCGATGCATCAGCTGCAAATTCAAATGGCAAAGATGAAGGGCGAGGGTACGTCGCACGGCACGGAAAACGATCGCGTCATTCAAGGGAGCGCGATTTTGGCGCATAAACTCATCGGGATGCAACAAAGTCTGTCGTCGCTGACGTCGCGTTTCGATTTGATGTGCGACCAATCAGCACCACGCTCGGTGATTGAAGAATTACTTCGCAGTGAAATGGCTGCTCATTTGGTGACCAACAAGGCTTTACTCCGCGCCGAGACGAGTCTCGCTGCTTATGCTGCCGCCGAGGCGACGTGTGACGAAGAGATTTGGCGAACTCAGTATGTGAAGACAGCTCAGCGTAATTTAGAAAAAGCAGCGTACGCTGCGAACGCTTCAATCGTCATGCCGACCGAGGCACCTATCGCGGAGATGGTACCACCGGCTCCAGTCGTCAAGGCGGCTCCTGCGCCCGCTTTCATGCACTCCGAAGGAAACGTCAAGTACGGCGCCACCGTGCAAACACCGAAGCGTCAAGGAACAGCACCGCGTGGAATCAAATCTATCGCCATTATGGCCGATGCCGTGGCGAGTGGGAACATCGACGCTTCTCATTTACCACCGGAAACTCCTCTGGGCGCGGTGAAGCCGATGCGTCACGCGTTCATCTCTCCGCCGTAAAGCTTTACATCATAGCCCGCGCTTGGCATTTTTGTATACCGAATAACACATGGTTTACTGTCGATGTCGATCCTCTCGCGATCTGCAACGCTTCTCGGACCTCGGATTGCATCGTTAAAGCCCACGTCTGTTGACGTCACGCGGCGATCGGCGACGATTTATAAATCAACAAGCCCAACGAGGCTCTCACACTCGCCGAGAGAATCACAGCCACTCATGTGCCTCGTTTAATGCCATGTGAAGCCCCCTCGTTCGTAGTCACTTCACTTCAACGCACGGACGCGCGTCGCGAAAGAAAACGAACTTTACATTTTCAATGTTCAACACGAAACTCAGCGCTCGGGCGTTCTTGCTCGTCATCGTCGCCTTGATTGCCGCTGTGGCACAACCAGCTGAGGCTGGGTGGAAGCACCACAAGAAGCACATGTGGAAACCGTGCTCGGACGGGTGGTGGGCGCGCGTGCGCGAAGGAAAGAAAGTCAGCGATGACAATCGAGCCGTTTTACGATGCCTCCTTCATAATTGTGGTCGAGAATTGAAGGACTGCGCGCACGATTCGACGTGCCGCATGACGACGCGCTGCCTTCGCGACTGCCGCGACGAAGGTCGAGAGTGCGCTCTCGATTGCCTCAAGAAGTACGATGGCTTCGAGTCCGACGAAGTTAAAGCACTCGGAAAATGTGGCATCTCGAACGAATGCATGCGTCAGTCTTGAATTGACGCTTTAAGCAGCCCAAAGCCGCCCTGATGATTACTTTTACTTTGTTTTACGACTCACGAAAACGCGGCGCCTCTTGATGATTTCAATTCAAGTTTTACTCTGTTTCAGCATCTACTCATATTACACTGTCCCTCGCTAATACTCACTTAGCCGTCCAATCGGTCGACTTGCGCCGCCTTGAACAACTCGGGCATGTGCGCGTTGGTGACGTTCATGCGCTCAAAGTTCACCGCGCGTTTCTTCTTCTTCTTTTCCACCTCAGGCGCTGGGCCCAAGTCGTACACTGGACGCGGTGTCGGTTCGATCCCCTCTCTGCGCAACGCCTTATCGAAGTCCACGTCGTACTCGGGGATCTCTATGTCGTGAAAGGATCCGACGAAATCTTCACTCAAGTCGACTTCGTACTCGGGCTGCTTTCTAAACAAAACCTTCTTCTTCGTCTCCGTGTTCGTCAACATGATCACCGCATCGTCTTCTTCCGCGAGTGCGATCGCATCATCCTTTGCCTTGACGTACGCATCGACGATTTCATCGATCGCTAATCCATCGGGCGTCGAATTCACCAGCTCCAACACGTCCTCCTTGCACAACACGTCGTGCTTCGCCCTGTACTCGAACAGCCCCTTCGCCGCGTCGTATCGAACCTTCTCGTGATTCTTCAGCGACTCGAACAGCGGTCCGACGTTGCAATCAAAGCCCAAGAAAACTCTCAAATCATCGTTCGACATCGGTCGTCGCTGCGCGAAGAGCGTATCGATCGCGTGTTTCTGCTTCGCCAGCAGATTCGTCGCCACCACCTTGACCGGCTCCACGGGTTTCGCCTCCGCCTCCATCGCCGCGATCGCCGCCGCCTCCGCGAGCTTCTGCGCCTCCGCCGCGGCTTTCATGCGCGCGTACTGCGCCTCCGATCGCGCGTCCAGCGCCGCGCGATCGCGCGCCGCCGCGGTCATGATCTTCGATGCCGCCTTTTGCCCAGAGCGGTACTTATTCAGCGTCTTCTCCAGCACCGACGCCTTGCGTTTGGACGACCCCGCCATGACGAGCGATCGCGATGCGTGCGCGCGCTGTCTCACTCGACTCGCCTTTCGAGCGCGCACCCGCACGCGTCGTTGAGTGGCGCATTCGCGACGCAGCGCTGCGGACGCAGCGCCGCTTCCGCAGACTTCGCCGCGCTTCGACGCGCGCGGCGACGCGCGCATGCGCGTCGACGCGCGCGAATGCGCGTCTCTGTGTATCGCGTCGTACTTCGCCGTCGTTCTTCTCGTCTCGGCGCGCTCGAGACGCGCGTTTTTGGGTAAATTCGGTCGTCGACACAGAATTTCGGGAAGCCTGCACCTCGGCGTGCTCACGTTATATTGCGCGCACGTCGTCGCGCATCGAAAGACGAACCTCGACGCGGCGACGATGGACGCGATGTTGTTCGTCAGTGGGCTCGTGCTGACGCTGACGGCGCATTGGGACTTTGCAAAGGCGCACGAGCACGCGGAGCGGCGACAGCTCGGCGTGCGGAGCGGCGTGCTGCACGCGAAGACGGCGGTGACGGGGGCGGAGATGCTCGAGCACGCGTTTTACCACGTGGTGAATGGATTTCAGATTGCGTACGTGCACTGCGTCGCTCAGCCGTGGTTCGTGAGAAGTTCGGCGGAGACGCGCGCGACGGCGTGCTTGCTGGCGACTTCGGCGTGGACGGCGCGCAGTCGTTTTCCGATCAATTCGTTCTCTAACAATTATCGGGACGGGATGCGAGATTTCGAGAGCTGCATGTATCGCGTGAAGAAGTGGCAGTATGTGCTGTATAAGACGGTGCTTTTGCACGGATTAAACGTCAGTCTGGCGATGCGTCCGGTGGATTTGATCAGCCTGTTTGAGTGGCGCGCGTTTTGGTTCTTGCTCAATGCGGCGTACGTGCTCGAATTCTTCCTGCAAACGCTCGTCAAACGTAAGTATTTGCGACAACGGACGATGCTGGTGCTCAATCAGGCGTTGATGTTGATCTCGACGTCGGCGGTGGTTCCCGTGTTGCGAACGGCGGTGGAACCGCACGCTGCGGCGATGATGTTCGTCTTGAATTTTCTCAATCGAAAGCGCGAAATGGAAAACGTCGTCGTCGGATTGGTAGCGGCTGCGATTTGGGCGGACTCTAGAAAGTAGGTACAGTAGACAAATAGAATCATAGAGATACTGCGTAGCGATTCTTTCATTTATTCATGCAATTACAACGCACGTCTATACGACTTGGTACGAGTCCACGAGCATCATCGTTCTACCGCCAAACGTCACGGGGGCGCCATCCGTCGTGCGAGAGATGCTCGCGACTTCGATATCGCAGAACGTCTTCGCGGAAGAAAAGTGGACGTCGATGGGGAAGAACGCTTCTGTGTCGGCCACAGGAATGACGAATTCCATGCTTCCGTTTCGATTGCTGTCGTCGATGAGCTCGATATTCCACTCCATGACGCCGTTGCGCGCGTCGAATCGGAATTCGCCGTCGCACGAGTTCACCGCGGGCGGGTCTCGGCACGGCGGGCACGGGATGGAAATGACGACGTTTTGTAAATCCATCGCATCCGACGCCTCGTATTCGATGCTCACCGCGGTTTCTCCGCCGTTGATCGTCGGCCAGCAGTTGATGCTGAGAGGCAGCGCAGATTCATCCTTAGTGGAGAATCGCCACTTCAACACGCCGAGCGCCGAGCCGCACGGAAACGGACGGTTGGGGTCCTTCAAGCCTAAAATTTTCTCGTTTGCGTGCAGAGCCTTGTCAATGTTCGGGTGCGTCTTGAACTGAAACCCAGCGTTCTCACCCGCCTTGGTCACGACACGAATGAGAGCGTCGTCTTCGTTGCGCACTTCGAGAAGCATGTTGCCTTGCAAATCCATTTGCTCCAATCCGCCGTTGCGGTTCAAGGTGACGTTGAGTTTTTCTTCCACAACCAGACTCACGCTCTCCGTCGGCGCCGCCGCAGGCGCCGCCGCAACGGGCATTTCAGGTCGAGAAGGTTCGATGCCGAAATCTGCGTCCACAGATTCGCCTTCGGCACGCAAACTCTCCAGGAACTGGTTCGTCTTCGGCTTGCCACCGAGTTGCATGCCCTTCTTCGGCCCGGCGAGAGACTTTTGGGGCATACCCGGGGAGCTCTGTTGACCGTATCCGCCCACGTCATCGCTGTACCTGGTTCTGAACCCGCCACTCGTCGGGTGGTCGTCACCGAACGAGCCACTTCCGCCGCCGCCGCGGCCGAGGTATCCAAACTCGTCGTTGCGTCCGTCGTCGAAGCTGCCGCTCGAGCCGTCGCCGAACCCGCCTTGCCCACCAAAACCACCTCCCTGCTGGCCACCGAAACCGCCACTTTGCCCACCAAAACCACCGCGCGCATCGAACGAATCTCGCGCCCCGAATCCGCGGCTCGGGCCGCCGTAACCTCCGCTTCGTTGCATCGCTGATTGCTGCATCTCGTGCTTGACCTTGTCGATCTCCGTAGCCTTGCGACGCATGACATCCTTCGTGTCGTTGATCTTACTCTGGATCATCATCTTGTGCAGCTTTTCTTCGTGCGAGTTCATCTCTGTGAAAGTCTTCACCTGCGCCATCGTTACGTTTTCCTTGTACCCGAGCGAGATGATCTCGTCAAACGCGAAGATCAAATCGAACGCCGCGAACGACACACCCTCTTCATCCACCTGCCCTTGCGTGTACTCCGGCAGCGTCTTCGCCAGCAACCGCAACACGTCCAAATCCTCTAAGATATTACTGCCCTTCGTCGTCACCAGCAGCAAGTACATCGTCCCGCACTCGAGCGGCTGATACACGTACCGCACGTTTTCCGTCTCCACGTACGTGTGTTGCTTCCCGCTTCCGACGAGTTTCGGAAACGCCGCGAGCAACCCTTCGACGCGCACGCGCGTCATCTGCACGTACTGCCTCGACACCAGCGCTACATCATCATCGCACGCGCGTCACCACCGTCAGTCTTCCGTCACCGAGCTTCTTTCGCTTTGATCTCGACCGTTCCGCCCTCGTCTCGAAATCCCACCCTCGCGCGCGTCGCGACCGCATCCGCGCCTCCCCGCGCGTCCCGTTCGACGCATCGTTATCTTCTCCACGCACCTTTACCGCCCTTGGTGACGATCGCCGCCGACAGCACCACCTACACCGCGATTTCGCGCGTCGATCGCGTCGTCGTCAGTCCGCGCGCGTCTTCGAGTCGACGCGTCTCGCGCGGCGCTTCGCGACGTCGCGCGTCGTCCGCGGCGCGCGGTCGCACCATGATGGGATTTTTTTCTTCGCGCGCGCGCGCCCTCGAGCGTCCCGCGCGTCGCGAGGCGCGCTCTGCGGCCACCAAAGCGCGCGCGAATGCGCCTCGTTTTCTCACTGGCACCGCACGCGGGTGTGCGTCCCGCGTCGACCGCGCGCGCGCCCGCGCACACCGCGACGCGCGCGGCGCGACGCGCGCACCGCGACCGCGCGAGCGACGCGAACGCGTCTTTGCCCGTCGAACCGGACGCGCGCGAGCGCGCGCGCGCGCGAGCGCGAGCGACAGGCGCGAAAGATGCCGCGGGTAGGGACGGCCACGTCGGCGACGACGACGACGCTTCGAACGGCGACGCGCGGCGGGAGGCGCGACGCGCGAGGGCGCGGAACGGACGCCGATGGAGTGACGCCGGGGACGCGCGCGCGACGGGAGTCGTGGCGCGCGAGGATGGGGACGAGGGCGCCGCGGGCGATCGCGCAGAGGGACGACGCGGAAGCCGCCGCGGAGGGGGGCGCGAACGCGGACGCGGACGCGGACGCGTCGGACCGGAATTGGGAAGACGCGATCGAGTTAGCGCGCGAGGAGAGCGATGCGAGCGGCGGGACGTCGAGCGGGCGGGCGGCGGAGGACGGGTCGAATAAGATGGCGAAGAAGTGGACGGGGGTGGACGTCGGCGGCGCGTTGGCGACGTTTACGAAGCGGAAGAAGAAGGAGGAAAGTTCGTCGAAAATCAAGGTCACGGACGCGGACAAGGTGATGAGAGAATGGGGCGATAGTATGTCGTGGGATAGCTCGCGTTTGGACGGCACGGCGCTGGATGGGATGAAGGCGAGAACGCCGGATTTATTCGACGCCATTCTAGGACAGACGGCGATCGATGTGGACGAGCTCGAGACGCTGGAGCGCCAACGTCGCGCGAAACGGATCGCAAAAGAGCTCGAGCGAAGGCGCAAGAAGCGAGAGCGCGTACTAGAGCAAGAAAAACGCAAAGCTCTTCAGCAAGCGCGAGTCGAGGCGAAGAAGAAGGGAAGCGCGTTTTTCTCCGGCGAATGGGAAGACGAATTCGACGAAGGGGGCGATGCGGAGCAACAGGAAGAGACGAACTTTAGTCAATCGTTCGCGGAAGCCGTCAAAGAATTTGCGCAATCCGAAGCCGCGAAGTGGATGTTCAATTTCTTTGTCATTCCGAGCTTGATCTCCAAAGTTGTCACGTTCACCATCATCGATCCCATCGTGAGCCAAGAACTGAAATTAGCGGGCGAGGACAGGACCACGATAGAGCTGCGCGACGATCAAGAGGCGGAGATTCTCGGTAAGCTTACCCGTTACCAACAACGCATGGAGTTTGACATCCTTATGGGTCGTGAGGCACCGCTCACGTCGATTCAAAAGGAGGAAAAGATTCGACACGAGGCGCAACGTCTGGAGGATGAGGAAATCAATCACTTCATCCAAGTCGGAGGCAACCGGTACGGAGACTTGGTTTTTATCTCTGCTTTCTTGATCATGGTTGTCGTATACTCTGATCAAGCCAAAGTCGTCGTCACTGGGACGAAGAACGCATTCTTTAGCCTCGAGCCCGCGCAACAAGCTTTCATTTTATTGCTCTCCTCGGACGTCCTCGTCGGCTATCACTCCGCCGACGCGTGGCAAACGCTTTTGCGTAGCATTGGCGGTCACTACGGCGTGAAGGAACAAGAAGAACTCATTTCGCTCTTCGTTGCCTTCGTGCCGGTCTCCGTGGACGTATTATTTAAATTCTGGGTGTTCAAATATCTTCGTCGTCTCGCGCCGTCGACCCAGGTGATTTTGGAAGACATCGACAGGCACTAGACACCTCCCTCGTGTGATATCACAGCTACATAGACAACAACGACGAGCACCGTGACGCCGAGCACCGTGACGCCGAGACGTCTAACACGAACGGTTTCACGAATCATTTCAGTAAGACAGTAAGACTACAACGCGCTATCACGGGTATCGCGGCAAGACGTCCAGCGCCACGGATTTCACGGATTCAAACTTCTCAAACGTGCACACACGCTCGAGCGTCTCCAACCCGTCGCGGCCGCCCTTGCGTCGACGAAATACCTGCCACGGCTCCGGGTACACGCGAAACAGCACGGCGGGATTGGATCCCTTGAAATTATAGATTACGTACGCGCCTTCAAATTTTCGACAAAACGATCGCAACGGTCCCATCTCCCCGGCGTTCCAAAACGGCGGATAATAATTCGACCGCGTGCGTTCCAACTCGCCGTTACACACCACGAGCGACTTTCCCGTTCCTCGCACGCACCCTTCGTACAAATCTCGCGTATTCGCCAACTCGGAAATATTTGCGCTCGGATACGCGACGACGTACGCCGTCTCGTCTCCTCTCATCCGCTCTGAAATATTCTTCTTCCCACCGAATATCTTATCGAATCCACTCACCGACATGAAACTAGGATCATCCACGTAATCTAGCGTTCCTTTCCAATCCGCGAACCACCCGCGCGTGTCGCTCTGTTCCGGCGCTCGAATCCCGTCCGGCGCCGCGTTCGCCCCCGTCGTCGCCAACCGCATCTCCGTGGGATCCGGAAACAGCACGCGCGTCGTGCTCGCCGTCCCGTTCGCCACGAACGCATCGCATATCCCTCTCAGCCGCTCGGTGGTGAGATTACACTCGACGTTTCCCTCTAAATCCCCGCTCGCGAGTTCCAATCCACCGGGTGGAAACTGAAGCTCGACGAGCTCGACGCCATCTTTCGCGCATCGTTTCACGCTCTCGCGCGCCTGTCGCTCGAGCTCGGCGTAGTCGCGCGGGAACGGCGTCAGGCGCGTCGGCGTCGCGCGACGGCGGAGTCGCGCGCCGCGCTCGCGAGACGCGACGCGGAAACGCGCGCCGCGCGCGAGCTCGACCGCCGCGAAGCGCGTCATTGTGACGACACTTCGCCGCGCAACGCGCGCGGGACGGCGCGTCCGCGCGCGAGGACGACGACGACGATGTCGCGCGCGCTCGCCGTCGCGCCGAGCGCGACGGCGCGCCGCGAACGCGACGACGCGCGCGCGCGCGCGATGCGGATAAGGCGGTCCCGACGCGCGACGACGACGACGACGACGGCGCGCGCGGTCGTGCGCGGAGACAGCGGCGTGTCGCCCGACGACGTCGACGCGAACGGCGGCGCGGCGCCGAACGCGACGATCGTGGCGCGGCTGCGGGAAGAGCTGCGGGACGCGCACAACGAAAACGCGCACCTGCGCGAGGAGTTGACGGCGCTCGAGGAGGGGTGGGCGTCGAGGTCGGGCGATGCGAGCGCGGTGACGGAAATGGAGGACGCACACGCGCATGAGATGATTGCGATGCGCGCGGCGTTCGAGCGTGAGTTGGAGACGGCGAAGGAGGCTGGAATCGATCGCGAGCGGGACACGGCGCAGGCGGTGACGGACGCGATGCAACACATGCTCGAGGAGAGTGAGGCGAAGAATAGAGAGCTTGAAGAGGAATTACAGCGCGCGACGGAGAAGGAGGAGGCGCGACTTGAGGCGTTAGAAAGCGAAATGCGTGAGCGATTGCGCGCAGCTGAACGCATAGGAGCTCTGAGCGCGAGCGGATCGGGCGATTCGGCTCGCGCCGCCGCCGAACGCCGAGCCACTTTACTCGAGCTCACGCTGGAGGAATTCGAAAAGGAGACGATTGAGGCGATGAGCGACATAGAGTCACGCTTGAGTCTTGCAGTCGATGCCGTGGACCAATCGAACGTAGCGCTCGAGGAGGCGCGAGCCGAAGCGAACGAGCTCGGACGCGTCAGGGCGGGACTTGAGGGCGCGCTCGCGGAGAAGGAGCAAAAGATGGCCGAACAACTTCGCGAGGTGGAAGAGAAGTTGACGCACGCGCAATCCGCGCACAGCATAGAAGTCAATCGAGGTGTAGAACTTCTCGAGCGCATCGCATCGCTAGAGTCGGCTCGCGATGAGTTGGAGAGCCGTCTCTCCGACGAAGCCCAACGGCGAAAGTCTGAGCGCCAAGAGTACGAGCAAAATGCGACGGCTTCGACCGCGCAAATCGAGCGTCTCGAAGCCTCATATCGTGAAGCACAGTCAACGCTCGATTCCAGTGAAAGCGTCGTGCAGACGTTGCGGGACGATCTCGAGCGAGCGCGCGATGAGGCGCGAACCGCCGCCGCCGCCGTCGAAGAGTTGGAATCCCGAGTCGACGAACTCGCAGAAGCGGTGCGAAGCGCGGAGTTAGCGGGGGACGAAGCGCTTCGCTCGGCGATCGAATCGCACTCACAAGAACGCGTCGCTTTGGAGGCTAAAATCTCCGCGCTCGAAGGCGTCGTCGAGGAAACGCTGTTAAACTCCGTCGGCGCACCCATCGAGGACGTGGAAGCGATGAAGGCGGACTTTGAAGCCACCTTATCCAAACAAGAAGCAAAGATTCGAAACCTTGAAAAATTGGCCGCAATCGGGCGCGAAATGATGGCCGTCAAAGACACCATCGTCGCCGAGTGCGCGGCGCTGCAAAACGAAATCGTCGAGTGCGAGGCGCAAAAAGACGCCCTCTCCCTCGAAAACGCCAAGCTCCTCGGGCGCCTCGCCGCGCTCGAACAAGATTAATATGTATTACCTTCATCATAGCACCCGCGCTGCGGTCTCACGCCGTCCGTTTCACGACGTCCGGTACGATTACGCGTCGCGCGTCGACGAACCGACGCCCCGCGGCGTCCGCGCGCCCGTCCCCACTCCGCCGCGATCATGCGCGGCGCCGATCCTCCCGCGATCCTCATCTCCGGCGTGTCCGGCGGCGTCGCGCACGCCCTCGCCGCGGTTCTCGCCCGCGCGCCGACGCATCCGACGCTCATCGTGCACGACGCGCGTCGACATCGCCGCGTCTCGCTCGAAGATTACGAAGCCGCGGGCGGCGCGCTGACGCTCGGCGACGTCGGACGCGACGCCGTCGACGCGTGCGTTGATACCATCAACCGTCAGTGCGGTCGAGCGGTCGCGCGCGCGTCGACGCGCGAGGGCGAAGCGCTGGACGCGGAGAAGATTCGAGCGACGGGGGCGCGCGTCGCGGTGCGGTGCGGCCCGGGGGCGCTGAGCGAGGCGTGCGCGATGGCGGAGGCGTGCAAAAGAACGCGCGACGACGAAGATGGACTCGGGAGTGGCGCGTGCGCGTTCGCGTACGCGCGCGCGAAGGCGACGACGGGGTGCGTGTTCGTGGACGACGGCGGCGCGGGATCGAAGACGCTGTACGAGGCGCTGCGACCGAGCGCCACGGCGAGATTAGCGGAGACGCTGTCGGCGTCGAGCGCGGGCGTGGACGCGGACGCGAAGGCGCGAGATGAACTGCAGGCGGGATTGCACTGGGAGTTTTTGCGCGCGCATCCCGAGACGCGGCCGTTGTTGGGGATCACGGGCGCGGACGCGAGGAAAGGATTACCGGGAAACGGCGACGACGACGAGGCGCCGGAGACGGCGTCTATGTGTGGCGTCGTCGCCGCGGTCGTGGCGAGTAAGATATTGAGTTATTTGGACGCGAGTGAAGCCGTCGCAGTGGCGCGCGAGTGCGATCAGTGGACGCACGTGGAGGCGTTGGCGTTGTACAAGCCCGATCGCCCGGACTCGGCGCCCGTGCCAAACGCGTCCGAATACGAGGTTCTTCCGAGCGGGGACGATATGGATGCCGACGACGCGCAAGACGGTGATGAAGATCGCGAGGGTTTCGATACGCACGCGAGACTTTTCGGCTACGACGCGTTGGCTAAGCTGAGAGAGATGTACGTCCTTGTGTGCGGCACGGATTCGCTCGCCAACGACGCGTGCGTCTGCGCGCTTGCCGCCGTCGGCGTCGGTAACGTCGACGTATACGGGGCGAGTGGATCAAAAGTATTTGTTCGGCACGATTGCGAAGTGGACGATTTGTGCGATTTAGACGATTTAGAAACGTACAAATACCACGTCGTGGTTCGCACGAGCGCGTGCGCCACCGCCGACGAAGTCGTCGCCATCGCGAGAGAGGCAAAATCGCCGGTGATTGAAATTACGAGTACGAGCGTGGGGTCGTGTGTTGTGGATGTTAGTTTAGGCACGGACTCGTCCTTCACGCGTGCGTCGTTCTCGGGATGGATGGATGCGCCGACGGCATGCGTCGCCGCACACATCGCCGCGATGGAAGTAGTGCGGATAGCGCAAGACCGAAGACGCGCGACGACGATAGTGTTCGACGGGAAAGGGATATTTACCAAGGCAAGGATGTAAACCGTTGTCATACATGTGTAATAGGCGAATTACTTTTTCTTGTTCCCTTTCTTCTTGTTCGACTTTTTGGCCGATCGTGCCTCCTTCTTCTCTTTCGATGGCGAAAAGACGTCCTTGAAACTTGCAAGTCCACGCTGTAACGGCGAAGCCGCGAGCTTTTGCTGCTTTTTCGCATGGCAGAGCGCGCATCGACCGTCGCATCCATCGGCGATGGGGATGATACCACACTTGGCGCACATGCCATCCTTCGCGGCGCCTTTCGGCGGCGGCGACGTGTCGCCAAAGTTCAAGCTTCGTTGCGGCGTAATCTCACCGATGTTAACATCATCGGATATATTCTTAGACGTCGTCACCGGTGACGGAGGCGAGATGGGCCAAGCGTCCGGTGAGTTCACGTCAGGCGGAGTGATATCGTCGTCTTCGTCGCCCTGAAGATCTCTGAGCTTGACTTGAAGCTCATCCAACTCCGCTATCGCTTTCGAAATCCCCATCGGCGTCTTGCACTCCTCCACACGAGCCATCAGGACGGCCATTCTATGGCTGACATCCTGCATATCACCACTCGCCATACTAGATCCCTGACGTTCGGACAATGGGGTGCTCAACTTTTCCATCATGCGCTCGATTTCGGCGTCACGCTCGAATTCGCCCTCGTGCTCGTTCGACGTCACCATATTCAATGTTTCGAGCATTTCTTTCAACTCGGCTTGTAACTCAATCTCCTGAGCGCGTAGTGCGACGACTTGTTCCCGCAATTCTTCTACCTCGATCCCAAGTTGCACATTTTGACTCTCAGAGTGTCGAAAATTGACCTCTGCATCTTGCAAAGCGTGCGTCGACGCCGCCAACTCTTGGTTTTTCGCGTCTAATTCATCGGTCAACTGCACGTTTCGCGCACGCGCCGTCTCCAGTTTTGCTTCTGCTGCCTTAGCATCCTCGAGCTCGTGCTCAAGCCTAGACTTTTCCTTCACCAACTCCCCATTCTTCTCCGTCAATTCTCGCACGCGTCCCCTCGTCGTCTCCAAATTTTTCGACGCGTCGTTGGCCCGTTCTTTCCATCTCTTGTTCTCCTCCGACAGTTTCCCCTCCTCGCTTACCTGCGCCTTGAGCGCATCGATTTCTTTGCGCATTTTATCGATCCTGCCATTCGCCACAGTCAACGAGAACCGAAGTTTCGTCGTCTGTTCCTTTTCCGCCCTCACCTTTGACGCCGTCTCCTCCCGCTGTTCCTCCATTTCTTTCATCGTCGCCTCCAACGCCGCGTTTCGCGCCTCGCTTTCGCGCAGTCGTTCAAGCGCGTCTTCGTGATCGGCGTGCATGAGCGCCAGCTCGCATTCGGCGTCGATACGCGCGCGATGGACGCTTTGAAGCTGTGACTCATTCTCGACCGTTGTCTTTTGAAGCTGCGATTTCGTCGCGGATTTCTGGCGGAAGAACGCCGCGGCGGCACCGCCGGCGAGCACGATCGACGCCATCGCGTGTTCTTGTTGATGACCGCGCGCGCGTTGACGTTGGCGACGGGGCGAGGCCCGTACTGAAGACGGTTGATTACTGTACAACTGATCTTTGTTGAAAGTTCAAAAGGCCGGCGACGCGCGAAGAATTTCTCGATAAAGCAAAATACGAGGCTCGTGCGCGGCGCTCGCGCTCTGCTCGGGCGTCTCTTCGCTCTCGATGGAAAAGAGAGCCTTTTCGTACGCGCGTCGAGCGCTGACGTTGTCGCGCTCGACGTGAATGTAGACGACTGCGGCGCGCGTGCGAGACGCGAGATATTCGTAGGAGACGCGCAGCATGGCTTCCGCGACGCCGCGACCGCGGAATTCGGGAGCGACACAGACGTTGAAGACGTACGCTCGTGGAGGGTCAACGACGGCGAGCGGGTCAAAGCCGTATTGATCGTTGGCGGCGTCGGCGGACGCGTCGGCGGACGCGTCGGCGAACGGTCGTCGACCGACGAGTATTTCCCCGGGCAATTTCGCCCCCAGATGCACGTCAAGCGTACCCACGACGGCGAGATGCGATTCCGCAACGCTAGTGTCTGCGTTTGCATCGGCACCTTCGTGCACAATACTCCAGCGACGCAAAGCCTCTGCGTCTGCTGGCGTCTCGCCCGTCGTCGAACTCTCTTCGAATCCCGCTCGTCGACCGGAGGCGTCCGTTCTCGCCAACACTGCGAACGTACGCAGCGAGCGCACGCCAGCCTGACGCATCATCGGTTCTCGCAACGTCTCGCTCGCGATTCGATCCTCCCACCATCGTAACCGCGCTCTGAGGTACGCCGCCGAATCGTCGTCCTCGTCGTACGAAAAATCGTACGTAAAAGTCTCCTCGCGCTCAAACTCATAAAAACACCTCGTTCGAAGCGCCGCGCACGCGCGCCCGAGCGCGCGCGCGTGACGTCCATCGCAATACGTCTCACCATCCACGCACTCGTACGTCACCGCGTCGTCGCGATTCGCCGCGCGGCGCGCTTTCGCGTTTCGGCGTCGTCTCGACGCTCGAGCGCTTCCACCACCGCGCCATCCCGACGCGCGTCGCGCGCGCGCCATCGCGCGTCGCGCCTCCATCACCGTTCTCTTTCCGGCGCGCGCGTTTCAATATCCCTTATTCCCGCGCAATCGCGCGCGCATGTCGAGTTGTCCCTTTCGACAGGCAAAGTAATTCGAACGCTTCACCTCGCACTCGCTCGGCGCGTGCTCTGTCCACGTCGGCGACGCGCACTGCTTCAGCGTGTGTCCGTGCTTTTTGACGCACGCCGACGACTCGACGCAATCGAGGAACTCGGCGAGCATGCCAGAGCAGCTCTTCGACATTCGGCGTCGCGCTGTGTTGTCCCGAAGCGCGATGTCCCGAAGCGTTTTCAGCGACGACGACGACGACGACGCGCGCGCGGAGGCGTCTGGCGATCGCGCGCGATGGTTGGCGACGACATCGATCGGCGCGGCGCGCGCGGAGGCGTCGTGGGCGTCGTTGACGCGGTTGGATTTGCGAGCGAACGGTTTAACGACGCTCAAGGGCGTCGAGAGTTGCGAGCGATTGCGCGCGATAGACGTGTCGGAGAATCGGTTGACGACGCTGGACGAATTACGGGCGTGTGGGTCGACGCTGCGAGTGGTCGTCGCGGATGGGAACGCGATCTCGAGCGTGAAGGGGCTGGGGAGGGCGATGACGCGGCTGCGGACGCTTTCGCTCAAGTCGAACGCGTTCGCGGACGCGCGCGTGGATGGATTTCCCGCGCTGCGCATGCTGGATCTGTCGGATAATTGCTTGATGGCGATGGTGGATTGCTCGTCGTGCGTCGGGTTGCGAGTGGTGGTTTATAGGGAGAATGCGATCGCGTCGTTGGAGGGGATCGAGCGGTTGACGCCGGCCACGATTACGGATTTGGACGTCGGCGGCAACGACTTCGCCGACGTGCAAGAGCTTCGATTTTTGAGGTACTTTCCTCGGTTAGCGAATTTGAGATTTAGGGGTAATCCAATCGATGCGCGCGCGCATCATTATGGATACGACGCGCGGGCGGTAGCGAAATTTTGCGCGCCTTCGTTGCGGACGTGCGACGGCGCCGCGGCGCTCGGCTCGTCGTGGGCTCTCGCCGCGAGCCGGTTGTTTCGAAACGACGCGGGCGAGTTGAGCGAACCTTTGCTGTCGATGCTGAAAGAACAAGCGCCGCCGTGGGTCCTTGGGGAGTATTTGCATAGCGTTTGCGCACCAACGGATTCTATGCTTGGTGGCGGATTTGACGCTCGGCGGCGCTCCTCTGCGGGCGACGAGCAAAGCTGCTCGATGTTTTCGGTATCTTCGTTCGTTCCAGTCAACGCGCGTCGCGAAAACGGTGATGACACGACCAGTAGTTTAGATAGTGAAGACGACGTTGACGCGTCGTTCATGGTCGAAGGCGCGCGACTGTATCCAGAGGACCCGCCGCTCGATCGCACCGAGCATTGGTTATCGCGCGACGTGAGTTCAGAAAGCGATGGCGACGACGGCGACGACATCGGCAGACCCTCGCCCAGTGGTCGCGTTCGATCCACGAATTATGATATTTCCATGGACGCGCTGCGCATGATTTCACCGATTCGATCGGCAACGAAATCGCGTCCCACTCGAGACGCCGTGAGCGACGACGCCGACGACGCAAACGCCGGCGCGTCCTCCGCCGACGAAGACGATGATTTCCATTCGCCAAGAGAAGTATTTGGGTCGACATCCAAATCGAAAACGCCGGAGACGACATCGTCGCGAAAGCCATCGCATTGGTCAAACGTGCGGCTCGTGCGCGCGGCCACTCGCCACGACGAGCAAAGCCACCGCGGTATCGACGACTCCTTTGACAATTCTCCAGATTTGCGTCCGCCGCCGTCGACGGTGAATCGAAGGAGTTTCGCGTTCACGGACGACAGTGAGTCTATTCTTGTCGATGACGGCGATGACGACGAGTTCGGATCGTTGCAAGACGACGATGAAGCCTCGCTTCGATCGTTCATCCTCACCGGCGACGAAGACTCGAGCGGGATTTCCGCCTCGGCGTCGCGATCCGCCAGCGCGTCGAACTTACGCGCCGAGTTGAAATCCATGGTGAACGACTTAGCGCTCGCACAGGATGGTTTAGGCACGCCGCAGCGTCTGCTTAAAGCTCAATCCAAAATCGAACAGATGTTGGCGAGGGTCAAGCGCGATCGCGTTCGCGCCGGCGAGTTTTCCCAATCCGCGTCGTAGCCTCGTCAGCACAACGCGACTCTGGATGGCATCCACCGACACGAAGGCGATGAAAGAAACACCTCTCAGCGTGCTTAGCCGCACCAACTTGGCAAAGTATCTCACTGAGAGACATGCACTCGCGGGAAAGACGTGCGGTGACCAACCTGAATCGCTTCGCGGCAAATGTACGCTGGTTTTGTCTAGCGACTCTTCGTTTCAGGAAGCGTTGAGCAGTATGAACCGGTTCCGCGTCTCTTCGATGCCGTTAGTGCGGTACAAGTCTGGTGCGAGTCGAGATGTCGGTGCATACGACGCGCTGTGCTTTCTATCGAACGGTGATCTCGTGACGACGCTGATCGAGGCGTGCGACAAAGCCGAATTGAACGCGCGGGACGACGACGTTCTCGGTCTCATGGGACGAATGGCGACGATCGGACTCGAGATCGAAAGTCTGCCGCTGAAGCAAGCGAGAACGAAGTGGGATGGGACTGTGATATGGAAGAGCGCTACGGCGACACAATCTCTGGCCGAGTGTTTGGAGCGATGCCTGTATATCTCGCCGAGCGAAAAGCCGGGTGATGTTCGTTTGCGCGCGCTTCCGCATCGCTTCGCCGTCATGAATTCAGACAACGCGATTGAACACATCGTTTCGCAATCGGACATCGTGATGTACTTGCACACCAATCGCGACATTCTCACGCCACTGTTTACTGAAGCCACCGTGAATGAGCTTGGGTTGGCGAGCACGCCGGGGATCGCCTTCGTCGGCGCGTCGACACCGACGATCGAGGCGTTTCGCGAAATGGAGCGTCACCGCGTCGGGGCGGTGCCAATCGTAGACGAAGCCACGCGGACGCTGATTGGGACATTGAGTGAGTCTGATTTGACGCATTTACGAGGAGGCGCTTCGTTTGCCGCGTTGGCTCTACCCGTCGCGGAGTTCCTTCTGCACGCGCACAAACTGTCGGTGTCCACGCCCGCGCAACAATCGGGTGGGCTGTACAACCCAAACACCAGCGCGTTTGCCGCCGCGTTGATGCGGCATCGCGAGAGATTGGTGGTCTCGTGCAGGCCATCGGATACACTCACGGACGTTTTGACGAAAATGGACGTGAACGCGGTGCATAGAGTGTGGGTCGTCGACGACGCCGGCGTGCCGACAGGCGTCATCGCGCTCGCGGACGTCCTTGCAGTCATTGCGCAAATGGGAATGTCCACCGAAGAGGTTGCAAAGCAGCGCGACAAAATGGTGGTCGCGTGATGAGCGCGGGAACACGCGTGAGCAAGACTTTGAATGATTTGATACGAAGGAAAACGCTGTAACAACATGTCTTTGGCACAATCGAGAACGGCGACGACATCGAGGCGAAGCGCGTGCTCGCGGACACTTTCACGCGCGCGCGCGAATCTCGGCGCACGCATGCGAAGAAATAACATGAATCGTACTCTAAAATTCGTGTTGGCCGTGGCGTGCGCGTGTGCGCTCGTTATTGCGACGACGACGATTTATATTCCTCGCGCTTCCGCGGTTGGCGACACCGCGGTTGGCGACACCGTCGCCTCGGGGACAGCCGCTTCATCCGTCGCCTCAGGGACAGCCGCTTCATCGAGGAAACTCTTGACCGCCCCTGTCGGTCCCGCAGGAGTGATTCTTAACGCTATCATTCAGCCAACGACCTTCTTACGCGTCGCACTGCTCATTCTTCGCAACTCGGTGAACAATAACGGTGGAATGGTGGAGGAATTTCTGCAAATGATCTTGACGACTGATCTGGGTTTCACCAAATTCACCAACGTGTTCGCGAGCTTCGCGTCGGGGGTGATTCAGGATTTCAGCTCTGGTGTCACCACGGACACCGTACTCGCGCAAGAGTGGGTCATCGATGGATCTTCGACGCTCGATAACACCGTGTTCAGCGAATTCTTTGCGGGCGGCGCGTTCGGCGGTGAGTATGCGATGCGACGATGCGATTTCGACGACTGACGGTGTGTGCGAACTAGTCGAACAATTCTATGGATTTGGCTTCGAGGTCAGTGGATTAGCCGCGATGGCGATCCAACAGGCATTACAACCCAAGGACACTGAATACGAGTACGAGTACGAGTATGCGGCGGAATCCATCGAAGGCGCGCCCAATAGACGCCGACGGCGATTATTAAGCGCTTCTGAAGCCAGGGCGCGAAAACTCCCGGAAGGTGCGGAGGTCATAACGCAAGTTCAACATCCAGTCGACTTGCGCGCTGCGGCAAAACGCGCACTTCAGCGAAGAAACGGTACGTCGACGGAATCGATCGAAAGACGTCATCTATCTGAAATCGTGGACGTCACGTACGACGACGTTGAGCTTTTCACGACGAATTGGTTCGAGTCTTTTCCCGCGACGCTACCACTCGCTATTCGCGACCGATTCATCGCTTTACTCGAAGAATACGTCGTCGATCCCCAAATTCGTATCAGTTTGGACATCACGGTGGCTTTGGTCGGCGTCGCGACGCCAGGCGTCGGGATCACGACCTACGAAGCGGCGGCGGAGAACACGATTTCAAACCAAATCGTATTTCACGGCTACGACGCCGCTATCGATTTCGCATCGGCAATCGATCCCGCGGTGGCCATCGCCGGAAGTATTTCAAAAGGCATCGCCGTGGCCAACGCCATCGACGACGCGACGAAAATCATCGATGCGGTCACGAGCATCGTGAACGAAGTCAATTCCATCGTCGAGAGTGATATCGCGTCTCGCGAGGCCGATGCCAACGGCGAGGTTTCCGCGCAGGGTGGTGGAGACGACGCCAACATGACGTTAACCGAGCGCGTCAAGCGATGGATCCGTCCGTTGTCGAACGACACCGCTGTCGAAGGTCCTCGAGGCGTGGACACCGCTCGAGCGACGCATTTCACAAGCCTCGGCAAGAACACGTCCACAAACGGGGCGGCAGACTACGACGAATACGAAGACGCCGGCGGTGAGGCGCGAGCGAGCGACTACGTGGACTACGACTACGAACCTCTGGGCGCGGTGAGCGGAACGTACGCAGTCGCCGTTTCGCTCATTTTCCTCGAGCAGATCGCACTCAACGGCGGGTCGATCACTGTAATTTAAAATGAATATGCAGGTAATAATTCATTAAAGCGCCTTAACTTCGGCTAAGCGATCGCGTAATCGATCGATCTTGCCGCTCGTGGGAAGTCCGCGCTCTTGTAAGAGCTTGCGCACCGTGGGCGCGTCCATCGAATCGATTTGCGCGCGAGTGAATTCCGACTTGGCGTTCGCCACGGCTTTCTCTCTCTTGTTTACTTCGGCGACTTTTTCGTTGAACGCGTCGTCCATTTCCTTACGGAGCGCCACCGTACGAGCGACTTTGGTCTCTTCGATTGACGCCAAACCGCGCGCCTTGGTCAGCGCCTTGGTGTTGGCGTCGCACACAGCTTCGGATCGCGCGAGCTCGCGCTGCGACGACGCCGTGTCGACGACGGTGGCAACAACGACGGTGATATCGTCCATCTTCCCGCCCAAGTTGCCACCGCCGAGCATTTGCTGAAATCCCCCAAACAATCCCACGGCTTTCGGCGCGCCGCCCTTGTCGGTTTCGCTCTTCGCCATTTCGCGCGCGTACGGCGAGTCGTACTTTTTATCCTCCGCGTGCTTTCTCGCCACCTTCACTAGCGCCTTCGCCGCCGATTCCGCCGCCGACGCCGCGTCCCCGGCGCTCGCGTACGCCGCGTTTACCACGCTCGCGATTTCCTCGTCGAACACGTTATCAAACAACCCGTCGCTCCCCGCCACGACCACGTCCCCAGCCTCGACGTCGAAACTGTACACATCCGCGTCTCTCGCGCTGTCGCAATCCTTCGCCAGCGCCTCGTACGCCAACTGATACGGGCAATTAAAATAATGCTGCCCCGCCGTCGACCCGTACGTCACCCCCCCGCGTCGCACCACTCGGAACCCAGAGTCCCCCACGTTCGCGCACGTCAGCTTTTTCCCATCCAGCGCCACCACGCACATCGTCGCCGCGCCCGGCAGCATCGTTTTCGCCTGCGCCTCGATCGCGATCGCCCTCGGGTCGATCTTCGCGCTCGACCCGAAGAATCCGCCGTCGCCGCCGTCGCACGCCCGCAGTCCCTCGTAGCTCAGCACGCGCGCGTACAGCCCCGGATCGACGCCCTGATCGTTGAACCCACCGACGCCGTCCGCGACGCCGAGCGCGCCGCCGCCGTTCGCCGCCGAGACGCGCGCGAACCACGCGTCTTCGCCGCCCTTCGCCGTCTTGTCCGGATGCGGCAGATTCTCCCCGTGCGCGCACAGCGCGTACCGCGACGCGCCGGCGACGACGCGTCGGCGCGTCGGCGCGTCGCGCGCCGCGCGCGCGGGTCTCGCGGCGCTCGCGCGCGGCGCCGCGACGGCGCGCATCGCATCCATCGATCGATGTCGCGTCAGAGAGTGACGCGAGCGACGTCGCGTCCTCGCGCGCCGCGCGCGCGATGCCGCGCGACGCCGACGCGCGCGCCGACGCCGACGCCGCGTCCGTCGCGCCGCGCCGCGACGACGCCGCGTCGGCGCGCGACGACGCCGACGCGCGCGTCCGTTTCGTCTGGTGTCCGACGCGCGCGGCGCTCGCGCGCGCCGTCGCGCGCGCGCGCCGCGACGACGCCGACGCGCGCGCGCCGCGACGGGCGCGCGCCTTCGTCGTCGCGTCGAGCGCTTCCGCGGCGCTCGACGCGACGCGCGCGATCGGGAAGCTCGCGAAGACGCGCGACGCGGCGACGGCGACGACGCGAGACGCGCGACGGTTGGCGCTTGAGCTCGAGCGCGACGGCGCGGGGACGGACGCGCGCGCGCGGAGGTTGGACGCGACGCGCGCGATGCGAGCGACGATCGCGCGCGCGCGGCGCGCGGACGCGTGCGTGGTGGACGTGGAGGATGGGGAGGACGGCGCGGAGGCGACGGCGCGAGTCGCGGCGGCGATGGAACGCGCGGACGGCGAACGAATCGTGTTCGTGCGGTCGCCGTTGGCGTGCGCGTACGCGCGAGAAAAAGGTGGGGACGTCGATGAAGACGGAACGACGCGGGACGGGGCGATCTTGCGAGAGATGGTGACGCGAGAGGAGACGCGCGGGGTAGAGGACGAAGCGTCGGCGGAGGCGCTCTTCGGAAACGCGTGGCCGAATGATTTCGAAGCGCGCGAGGGGGTGTGTAAGTTTCACAACTACGCGCGAGGGGGGTGCGAGGCGGTGGCGCGAGGCGGCGGCGCGTGCGCGCTGAATCACGACGAGTGCGCGTATTGCGGCGAAGACGGGCATCGCGCGTACGATTGCGAACGACTCGCCGAGCACGAGCGCGAAACTCGGGTGCGTTTGAAGCCGAGCGTCAAGGACACGCGCGTGAAGACGACGCACGAGGATTATCGCGAACGCTTGAAGCGTGCGCGAGCGACGACGACGCAGCCGTACGTGTACGTGTTGGGCGGAAGAAATCGCGGCTTAACGGTGGGCGTCGTCGAGCGATACGACGTGCTGAAAAATAGATGGGAGCGCGCGCCGACGCTCGTCGAGCCGCGCGGGTCGCACGGCGCGTGTGCGGTGAATTCGACGATTTACGTCGTCTCTGGCGGTGGCATAAAGTCGAATCTGTCGTCCATGGAAACCTTGGACGCGGCGAACGACGCGGCTTGGACGCTCGTCGAAGACGTCGTTCGACCTCGACACGCCATGGGCTCGGCGGCGACGAAAGACGGAAAGATTTACACCGTTGGCGGGTGGTTCAACGGGAGCGAGGCGTTGGCGACGAACGATGTGTACGATTGTGCGACGAAAACCTGGCGCGCGGGCGCTGAAATTTCGCACGCGAGGCGTTTGCACGGCGTCTGCGCCACGGATGCCAACGTCTTCGTCTTCGGCGGCATGCTTCGCAAAGGCATCGAAACCGATCTCGCCGAGCGCTACGACCCAGTCACGGACAGTTGGACCCCGATCGCGCCGTTACCATCGCCCGCGTGCGCCACGGCGTGCGCCGAGGGATCGGATTGCTTCGTCTTCGCCTGGGGCACGAGCGACGCCACCAAACGCGCGAAATCCGTCGCGTCCTCGGGCGGTTTTTATCGCTACGACACCGCCAGCGATAGGTACGAAGATCTCGGCGCGCTCCCGCTCAAACAATGGTTCGGTTTCACCGCGTGCGCGCACGACGGTGTGTTATACGCCATCGGAGGCATCGTCGACGGTCGATGGACCGGTCGCGCGTTCGCCTATCACATTCGCGAGCGCGCGTGGGAAGAGCTCGCGTCCATGTCCTACGTCCGGCGTCGCACCGCCGCCGTGTGCGTCGAAATTTAGCCGCGTGCGTCGACCCATATTTTTATACTTAGCGAAATAGTCGTAGTCGTACGCAGTCGGTCGCCACGGAGGCGTTCTCTCGCGCGCGTTCGCGCCGCCGAGGAGGCGTTCTCGCGCTTCGTCTTCGCCACACTAATCCGCCGCACTCATCGCCCCGTCGATGTCTGCCCTCGGACGCGTCACCCTCGTCACGCGCGCGCTCCGTCGATACGCCAACGTCTGCGCGTCCTCGTCCCCCCGCGCGCGCCTCGCGACCGCGCGCGTCGCCGCGAAACCGCGCGCGACGTCGACCGCGCGCGCGACGTCATCGCGACGCATGACGACGAACGCCGTCGCCGTCGACGCGCAAACGACGACGGAACCGCGATGGGATCTGGAAAAACACTTTGGATACGCGGGAACGAACGACTCCGCGATCGATGAGGCGATGTCGGCGGTGGAGAAGGCGTGCGAAGGATTCAAGGCGACGTACGAGGGGACGCTCGACACGTCGCTGCTCGCGGCGATCGAAACGTACGAGGGCATCGAGCAAACGCTGACGACGGTGCTGAGCTACATGTCGTTGAGCGCGGACACGCGGTTGATGGATGATGCGGTGCAGCAAAGAAAAGGGGCGCTGATGCAGCAGTACGGACAGGCGAGCGGGAATTATTTGACGTGGTTCGGACTCGAGTTGGCGGATATGGCGGAGAGCGCGTTGGAGGCGCAGTACGCAAAGGACGCAAAGTTGAAGAATTACAAGCCGTACATCGATGAGGTGCGTCGATCGGCGCCGTATAACTTGTCCAAAGAAGTCGAGCGGGCGTTGACCGTGCGCAGCTCGTTCACGGGCAAGGGCAAGGTTATTGAATTCTACGGCAACGAGCTCTCTCGGTTGCAGTTCGACCTCGACGGCAAAAAGGTCAACATGGAAGTTTTGCTGGCGAAGATGACGAGCAGCAAGGACACGATGGTGCGTCGCCAGTGCATGAAGACGCTCAACGATGGATTGAAGGATTTTGAGAGAATCTGCGCGCTTTCGCTCAATATGGCTGCCGGGTCCTGGGCAATCGAAAACAAGGAGCGCGGGTTTAAGAATTTGCGTTCGTCGCGCAACCTGAGCAACAACTTGCCCGACGACGTCGTCGACTCGCTCTTGGCCGCCGTGGCGACCACAGGTGTGGATTACTGCAAGAAGTACTACACGTTGAAGAAACAAATCTTGAAGTCGACGCAAGGACTTGAAACCTTCACTTGGGCCGATCGCAACGCTTCCATCGACATCGGTTCGGGCGAGGACAACTACTCGTGGGAACAAGCGGTGGAACTCGTGCACAAGGGCTACAACAAGTTTTCTCCCACTATGGCGGACATGTTCACGAAGTTCGTCGACGAAAAGCGCATCGACGTGCCGGCGCAAGATGGGAAAAGAGGCGGCGCATACTGCTCTTCGGCGTACGGCTCCGGCCCGTTCCAGCTTCTCAACTTTACCCACTCCGCGCGTGACGTCGCCACGCTGGCGCACGAGTCTGGGCACGCAGTCCATTTTGAGTTGAGTTACCCGCAAGGCATCTTGCAATTCCACCCGCCGCTCACGCTCGCGGAAACCGCGAGCATCTTTGGAGAAATGATTGTGTTCCGTGACTTGTTGGAGAAGACTCCGAGCGATGAAGATCGTTTGGCGATGATCATGTCCAAGGTGGACGACATCATCAACTCCGTCGTGCGTCAATGCTCTTTTGATAAATTTGAAGAAAAGGTGCACACCATGCGCGCCAAGGGTACGGTGACGCCGGAGGAAATGTCCAAGGCGTGGCGCGAGTGCACGGAAGAGTATTACGGCAAGGAGGGTGAAATCTTCGACTCTCTCGAAGACACTTCTCACCTTTACGCGTACGTCTCGCACTTCCACAACGTCGCCTTCTACGTCTACGCTTATGCATTCGGTGATCTCTTGGTCGGCTCGTTGTACGGCGCGTACATGAAGCAACCGGAGGGCTTTGAAGCGAAGCTTCTCGATCTCTTGCGAGCCGGCGGCACGAAGGACTTCGTCGAGGCGGTCGAACCGTTTGGTTTGGACCCGAAATCGGCGACGTTCTGGAGCGACGCGTTGCATGCCCACCTCGGTGGTCTTATGGCCGAGGCTGAAGAGTTGTCCAAGAAGCTCGGATACTCTTCGTAGAGCGCGTGAAAAATGTAAGCACAATTTTTAAATTCACTTTCGTTTATTCGACAACTCGCTAATGAGGATGACTGAGACGTTAGACTGCGAGCTTTTCCATGCCCGCCTTGGCGAGGTACGTTTCGTGAGCCTTCTCTTGCTGTTGGCGCGACTTGAGCAGTTTCTTTGCCGCGCTCTTCGCCAAAGCCTCGCCCGCGGCGTCGTGCGTCGGCACTCCGTCGTCGTCGTACTTGGAGTACAATCCTTCGTATTCACTGAACGTCTTGAACATTTCACTCGGTGGAACCTTAGCCCTGGCTTCTTTTTCCGCCGCCTTGCGCGCCGCTTCCTCCTTGGCTGCGCGCTTCGCTCTTTCCTTCTCCTCCTTGGCTTCGTGCTCGCGCGCAATTTCTTTCTTCAACTCGTCCGCGTCGTAAAGCTTCCACAACGCACCGCCCTCCTTGTCGTCGAGCTTCACGCCGAGCTCTGGTAACCCGACGTCTCGCAGGTTGTCGCACGCGGTGAGAAGTTCCTTCGCGGACGCCCCGCCTTGGGCGAGCTTGCGAATGTCGTCTCTGAATTTCGTCATCAAATCAAGAAACGGTGAAAGCGTTTCTTCACGACCTTCGGACGAACCCTCCGAAGACTCCGGGAACCCGACCGCGCCGGTGTCTAAGCACACGCCCAAGCAGTTAAGGATCTTCGTGACAAACTTGCCCACGCGTTCGAGGAGAAGTGGTCGAACATCAACGCTGCCTGTCTCCGCGAGGTACTTATTCGTCGCCTTGACGAGATCTTGCAGTGCAAGAAGGGTGTTGGGGGTGTTGATATTGTCGATGAGTGCTTCGTGCACGGCGGCTTGAGACGTGTCGAGCGCATCACTAAGTTCGCGCTCGCGCTCGTTCCAAGTCTGCTGCTTGTCGACGTGGTAACTTCCAGAGGTGCGGAACACGCCCTTGATGGAGTGGAAAAATTCCACAAACAAGCGTTCGATGCTCAGCGCGAGATCCATCTGCTTAAAGCCGATGACGCCAGATCCATCAGGCGCAGCGACTGGGGTGAGTTCCATCGGATCGCACCACTGGTTAAGCAGGAATAAGAACCGAATTTGTCTCGCCGAGTACATCTTGAGCGCCGCGCGAATGGTGATGAAATTCTTCAAACTCTTGCTCATCTTCAACCCGTCGATGTGCAAGTGACCGGTGTGGATGAAAAAGTTCACCCATTGTTCGGTATCGTAATGCGCCTCCGACTGCGCGAGCTGATTTTCGTGATGAGGAAAGTTCAAATCGATCCCGCCACCGTTGATATCGACGGATTGACCGAGAATGTCGCTGCACATCGCGGAGCACTCGATGTGCCACCCCGGGCGACCCATACCCCAGGGCGAGCTCCAGCACGGCTCACCGTCTTTGCTCATCTTCCAAAGCACAAAGTCAAAATCGCACTTCTTTTCGCTCTTTTCCGCCTCGAGTGCGCCCTCTCCATCCATGGCTTCCGTGATGTTTTCCATGGCGTTTTGATTCAGCTTGCCGTACTTGTGGTTCTCCGCCGCCTCGAAAGCCTTGACGTCAAAGTACACGCTGCCGTTGGACTCGTACGCGAATCCTTTGTTAATGATGACTTGAATGTACAAAATCACCTTATCCACGTACTCCGAAACCCGCGTCAGCATGTCCGGTCGCGCCACGCCCAAGGATTTCATATCCTCCATGAACTCGGCTTCGAATTGGTGCGCGAGCGTCAGGTATCCATCCTGAATCGTCCAATCTTTCGCGCAACAGTGCTCGGCATCGATCCCGCTTCCTATCGCCGCCTTCACCGCGTTCGCCAGCGTCCGCGTGGCGCTATCGAGCGCCCCTAACGGTTTCCCACCCTCCGCCAACAACTTTTCCACCGCCAGCGTCTCCGCTCCGAGTCTCGTCTCGCCCGTTTCCCTCGCCGCCTTCACCACCGCCTCCGCCCGTCTCGTGTGCGCGCGCATGATAATTTTATCATCTATGTCCGTCACGTTCATCACGAACCGCACGTCGTAGCCAAAGTACTCCATCATCACCCTGCGCAAGACGTCAAAGTTGACGTAGTTGCGCGCGTGTCCCACGTGCGCCGAGTCGTACACCGTCGGTCCGCAGATGTACCACCCCACCGAGTTCCCGCTCAGCGGTTTAAACGGTACTTTGGTCTTCGTGAACGTGTTCAGCAGCGCCGGCGCGCGTCGACGCGCGTCCGCGGCGTCGCGCGCGGCGCGTTCGGCGTCATCGCGCCACCAGCTCGTGGGCGGCGCGCACGCGCACGCGCGCCCGAAAAAGTAACCCTCGCGCACGCGCGCGTCGACCGGCATGCCCGCGGTGGACGTTCGTTCGCGCGCGCGCGTCGATTGCGGTCGCGTCGCGACGCGATGCGGTGTGCGGCGAACGCATCGCGCGGGGCAGAGTTGACCTCGCCGCGCGGGGCTTCGGGACGCGAACCGCGAACTACGAACTACGAACTACGTTTAGACTACATTCGCGACGCGCGATCGAGGCGCGAGGCGTGGAACGGAGGAATGCGCGAGAGTCACGTCCATCGTTTGAGGGCTCTCAGGGCTTTGCGCTTGTAGGCGTCGAAATCGTCGTCGAAGGACACCGCGCCCGGCGCGCCGTCGCCGGTGATCTCCAACACGCGGGCGCCGTGAATGGATTGGACGAAGAATTCGTCGTGGGAGACGAAAACGACGCCGCCGTCGAAAGCGTTGATGGCGTCGATTAATGCGTTGACGCTTTCGTAATCCAAATGATTGGTGGGCTCGTCGAGGAGGAGGATGTGTGGCTCGTCCCACGTGGCGACGGCCCAGGCGACTCTCGATTTTTGCCCTCCGGACAACAGCGCGATGGTTTGCGTTTGGAGCGAGCCGGAAATACCGAATCGACCGAGTCGACGACGGGCGTCTTGCTCGTGCTCGGGTGAGGTCGACGCGCTGAGTTCGATGCCGGAGACGTGCAACACAAACTCCAGCGGCGTCATAGTCATGTCGAGCTGTTCGACGTGATGCTGCGTGATGTGAGCGATTCTCATCTTGCCGCTTTTGAAAATCTCACCTCGCGTTGGCTTTAACGCGCCCGTGATGAGTTTCATGAGTGTGGACTTACCCGCGCCGTTTCTACCCACGAGCGCAATCCGCGTGGTCAAGTCGAATGGGTGCGAAAACTGATCAAACATCGCCGGCTCGTCGGCGGCGTATTTGAACGCAATCTCGCGCAGCTGGACGCTTTCGCTAGACGGGAGCGGACCAGGATCTGGAAAGCTAAATTTAAAACTTCCGGTCTCCACTTCAGGCGCTGTCAGCTCTTTCTGCGCGCCGTCGTACGAGAGTTTCCACTTCTTTCCGTCGTGTCCCATGGCACCCATGCGTTCCATTTTTTTTGCCAACTCTTTTGCTTTTTTGGCGTTTCCGTCGTCAAACATGGACGACGAACCTTTGTGCAAATGTTTATCGACAAACTTTTGCATTTGCTTCTTTTTAGCCTGCTGCTCGTCGTACATTTTTTGCTGGCGCGCATTTTGCTCGTCTCGCACGGCTTCATACGTGGCGTAATCGCCCGCGTACGCGGTGAGCTTCTTATTCGACACCGCTAGGACGTCGGTACATACAGCGTTCAGGAATGAGCGGTCGTGCGAGACCACGACGAGCGTGCGCCCATCGAACGCGTTGCAAATGTACTGCTCGAGCCATAAACACGCTTCCAAGTCCAAGTGATTCGTGGGCTCATCGAGCAATAAACAATCTGGATTGACGTACAAAGCGCGAGCGAGCGATACGCGCACGCGCCAGCCGCCGCTCAACGATGCCACCGGCCGTCTAGTCTGTTCGGCGTCAAACTGAAGACCGCGCAAAACTTTTCTCGCGCGCTCGTGCGCGTCTGAGGCCCCGATAGCTTTCAGTTCATCGCAAATTTCCCGAATGCGTTTGTCGATGGCCACATCCACCGCCGCGTCCTCGTGATCTTGCAACTCCTTGAGTTGCTTGGACAAAAGTTCGCGACGCGTGTCCGACTTCACCAAGACTTCGATCGGAGTCAACTCGCACGAGGCGAGATCATCGCTCGAGTCTTGCGCGACATACATAATACGCAAGTCCGCGGGAATCCCTGGTACGCGCTTTTGAGCGAGCAAACGAAGGAGCGTGGACTTCCCGCATCCGTTTCGCCCGCACAAGCCGTACCGATGACCGTGCATCAAACTCAGCGTCGTCCCTTCGAGCAAGTCGTCGCCACCGCGAGGATGCGGCATACTAAATTCGGAGACAGATATATCGCGCGAACCAAGTCGACTGGACGCGCCTTTGGAGTACACGGCGTTGATGGCGAGCTGCTCCATGTTTTGAATCTCTTCCTCGAGCTGTCGTTCGCGCGCCTTGGCCTTGGCCTTGGCCGCTTTTTCGTCTCGTCGCCGACGCTTCTGCTCGACCGCCTCCGCGTTCGCTTTCGCCAGCGCCGTCATGCGCTCTTCCTCTTCCAGCTGTTGCTTTCGTTGCTCTTGCTCCCAAAACGCGCTCCCACCGATGAGTCCCGCCGCGGCGTCCACGCTTTGACCTTTTCGTCCTCGGCGAGAGGCGTCGTCGCCCATCTTAACGACGTTCGCGAGCTTGCGAACCCCGGTCGCCGCGTCCGGCGTCACCCCGCGCTTCGTCTTACAAATCTCCAACTCCGCGCGTTCGTCCAAAAGCTCGCGCAAGCGACGACAGACCTCCTCGACCGAACCAGAAATCTTCAAATCGTACGCGTCTATCACTGCGGACAGCGCGTCCTCGAGCGTCTCCTCCGCCTCGTCCACGTCCGCCGCGACCAAACTCGCGACGTATTCGAGCGCGTCCTCGTCGTTCGCGAACGCACCGACCCCGAACGCGCGCTCGACGCACGCTTTGACTGTTTTCTCGTCCCTCGGCCGTCTTCGAACCGCTCGTTCCGCCGTCGACGCCTCGAATTCGGCTCGCATCAGCGTCGACGCGTTCGCCATCCAATCCGTCGCCGTCGACGCGTCCGCGCCGCCTCGATCCCCGTCCCTCGCCGTCGACGCGTCCGCATCATTTTCTTTTTCATTCCTCGTCGTCGTCGTCGGAACCGCCGGAACCGTCGTCGTCGTCGTCGTCGTCGTCGTCGCCTCGCCGTCGCCGCCGCCGTCGCGCCGCGCCCACGCGACTCGCGCGCGCCGCGCCACGCCCTCGTCCTCGGCGTCCAATCCCATCGCCTCCGCCGCGAACGGCAGCAAAATCTCCACCAGCGCGTCGACGTCGTCGTCGTCGTCGTCGTCGTCGCCGTCGCCGTCGACGTCGCCGAGCGCGTCCTCGACGAACCGCCGCGTGTCGTCGTCAAAGTGCGCGCGAAACGCCGCGACGGCGTCGTCGCCGCCGAGCGCGCGCACGAGCGCGTCCGCGCGCGCGTCCGCCGCGCGCATCGCGCGCGCGCGCGTCGCGGCGTCGCGGTGTCGCGGCGTCGCGTCAGTAATCGACGCGCGAATTCGATTGGATTCGATGACGACGACGACGCATCGACGCCGACGCGGTGACCGCGCGCCGAACAGCGAGGGATCGTCGCTCGAGACGCGCTCGACGCGGCGGTTCGAGGACGTGAGCGACGTGCTGGCGTACGACGCGAGGACGGGGTCGAATTCGCGCGAACGGCGATCGAACGGAAATTTTAGAATTCTGAATGAAACGGGCGATGACGAGGACGCGCGCGGGACGCGGGGGGGACGAACGCGCGAGCGCGACGCGCGGATGAATCCAGCGTACGAATCCGGGGCGTCGGGCGCGGCGAGAGGGACGACGGGGGCGAAGGGAGCGAACGAGGGGAAATTCGACGCGACGTCGCTGTTGGCGCTGCTGGGCGAGCAGTACGACCTGAAGCGGACGACGTCGGGGAACACGCGGTTGGAGGCGAAACCGGTGGCGAAGCGAAGCGCCTACGAGACGGCGCGCGACGCGGCGAGGGATGAGATGGATGAGAACGCGAAGCCGACGGCGACGGGGGGGGCGAAGAGAACGGCGCCAGAGTATGAATTCGTGATGATCGGACGAGAGGAGACGAAGACCAAGGCGAGCGCGAGCAAGGTCGTGCGATTTAATGCGAACGAGAATTCTATCGTCGGTGACAGCGGATCGCCCGCGATGGCGACGACGGCGGCGACGGAGACGCGCGCGGCGCCGTGGAGCAAAGCGGTGGTTGAACGAGAGAGTTCGGTTTCGTACGCGGCGAGTCGGGGAGGCGGAAGTAAGCCCGGGGGCGGGATTCCGAGTTACGGTGGATCCGCTGGTGCGAGTCGGGGAGGTGATGGATCGGTGGCGCGCGCGATCGCGCAGTACCGCGCGGCGTCCACGCGGCGGTCGGACGACGACTCGGCGGTGCGAGACTCGAGTCAAGAAAACTCAGTCGAGGGTGGTGAGGCGGGCGGTAAGATAGTGGGCGAAATGCCCGTGCCAGTGACTGTCGACGCGACTCCCGCGGGCGCGCTGCCGGCGGCGCGGGCGTCAGAGGACGCGCTGCGCGCTTCACAGTTGGCGAGACAGCGGTTTCAAGCTGTATCTAACGCCGCGTACGTGTCGAAAGAGCTGGATAGATTTACGAACGAGCGGAGAAACGCGGCGCAAAGCGTGGGTCAATCATCCCGCGGCGCGAGGCCGACGCGCTCCACGGGATCGCAAAACACACACGATTCGTTGCGTGTTCAGTATCAACAAGGCCATGGAGGCGACGTCGCGGATTTGATGATGCATCGTAGAGGCGATTTACTGCGTCGCCTCGGTTCTTGGCTCAACGCGCGCTTCAAGTCGGTGACGGGATTCAAAGTCGCGCCGACGTTTCCCTTGGACAAACGCATCGAGCGTTTCGTTTTGGGATCCGGTCTGAGCGTTTAGCCGCATCTACACACACAATGTATTTTCATGAATAAATGAAACGAACCCATATCACTGCTATTTCAATTTCTCTAACTCACCCTGCGGCGCCAAAATGTTTGTGTGCGGCGTCTTGATCCGACCACAACGGCACGCGCGCTCGCTGTAACGCTTGGATGACGCGGCTCTCGAGGGCGCGCGCGGCGCTCTTTCCTCCCGCTTCTTTCGGCACCGCGACGTACACTAGCTCGATGAGACGCTGGGAACTTTGACGATGCGTCGCGAGTCGCGTAGGAAGATGGTCGCTCTCGCCGCAATAGCACCAGCCGTCTCCGCGGCGAAGAATGTACACGCACGTTTGTCCGGCGGAGCCAATCGGCGGCGTTTGATTCGGACCCACGTGAATCACTTGCGCATTTTCAAGTTGAAGCGCTCGCGCAGTTGATTCAGCGAGGAGAAGTTTCAAATATTCACCATCGACACGCGGTCTTTCCGGGCTGGTGTCTTGCTTCTCGATCAACGTCGCCTGCTCTGAGTCGCTCAACTTTACGAGCGGGATGCTCGTTTGTTCCTCGAGCAATGCATTGGCTCGAGCGACGATGGCGTGTGAAATACCGCAATCAAGGGCGGTTTGGAGCGCGAGTGACTCACGGCATTCGCCTGGGACCATTCTCCACGTCGGGCGCGTGCTTCCATCATCCGACTTTGCCGTCTCCATGCGCGCTCGACGCGTCCACGGCGAGACGCGCAACGGCAAATCCAGAATGCCGTGCAGGTGCGTGGCGAAAATTCCACGCGCGCCGCACTCATCGAGCGCCTCGACAACTGCGCCGCCTATTGCAGTGCCGTGCGAAGCCTCCGTGCCTCGACCAAGTTCGTCAACCATGATCAGACTACCAGCGGTGCAAGAGCTAAGCATGGATTTAATTTCGAGCATCTCAACCGCAAACGAGCTCAAACCTTCGACTGGGGAATCCGTGCTCGCCATTCGAACTATGAGCGAGTCTAAGCGAGGTACTTGGGCGGAAATCGCGGGTGCGTGTAGTCCACACTGCGCAAGAAGCGCTAGCGCGGCCACTGAGCGTAAAACCGTACTCTTTCCCGCCATATTTGGACCGGTGAGTAAAACCAAACCATCGATGTCAAAGCTATTCGGCACCGTCTCCGCGCCATCAAGTCGCATCCAAAACGGTACCAAGCCCTCGACCGCAAGCGGACTCGCCGTGTCGCCTTCGGGAAGAAGCGTTGGCGGCGTCCAACGTTTGTTGATGGCGTTGCTTGCGTGGGCGAGAATCGCAATCGTCACCGTTGAAAGAGTCGCCGCGCCCACGAGCGACGATATGTGCTCCTGCAAATCGTCGGCGAGGTTGATGAGAGTGTCAGAGACTGCGACCGCGGCTTTTTGCGTCGCAACTCTGTAATCGTCCAAAGCAAGCTCGACTCGTGCCGTCGTCCATCTATCTGCGACCTCTTTTCCGAATCTATCGCGCGGATGAATAAAATCGTCCATTTTCATCGCATCTTTTGGAGCGTGACGCATCCAAAGCGCGTTGTTTCGCATGTCGTGTTCCAACTCACATTTCCTCGCTTTTGTCTTCTTTTCGGCCGCGGCTTTTTCGATGATTGGCATGAAATCTTCGTTCACTGCCGTTTCAAGCGCGCGTGCGGCGGATTCAACCCGATCGATCGCTTCGGGAATGTGCTCGCGACGAACTCTGCCTCGCCAACGCTCGTTTTCAAACATAAATCTGTTCGGTATGTTGAGGAGCTTGAGTGGTTGATCTAAACCGTCCATGACGAAAGATGCGTCATCGCGCTCATCCTCGTCGTCGCTTTCGTCTTCATCGCTCTTCTGACGAACAACTGCGATTCCATTCAGAACGTCTTCGCTCACCACGTTTTCGATCATCGCGCTCGCCTCCGAGCACACCTTGGCGAGCGCGTCGCCGTTCAGCTTGGCGCCGAGCTTCAAAGACGTGGGATCGATCAACAAATGTCCGGCACGACGAATGTCCGCGCTGCTGTTCGTTAGCAGTGCCTCGACACCGCGCGCCATGGACGCGAGATCGGCGAAAAATGTATGGCTCGCCTCGCGTTGGGCCAAAAGTTTCGCCACTTTGCTCGGCGGCAGGACTTCGAGTTGCGGCATGGCCGACGTCGACTTCGTGAAAAGCACCGAAGCCTCTTGAATCGCGAGCGCAGTTTGAGGTGGCGGTGGATGAAGCAATAGCTCTTGTAAGTACGAGCGACACGCCGCCGGTGCCGACCTCTCGGGCAACAGATGCGTCAAGAGCGGAGGCACGGATCGCGACGGCAAGATTCCGAGCTGTTGCGCGGTCGCGAGTGAGAGCGGCGCTGGGCGGCCTTTGTTAGGCACAGTCACGCGATGGAAAGCATCTTCGGGCCCGAGTCCGTGATCCAAACGCACGAGATCTAGGAGCTTCTCCACGACGTCGCCGTTGTATTTCACCGCGTCGACGCCTTCGGCGGCGCTCAAAATCGATTGCACCTCCCAGCGTAAACGCCGACTCGGCGCGCTCGTGCCGGCCGCGTGCCGACCGCTCTGTGCGTGACCACTTCCCAGACTTGCGTGCCTGTAAAGCGGCGGCGCGATGCCGCCCGCCGACAGCTTCGCCGCGGCGGCTTCCGCCGTCAATCCCTCGAGGACGGATACTCGACGCAGATCCGGTTCGACGGTGACTACGGTGTACCCGAGCGCGCTGCTCGCGAGCCCAATCACCGGTGGCGCGCTCCCATCCCCGAAATCGACGTCTTCGCCCTGCGATGCCGCGCCTTTGACGTAATTCGGCGACGCCGGCGTCACGATCGCGGCGATGTACCGATCCTTAGGCGGCGTCGGTTGGCCGTATCTATTCATCTGCGGCACCTCTTCGCAAACGACGCACGAGTACCCTCTCGACGTCAACCGATCGAGCGTCTCCTGAATCTTCACCACCGGGCACCCCGCCTTGGGCACCCCCGAAATCCCCATCGGATTCAACCCCGCGTGCATCACCAGCATCACCGCGTCGTATCCCAAGCACTCGTAAAAATCTCCCACTCGAATCAACGATATTTTCCGCGGATGCGCCGCCTTCACCGTCCTCGCGTAATCATACAGCGTCATCCGTTTCCCCGCCCCATGCCGCGTCGACGCCCCTCGCAGCGTCAGATCCACGCCCAGCGGATCGTCTCGATCGAGTCTCGCGATCATCCCTCGCGTCGACGCCTTCGCGCTCGCGTCGTAGTTTTGAATCTGTTCTCGCCAATACGACACCGCGCGCGCGTCGTCGCTCGCGCGCGCCGTCGTCTCGTCCGTCTCCGCGCGCATCGCGCGCATCGCGCGTCTCGCCGTCGCCGTCGTCGTCGCGCATCGCCATCGCGGCGTCGCGCGCGCGCGCGCCGCCGTCGTCGTCGCCGTCGTCGTCGTCGCCATCGCGCGTCGAGCTGTCGCCGCGCCGCCGCGCGCGACGCGCGACGCGCGCGACGCGCCGGACGCGCGCGCGCGAGACGCGAGCGACGCCGCTTCGCACGCGCTCGCGGCGACGACTCGCGCGCGACGCGCGAGACTGCGCGCGCGCATCACTGCCGACGACGCCATCGCGCGACGCGACGACGGCGCGAGACATGGGCGCGACGCCGCCGGCGATCGAGACGACGAAGACGGTGTGGGGCATGGAGTACTCCGCGCACGGTGCGCGCGCGACGCGCGAGGAAGACGCGCGAGGCGCCGCGAACGCGCGGCGTGGAATTCTCGAAACGGTCGCGCGAACGACGCGAACGACGCGCGCGAGAGAGACGGGAGAGAGACGCGGACTGACGACGACGAACGCGGCGCGATCGCGCGACGCAGCGTGCCCGAAGCGGCACAAGATGGAGGCGGAGGCGATGTTCCCGGGGGTGGACGTCGGGGACATGTTGGTCGTGCCGACGCGTCAGGTGCGCGGGCGAACGACGACGCGCGCGACGACGACGCGCGCGACGACGACGACTGACGATGGACCACGCGTGGTAATCGCGCGATCGATAGCGGACGAAGATGGATTTGGTGCAGACCGGGGAAAACGTGGACATCGAAAAGGATTTCTGTCTCGAGCGCTTCGTCGACTTTGCGAAACGCGTGACGGACGCGCTTCGCGCGGGTGGGTATTGGTGCGATTACATCGATCCGTGCAGCGGGTTGTCGATGATCAATCGCGATTCGCAACACGTGTACGGCGAGGTGGACGCGTTGGTGACGCTTTTGAATTATCAAACCACCAACAGCGGGTGCTGCAAGGTGGTTTTGCATCCGACGTGGGGCAGCGCGGTGTACCCGGCGAGTCTGTTCGCCAAGGCACCCGTGAGCGCGCTGCGCGACGCCATCGCGAGCGCCGAGCGAGACATTCGCGCGAGCGATCCGGCGGCCTAAATAGTACTTTTTCCTCGTTTTGTCACGACGCGTAAAATCTCAGTCGACGCGTCGCGTCGCCTCTCAGCGCGCCTCGCCCCGCCGAGATGTCGCGCGCGTGCGCTCGCGCCGTCGCCCTCGACGTCGCGCCGAGACGCGCGAGCGTCACCGCGCGACGCGCGCGTCGCGCCACGCACGCCGCCGCGTCGACGTCACGCGGCGGTGACTCGGCGCGGCACCTGTACAATCTCCTGGGCGTGTCCCCGAAAGCGACGACGAAGGAGATCAAATCCGCCTACCGCAGGCGCGCGCTCGAGCTGCACCCGGACGTGAACAAAGCGCCCGACGCGTCGGCGCGGTTCAACGAGGTGAAAGAGGCGTATAACGTGCTCGTGGACCCGGCGAGGCGGGAGGCGTACGACGCGGCGGCGACGTCCCGGGGACGCGCGACGGCGACGGATTGGAGCGATGCGTGGACGCGCGCGACGAGCGGCGCTCGAGCACCGCGCGCGTCGTCGTCACGCGCGTCGCCGTCGTCGTCCGGTGCGCGCGCGGCGGGCGCGCGAGAGGAGGAAGAATTTTATGGTTTTGGCGACTTTTTCCGCGACTTGGAGAAGGAGCTCGCCGCGCGAGACGCCGCGCGCCCCGCCGGCGCCGCCCCGAAATCCCTCTGGGAAGAGCTCTACGAAATCGGCGAGGAGTTCGTGGATTTCCTCGAGGACGCCGCGCCGAAACCGAAGCCCACGTCGGAGACGGAGTTTAGTCGCGCCGCGCCGCCGCCGAAACCCAAACCGAAGAAACCGTCGCCCGCGCCGAGCGTCACGTCGCAAACCGTGGACGACATGCTCGCCGAGTTGAAGCGCGACATGGGACTCCAGTGAGATAGCACGGTGAGATAACATCGCATTCGTCGCCGCCGCCGCGCTCCATCGCGCGTCCGCGTCGCGTCGCGTCGCGTCGCGCCCGTCCAGCGCTGTCCGACCGACCGACCGACCGCTGTAACCGTCTGCCCGCATTAATCCACCCTGGCGTCTCAGACCGTCGCGCGCGCGCGACGGCTCGGGCGACGATGTTCGAGCAGTACCTCGCCGACGCCCTGAATAAGGCGCTCGGCGCGTACTGCGACGGCATCGACGGCGAGAAACTGCGCGTGTCCGCGTGGAACGGCGACGTCGAATTGCGAAACGTTCGTCTGAAAAAAACGGCGCTGTCGACGCTGCGCGCGCCGGTGACGGTCGACGCGGGATGCGTCGGGTCGCTGCGGTTGAAGGTGCCGTGGATGAACCTCGGACGCGAACCGGTGGTGGTGGAGATCGATCGAGTGTTCGTGCTGGCGTCGAGGGTGACGATGGAGGAGGCGGCGGCGACGGCGGACGAGACGCGAGACGAGGAGGAAGACGCGGCGGAGAAGAAGAAACGAATCGATGAGGGAGAGCGAGATTGGTTGAGGACGGCGATGGGGAAGATGACGAAGACGATGCGGGAGGAGGCGGAGAGATCGGATAGTTGGTTTTGGAAGACGTTAAACACGGTGCTGGGAAATTTACAAATAACGGTGCAAAACGTACACGTGCGGTACGAGGATGAAATCACGACGCCTGGGCACACGTTTTCGTGCGGAATGACGATAGGAAAGTTGAGCGCGATCACGGTGGATGATTTTGGGGAGCCGACGTTCGTCGCGGGAGGGTCGCTGGAACGCATTCACAAGCGCGTGGCGTTGGAAAACTTTTCAATGTATCTCGACTCGGGGGCGGTGTATCGACCGTGGAAAACGCACGCGGGATGGACGCCGCCGAAAGTGGAAGACACAGAGGCGTGGTGGGCACTATTTGGCGTAGGGTTGGTCGGAGAAGCGCCGAGCGATGTGCGAAACTACATGTTGTACCCGGTGACGGTGGAACTGTTTTATCACCGCAAAGGACGAAAAGAACAAACCGAGGCGGGTGAACCGAGGCAAATGTGTGACTTGAAGTTTCAAGACGCGCGCATGGCGTTGAGTCGTAATCAATACCGCAGTACGGTCCGCTTGCTAGAGGCCTTCAATCAGTATCGCTTGCGATTGCCGCACGCCGAGTTTCGCCCGATGGTGAGCGTCAAAGCTCAACCGCGCGCGTGGTGGACGTACGCCAAGTGCGCCGTCTCGGCGAGAAAGAAGAACGTTTTAGGGACTTTCGAATGGCGCAATATCCAAGAGACCGGAGCGTTAAGGCGTGAATATCTTTCCATATACATAGCGGAGGGTAGCGCATCAAACGCTGAGTTTATCAATCGAGTACACGAGATAGAGCGCAACATCGACTTTGAAGTCGCGCTCGCCTGGCGCTGCATCGCTCATAGCAAATCGAAAGCCGCGAGCACCGACGGACGACCGCCTTCTCTCGCCTCAAAAGCTAGAGGCGATGTTATTCTTATGTTGAAAGAAGAAGAATCGGAAAAATCGGGCTATTTTTCGTGGATGTGGCAATCGTCGACGGAGTTGACGGCTAAGTCGCTGGAAATGTCAAACGACGACTGGAGCAAGCTGGAAGAGCTCATGCGCGGCGGCGTGGAGGAAGAGGATTTCGACCCAAAGGAACTCGGCATGGAATTCAGAGGATCGATGAAAAAGCTTTCCATGGAGCTCACCGATCACGATGATCACAATAAAGAGCGTCTCGTTTTGAATTCAAGTATGATTGGCGCGAAGATCTTGACGAAGACGTACAAGGATCAATCAAACACGTATTTCACCATTAACAGTTGGACGTGCGAGACTACGAATGATCGAATATTGTCGAGCGGAGTAGGAGCGTCGTTGCGTAAACACGCGCTCGAAGTCAAGCACAACGCCTACCCACTCGAACACGATCTCGATGCCAACGTGGATGTCAAGCTTTCTCCGGTGTACATTGTCTTTGATGGACAAACCGTCGACCAACTGCGCAACTTTTTTAGCTCAAAAGAATTAGTCCAAACAAATTTTGCGCTCCAAGTGGATGAGGCGATGATTAAGCTTGAAGAAGCAAAAGAATCAACCACTGAAGCGTTGAATAAAGTTGCCATGACGTTCGACATTCACGCGCCAAAGGTGACAATTCCAGTTCGCCGACGAGGTCGAGTGGCGTTCCAAACGTTGGTGGATTTCGGTCATTTTACCATGGTGGCCGATCCACTTGATCCATCGGTGAGTTTTGATCGCAAAACTGGCGCGCCAGTGTACCAGACGTTTGCCGTCGCCAGTAGGGATACGGCCGTGTTTCTCGCGCCGTCGGATTTCGATTGGGGGAACTCGGTGTCGACGTCGCTCGATCAAGTCTGCGAAACACTCCTTGCCCCGTGTGACGCCAAAATGCGTTTTGCGATGCAAGGCGCCGGATGGACACCTGAAGTTGGACCTCGTTCAAAAGTGCAAATATCTTTAAGTGCTTTTCAGATGTACATGTCGCCGTCGAAAATGGCACGGGTATACGCGACCATGCAGATGACATCGTCCGCAAAGCAAAGTTCCATGGCATTATCTGAGGATGCCGGCAGCACCGCCGCAATTGATGCGAAACCTTGGTCAGATGCGCTCATCAGCGGTGCCGCCTCTGCGAAGAAAGTGGGTCTAGTTGGTGGCGCGAGCGGTTACCACAGTCGCTGGTTGTGTATTCAAGGTCCGTACTTGTACATTTTAGAAAAACCCGATGCGGCGGGTTACATTGATTTCGTTCGCATCGGCTACAGCGTTAGAGTAACCGTTTTGGAAGACGAGGAAGACGGAGAAAAGCAGAATTTAATTTTGGCGATCCACGATTCGAAAACGCCGAAATCACGCGCGCGTGATACGAACAATACTTGGCTATTCCGTTTTGCTGACGAACAAGAGCATTCAAAGTGGCAGCGATGGCTTCAGGATATGAATGAAGTCGCTGTGGCCACGAGAGCGGTACAATCATCTACGAAAGCTATTGTCGAGGAAGAAACTTCTGAAAATCTTAATCGGGACTTCGACGAGGAAGATGTCGTAGACTCTGTGCTCACAATGGAGCTAGGAAGCGTGTCCGTGCATCTTTCTGGCCAGCCAATGGGTATTCCCGGAGCGAAGTGTGATGGTTTAGAAAATGGTGGTGTGGCGAGGCTGTTGGATCGCAACTTGGCAGAATCCACGGAAATCCCTGTCGCAGAGCTCAGCTCTACATCGGCTTTGATCAGCGTTCAAACGAAAGAACATAGCCGAGAGTTTGTCATGGAGGTATCGAGCATGGATATCGTGGACAAGCTTTGCGGTACAACCGAAACCATGCGTCTTATGAGTGCGCACGCGCGCGATGACGTGAAAGTTCGACTCAAATACAAGGAATTAAGCGAAAGTTCACCAGAATACAACAACATCAGTACAACAATGTGCTTGGATACCGAGAATATCAGCTTCGCGCTTCACAGACCGACCATCGGTTCACTGTATCGCATGCAAGAGGAAATCAAGGTCATCTTGGCGGCGTTTTCATCGACAGACACTGAGGCAATTACAAAAGTAGCGTCCTTCGGCGGCCTCATCGACGAGGATTCGGATCGAATCAGTTTCCAAATGTTACTTCATTTTCATTCCACCGTCATCATGGCATATCTCGAAAAAGAAGAAGAAGCGTCGAGTCTTCAACCTCTGTTTGATTGCTGCATGGATGATTTGCAGTTGGAGATGAACTCGAAAGCCGCCGTGCAAGAAGTTTCTATGTCGCTCGGAAACCTTCGCGTGGGTGATCAGACTGCGCCGAAAGACAATGCGTATCGACAATTCATCGACTTGAATTCATCTGATGCATCAAATACCAGTCGCACGCAGATTGATGTCTTCATGTACAACCATCTTGCGTCAAACTTCCCAGGATACGAATACGACGTTCGCGTCAAATTCCATGATGTCAAGATGATTGTCATGTATGCATTCATCCAGAAACTGATGGGATATACGTCTATGTTTACACCACCACCACTCCCTGTAAGTGCACTTCCAGAGTCGGAGAGAAATGCAGAGCTGTTGCGGCGAGGCGACCCGAGGCCTTTCACGATGATTTACGCCGTCGAAATGGAGAGGCCTGAACTCATCTTTCCACGAAGCAGCACCTCCGATCAAGCGTTTTCTATGGATGCCGAGTGCATAAGGGTTAACAATAAACTAAAATGGGAAGGAGGTAAGTCGCATTTAGATGTGGGAGCCGTGCTCTTGGATTCAACGAACGTTTCATTTTTTCGTTGCTCGGCTTGTGTGTGGGACAAATTTAAAAAGACGACGTCCATGATTCCGGAGCGCGACATGGCGCTCGATGTCTATGTTCGTAGCCCGAAATGGGACCCGAAAAGTCGATCGCCGAGCTACGAGATTGTCGTTGATTTTTTGAACGAAACGAAAGTCGAAATGTCCGATTTTGAATATCGGGTCCTCACAGCACTTTCCGTGGAAAATTTTGCAGAAGTTGTCCCCGTCCCGCAGCCTTTATACCAAATTGCTGAAATTGTTTCCGTCGAGTCGGGCAATTTAAACGATAAGTTCGGCGCACCATACATGCTGATGTCGATGAACGTGAATAAAATGCGAATGGTGACATTTGCTTCGGCCAAACCGAAACGAAATAAACCCCTCGCGGCGTTTCAAATTGACAATATGCACGTCGGCTACAGGAAGGACAAAGACGGCGAGATGTCTGTTTCAGTGATCTGCCCGGACTTAGCGCTGAATGATTTAAGAGTCGGGATTCCGACGAGAGCCCAACAAGTGTTTGGGTCGAGTCATGGCTCGACTTCTACCAAGACTTTGTTTCGCGTCGACGCAAAGCAATCGTCAACGTCTTACGACTGCGACGTCTTTTTCCAAGATTGCAGAATGATGTACGATCCGCAATTCGGCTTGGCAATCTACAACTTCTTCTCGAATACATCAGAAGACGAATCTGAATCAGGACTTGTGAACGCTCGCTTGAGGCAAGACTTGAATTTCGGAACACGGGCGTCCTTGACGCTCGAGGAAGACTTCGACTTGAGCTCGTCGACGCGCATCCTTTGCAACGCACCCGAGGGAGCCAAAGAAGTGGAGTTGAATGGCAATGGGCGCGAGCTCGTCTTCCACGTTTCAAACACGCCGTTGATATATATTGCTGCGGCGAGGCACCTCAAGCTGACGAATGTGCGAATCATCATCCCGATCGGCTCCGAGCTGAGTGACTTCGTGCAGTTGGAGGCGGATTCTCAATTGAGCGCGGAAGAGGTGGATGGTGTCGTCATTGTACACGAAAATCGTACCAAGTCGCGGCGCGGAAGTGAGAACTCCCTCGCTACCGCGGGAACTTCTTCGTTCGATTACAACGTCAAGGCGTCGATGCCTGGAGTTGAGCTTATTTTCTTAGATACCTCAAGCGGAGCAGCGGATTATGTGTTGCGCATGCGCACCGACGCAGAATTTCAATATACCTCCGCCGAGAGCAAGCAAGATGCCGCGTTTGCGTTCACGCAGTTCCAGGTCGCGGTGAGTGAATGGAGCTCAAAAGGAAACATGTTCGACTCCAGTATCGTGCTAAGACCGATCGACATAGACGGACGCATGCAGGCGACGGCGGACGATATGGAAATGATGATGCGAGCCACAGACGCTGATTTTGTCCTCGACGCACAGTCTATCGAGCGACTTACTTCGCTCTCCAAAGGGTTCACGGCAACGCTTCAGTCAACTGGTTTGTATAACCAAACTGTCTCATGCTCAACTTTCGTACGCGTAGGTGGAGGAGAAGGTGGTGCATTTTTCTGGCGTCCTGTTCCGCCGCCCGGATTTACGCTCTTAGGCGACTGCGTGACTCTCGACGAAACGCCGCCCACGCGACCAGTCGTAGTCATCACAGACGCTGATGGTTTGACGAAAGCTCCGGTAGAGTTTCACCGCATGTGTGCGTTTGAAGGTGAAACGCAAAAGTCGGTGGTTTGGCGCCCAATTCCTCCGGACGGGTACTGTTCGCTCGGATGCGTTGTGACCTCCGACGAAGAGCCACCACCTCTCGATGTGATGCGATGCATGCGCGCTGAGGTTGTCAACGAGGCGTACTACAGTGCGTGCATTTCGCACAAGACGTCATCCGCGTATCTAAGACAAGTTAAAAACGGACCACGAACTTTTCAGGC